CCCCACCCCCAATACTTCAATAATCACTCAATACATCGAACCACTTTCCAAAAAAGCGTAATAAAAGTCATCTTTAAGACGTTCGATGAGACGGATGTCGTCTCTGAGACATCTCAAGGATGACTTTTGGACGTACGTGTTGTCTGGGATATACTAATAGACAGGCGGTACGTGATATTAGAATCCTACGAAGCATACGGCTAATGCAGATTACACACTGTGCAGACTCTATATATATATATATATATATATATATATACGTTTGTCAGGGATACCAATCGGCCCGGTAAGTTCAGCGACTCTTGCGAGAGAGTGAAAGAGGAAGAGAGAGAAAGAGAGAGTATAAACGAACACGTGAATAGCAGGAAGGAAAGAGACAAAACCGGTACCCGCGATACTTGCCTGTCGAACGTCATTGTCATTACGAGAATATAGAGACAGAATAAAATGATCGGCAGTGAAATAAATCTTTTTTACGCGTCCGTTACGATAGCTTAAATCTAAAGGCTATAGGACGTTGATACAAAGTTAAGACCACGCAAGAAATTCAATTGGCCAATAGGTGACGATATGCGCCGCGATTCGATACGATTCGATAACATGCGATACTTATGGTCCGGATAGTCTTCGAAGGTTCCAGTGGAAATGGCCGCTAAGGTTACGTAGCTGCCTGTACTAGAAATACAGACACAACAGTTGGACTGTACCAACGAAACTCGAGCGTCCTCGATAACCGAGTGACACATCGCGCTGACTGTACCTGGATAAACACTTGAAGATTATTTTTCTATCCGTCGCGTGATTGACAGACCCGTGACAAGTTGAAAGAAAAGTTACGTGTTTAAGAAAAAAAAAAGAAAAAGAATACGAAAAACAATAGTATTTAACAGAAAGCAATTTTTTAACCAGCCTGTATCGCTCGCTCGTGGATAAGAATGATGCATTTGTAAACAAAGAATTAAAAAAAAAATGTGCATCCGTATGTCATCATACTTATACGGAAACGGCGTATGAAACATCGACAAGCTTTACTCGGAATTTCACGAAGCTATTTACGAAGCGTTCATCGGAGTGTGAAGAGTGTATGCACCAGGTACCTTGTGTCCCCGAAGAAGGTCCTGCAGGTTGCGTAGAATTTTTTTCCTTCAAGCATCCATTTCTTCGCTATTGTTCGTGACATTGACTGTAGGCCTGTGGGAAGATTGCGGAGAGACTTTACATTTTTTTTTTCCTAGGGGGAACCTACTCCTCTGTATATAAAAGTTTCCTTTCCGTCTTCGGGCTTCTCGTTAACTAAACATCCGCGCTGCGATGTTTTGTCAATTCTTGTTTGGTTATGACACTACGGAATCGTCGCTACCGTCGCGCACTCCTACTTAATATTACAAACCAGGGATACGCTGACTCTGACGCGACCTGGCGTTGACTACCCCAAGCTTCTATTGGGATCTTAATGCTACGTGATATGTATGTACTAGAAGGAACAGATATATAGCTGCCATATTTAACGGATAGCATCCAGTCGTAGACATCGTGTATTATGTTCCCAAGGATAAAGTGCTGAATTAAATAATACGGTTAAATGAAACGTAAGAAATTACAATTTTTTTTAATTTCACGTCTGATTCTGGGTAATAACACGCTGCAGTAGGAGTATCCTGAGATACAGGGAATTTCGCTGGAAACTGTATTGCGATAAAGTATATGAGAGAGATAAAAAATAAATTAATACTAGCTTATTTATATGTGAATAAAAGTTTAAAAGAGAGAGAGAGAGAGAGGGGGGGGGAGGAATGACAAATGGCAATAAAAATGAAGAGGTGTACTCATTGCAGTAAGTAGTTACAGCCAGCTGAGTCCTATAACTGCTTCCCGGTGAGTTAGCAATGGCTGCCGGTGCCTCTTCACCTTGGAACGAAATTCGTAAGAAACTACCAGGAGTCCTTCTGCTCTCGTCTCGCCTCATTCTCAGCTGGTGAGCAAACGGGACGGGAACAATGGCACTATCTTAATGGATTTGAATCACGGTGATTCCTTTGGGTATAAACATTTGAAAATTTCTATAAAATTTTTACTCTTGTGCCATGCATTCGTGGTTAGGACACGACTGTCTCTCTTCTATCTACGAGGCGACGCGATTTCAAGTACAGATAGTGGGAAGGACAAAGAAAAGAAAAGCTTGAAAAAATATTGATGTGGCAACTGGTCGCTTTACGTTTGTTGCCAGTCGATCTCATCAGCTGAGAAGTGCAACACAGCTGCAGTATGTATGCACCTGGCTACGTCGTGTAGTGACTGCACTTGGGAAGTGTCGAGAAGAGGATTTCGAAGTTTTGAACCGGGAAGATGCTGCTTGTCATGATACGTGTTGACAGTGGTTGCGAAAGCATCTTTTATTGTAATGGGAATTCTTATTTATATTTAATTTTATCGATATTGTTTTATCTTAGGATCGCGCAGGTTCGAATCTTTCAATTTATTACGTAATCACTGGTTTTTTTCTTGTTACGGGACGATGAATGACTTTGCATCCAGGACGGTGTCAAGAGAGACGCTTTTCGACGTCTGACGTCTGCCGTACGGATGAATGAGAGAACTTTAGAATTTGTAAATTCGCGAGGGTGATGCGTAACGGTCTCCTTAAAAATCTCTCGGGACTTTTTTGTATAAACGGATGTCAGATTAATTTTTTTTAGACTGTCACTTCATACTGATTCATTGGTTTCTCGTAGGTTTGACAGTTGAGAAGGATCAAAGTTATGTAATTTCAAAAATGAGGGACTTGAGAGGTAAAAGGAGTTTTTGAGAAAAAAAAATCGAAGGAATTTTCAAGTAAATAGAACTGGACGAAAAGAAAGGCAACTTTGAGTATATTAATAATTTGCAAGCGATTCCCCAGCGTACTTTGAAGTCTCGAAAAATGATGCAGCGGATTCAACTAGATCAAAGTTCTTGCTTGACAGGAATATAAAACAGAAGCCAGCGCGACACCGACCGTGTCCATAATACAGTGACAGGTAGGCACAAAAGTTTGGTGGAATAAAACGAGAGTACAAAGAATACACAGTAATAACGAGGGTTATTACGAGAGAGTTTAAAAGGAGGCTGTCGGCGTGGCGTGGAACGTGAAAGGCGTCTTTAAAGGGGTTAAAGGAAGAAAAGGGCTTTTAAAAATACGGGAAACCGGTCGGCTGACTTCGCTCATCAGCTGAGAGACCAGCTGAAGCCGAGTAGCGCAGTAACCTCAACTTTGAATTGAACGAGATGCGGCTCGATACTGTTGAATAATAATTAAAGCAGTTGATTCGCATGCAAGGCACTTTGACTCACCTTGATATGTTACGGGCGTCCCTGTAGTAGCGGACAAACGCGCGGAAACACCGATTTCCCTGCGGGAAAAACTTTTTGAAACCCACTCACAATGGAATCTTCCAGTAGACTGACCGAGCCGGCAAGCCGTTCTCTCCTGCGTGCACACCCACCGCCTCGCGCACAATTACGTTTTTTTCCAGGGTAAAACGCGGTCGTCCGCGTTAGTTGGCATCCGATGACGAACCTAGAACACCGAGAGTTCCTCCAGGATGGTGGACTACGCGGAAACACCTTTATCTCCAGCAGAATTGCGAGCGAACGTCCACCGCTGACAGTTCGAACTGTCACTCTCCGAGAAGCCATCAGAGTGCTGCCATCTAGTGGACGTCACGGGAGTTAACCATCCTTTGAATTTACCGCCACTTGCACACCTAGCAACAAGATCAATATTAGCCCTGTTAAATTATAAATTGAACGTTCTTACGTTTCAAGGACCGACATGGATTATGTTGCCGTGCACCATCTCATTTATTGAATATTCATTTATTTTGAGGTTCTCATTTATCTTTCAGGTTGTTAATTTCTTCAACACTTTCGACTCGAAGGACAAAGCAGACGCGTCTTGAATAGACATTTTTATTAATAAAGTAGTTCAGCTAGTACAATGATAGATGTACCAAACGACAGAATATGTTATATAACAATCTTTATAAATGCCTTCTCGTAAGCAGGCTTTCCTTTTCATAAATAATATCAGGTTTCGATGTTCTCTTTACCGATAGTCCATTGTATTTCTCGAACCGCTTGCATCGTTATGCTTCTTGGTAACACTCGTATATATGCATTGTTTCTCTTTCGTTCTCGTTTCTGATCTTTCACGCAGTCTCATGCAATCACTCGCATCCATTTACGCACTCTTCGATAATTTCCACCCCACCACCATCTTCTCACTCTCTATCTCTCTCTCTCACACACACACACACACACACACATGTTCTGTCTCTCGTTCTCACCATACCGCAAAATACAGCGCATGCACAACTAATTGAAAATCTCGTGTCTCCTTCATTCACAAATCGCTGCATGTTCTGTCTCTCGTTCTCACCATACCTCTTGGTAACACTCGTATATATGCATTGTTTCTCTTTCGTTCTCGTTTCTGATCTTTCACGCAGTCTCATGCAATCACTCGCATCCATTTACGCACTCTTCGATAATTTCCACCCCACCACCATCTTCTCACTCTCTATCTCTCTCTCTCTCTCACACACACACACACACACACACATGTTCTGTCTCTCGTTCTCACCATACCGCAAAATACAGCGCATGCACAACTAATTGAAAATCTCGTGTCTCCTTCATTCACAAATCGCTGTTAACGGTCTAAATTCACATTTACAAAATATAACAAACATTATCATTATTATTATTATATTTCTAGAACAAGCCAGGCGATTCGTTCATTAATAAAACATGAAACCAGATACTTAATGATTAATAACGGTATTAAAAAAAAAATGAGAAAAACACTGCGTCAGGAATTAATAAATCATGGACTAATAAATCGTGGATAAAGCTAAGAGGATAAACGCGCAAATTCAAATGATCGAAAAAAACAAATATGGTTACCGACTGAGAATATAAATTGATTTCTTATATAATGTATTGGTAAACAATTAATAATTAGCCTGCGTCTTATCAAGTTACTTAGTTTTTGGATGCTATTACTAATGTCCGCTGTACAGATATTTACGCACAAAATAGTTGTGCGTACTATAACGTTTAGATGCACGTTCTTAATTGAATAACCTAATTGAACACTGAGAAATCGTGCAATAGTCCAATAAAACTAATAGGAAACTTCACGAACCGTGTAAGAAAATAAAATATAAAAGTCACGGCGGAAGTTTCTACAACGGCAGGTGTTTCCGTGAAACCAACAATATTCGTTGCAAGAGTAAAAAAAATCTTATAGGAATGTCTTTGTATGGCGAGAGAAAACACATTACGGCTAGGAGATCGTATGCGATCTTATAACATATACATGTTGATAATTATTCTAAATAATCTAGATTTCTATCTATCCCGCAAATAATCAAAAGATATTATACTATTACCTATAGGAAATACGGGCAACATTATTTCAATTATACACGGCGGCACTGTCTTTACAGGTTGAACAATTTACAAGATAGGAGTTGCTCAAGCATATAGAGAAAAAAATTAAAATAAAAAGAATTTTAAAAAATCTTTAAACAGAAGTCACGCTCTGTTTCAAACAGAACTAACGACCTGCTAGTGCGAAGTTAATCATACCCGGTGCATGGGTGAGGTCAGATATCAGATGAGGTCAAGTTTTCACCGTTCGCTATAACGATCGTAAGGCTACTGAGGTTTCTTCAGGCTCTAATTCCAATGATTCTTAGATTCTTTTATTCTCAAACTTCGTCGTTCTCACTCTAATCTTTTTTTCAATCGCATTGCTATCGCCGCCACCAGGGCGGCGCCTTTGCCGCTGCCGTCTTCCGCGCCAATCAGCTTGAACTGCACACAAGTAAGACAGATGCTCGATCGATATTGCATTATATGGAAAAATTGATTTCTCACGCTTTGCTAGAGCATGTATGTAATGTAAATTGTATATATATATATATATATATTATGTCTAGGAGCTAAAAGGCTGATATACTGATTCATCCAACCCTTGAGTCGTGGATGATGTTTGTAAAGAGATCCGTCTACAGCTATCGTTGCTGATTTTTTATTCATTCTCTCCAGTAAAGCTGCCAGACCTATAAATAAGTATCGTGAAAATAGCTGAGAGGGGGGAAGCGAAAAAAAGAATACTCACATATAGAAATAAGAAGCGCCGCACGATTCGATACAACTTCGCATACATATTGAACGATTTTCATATCATCTTCTTCAGTTGTTATTCCGAATTTCTGTAGGACCTTTCTGGTGTTCTCAAAACCACCGTGTACAGTGTCACTAAAATTATTGAAACGATGAGTACCATTGACATTTTTCTACAGAAAAAATGAAGCAGACTTACGATTCAACGTCAGATACCAGGTCACTCGTGAGGGTACCAGGTGTTAAAAGATCCGTAGGATTATGCGATTCGAATAGAAGACCTTTTTCATATAATTGTTTCAACACAACACGCACCACCTCACCCAAGAATTTGCCACCGATATATTTCTCGAATCTGTCAATGAAAAAGAATATAATAAATTTCTTTAGCTCTCTTAAACATATATATAATAATACTACTTACGTAAAGGAATTGATTATTAAAGAATTAGCATCGTTCTCGCGATCGAAATCAGTCTTTATAAATTCCAGTACACCATTGTCACCAAATGCACCCCATTCTATATCGATGATTACCTAAAAATACAATAATTCATCTTATTCTTACTTTGCCTTTAGATAATAGTATAATTATTAATGTAAATACCAACTTCTTTCTCGCCATGTCTTTCAGTCTCCCAGTGCTCGACCCTATCAGCTCTTTCAAAATAACAGGCATTGGTACCAGTACCAAGAATAAGACCAACAGCTGTATCAGGATCCTGAGTCGCACCTTGGACCAATGTTCCAGTAGTATCATTCAGTATAACAAGTACATTAACCTTGGTATCTCCACGTCTATCCAGAGCATCTCGGAGAAGCTTCACAGCATCCTTGTTAACGACATCAGGACAATTAAACGTCTTGGTCCAGGTGGTCAGAACGCCGACATCCAAAGAATGTTGATTCATCGGGAAGGAAAACGTGAATCCTGAAAGATAAAATCCAGAATAAAATAACCAGTAATATCCAAGGACGCAAAGATATATAAAGATAACAAAGAAGAATCCATCTTCACAAATAATTAAAAAATTATTATCAATGAGAAATTGAATTTTTCACGAGAGACCTTAAATATGATTTTATTCATATGATGGATTCTCTAATAGAAGTCTAAATTCAGCTTCATCTAGAAATATGCTTTAATCTCATTCTAATGGAAAAAAAGCGCAGCATGTGGTCTATCGATTTCAATTTACCAAGAGGAAGCTCTACATCCTGAAGACCCTGGTTGATGACAAAGTCGCTGACGCAAGCTGCTAGATAGTCAAAGAGTCGAATCCCAGAACCGATCCTGAGTTCTACACTTATATCGTACTTCTGTACCGTTTCACGTACCACACGTCCCATGTCCAGTTCAAGAAGTATCATCCGGAAGTACGTACCACCCAGATCCAGTGCAAGAAAGAGTCCAGACTCTGAAATGTGAAAAAGCAAGTAACTATATCTTAATTCCAAATGAATTTTTTACTGATACTCAGCATACAAAATTATATGAAACTAGATTACCTGTTCCATCAGGAAGTTCAGGGATGTAAGTATTTTCCATCTGAAGGGATGACGGCTGTTGATGAATTCCTTTCTCCATCTCTGACACAAATATCTCCTGTATCTTTCGTACAGTCGCGGCGGAGAATCTCATCTGTTCCAAAAGATCTTCGACCTGTAAAAATCAATAGATTCATTATTTAAATTTCAAATCAACAACGATCCTTATTACTAAGGCCCGAATAAGTCGAGGTAAGGTAAAAGTATCAGAATAATATATTTTATGGATTTTCATTCTTTCCCCTTTTCTCTATCATCACACGACTATAAACACTATAATTTACATAATGCAAATAATCGGACAGAACGCTGAACTCACGTGTTTATTGTACGGTGTACTCTTGTTTACATTCTTATGAACTCTAATGAGAATCTAATGGATTTCTATCACGTCACACTTACGTATCATATCATATACATAGTACACACGGTTACTTCATATTTCCGCAGTAAAGCCGATGATAGTAAAAAAAAAAAAAAAAAAATCATTTATCATCCGTTCAATCTTTTACGGAAATGATCTAAGCGATATGGCAAATTAACATGGCGTTACCAGTAAACGTAACAAAGATACCACAATCTCTGATAACAATTGTAACCACAATTATTATCTATGAACAATCCACCCATATACAAGGACTGATTACTACACTATCACACACGATAGCAAAGAGATGAAATATTCATGGATGCTAAACAAAAAAGAATTTAATTGAAAATCGATACACGACTTCCGTATAAGAAACGGTGTAACATATAAGTAATGTATAAAATAATAATCTGTGGTTTAACGTAAATCGATACTTATTGGTAGAATTGACAGGGTCATCAATAAAGCCATGAAATTTTATAGTTCATAAACGTAATAACGATTGGTAGGTATTGACAGATGAAACCATCATCGTATGATGACTCTTGGAAAAAAAAAGATAATATGATCTTTGTCTTTTTTAAATACACAGTAGTACAGTGATACGTGTAGTATTTTCAATTAATTATTTTCCCCTTCAAATATCTACAGACTGACTTTGATCAATTTACAGATAATGGAATATCCCAAATTCCATTTGAACAGTCAAGTACTAATTATGACGTATTGTACATGTTATTGGGGTAAGTCAACAAAATGAATGACTCAACATGAAATCTCTATACACAATTTACGTTAACGCATACATTCACCTTTAGATTCATCCTATGTTAATAACGTTAATAAATATTCCATTCCGAGCAATTAACAAAACAGGGAGTAATGAGGTAGAGTGTGTAAATGTGATTTGCCGATACCGAAGGCGCGTCACGCAAAAGACAGCCTGTGATTGGCTTGTACAACACGTTCCCTTAACTCTAAATAAATACGACCTGCATAATCAGTAAACTCGATTAATGTAAAATAATATAGTAGTAAAGATAAATGTGAAATAATTGACAAATATTTTTTTTAAATGTAAATTTTTTTCTTTACTCAAAATTCTATCACTACGATCCTATTAATACGATTTTCAATACTTTCTATATTCATGTGATTCCGTATCTTAACCTTTAATAGGTCGTAGTGGCCAGAAACAGATACCAGCATAACACGCAAATAAAGATGAATTACAGAAAAATATGCATCTTTGATTAATATATTTATGCTTTAATATTATATAATGTATTGACGTATATAGGTATATTTGTTTGCAGATATGCAATTTTTTTAAAGACTGGTATATGTGTATCGTTCAACGGTTTTTTTAGTCTCTTCAATGTCTACTTTTCATTTCGACGTGTCTAGGTTATAAAGCTGTTTCAGAATGAAATTTTGCTAATCAGACTCAAAAGTCGTGTTTAGCGATATAATAGCGAAATAAAAATTTTGAAAATTTTCAATATTATTAACGTTTGGGACCTCGCTGTCCACCTGTGCTCAGCAAGAAACTCGACGCCTCCTCGTAATGCATAAATTCCATATATACATAAATATTCCGTACAAAAAAAAATTTCAAGGCAAAAATGCTGACCCTCTAAAGGTTATTTTGGAACGGTATAGTCGATACACGTGTTTTTCAAAACTTCGGTATTTTTTAACTAAATGCTATTTCAAGGTCATTAACGATTTGCGTAATCATGCGCGTAAGTATCAAGCATCGAGTAAGCTTCTTCACGTGTGGCCGTTCGTGCGGTTATGTAAATTGGAAGAAAGTACAGGCAGTTCATAGCCATTGATTAAGGAGGAGGTCAATAGGTTAAGAACTTCATTCGCAAGTCGTTCTTCCTGCGTTGTGAATTTTCTTGTATGTATTTCATATTCTTGAAGATATTCGATCCACGTTACATGCCTTTTGACGCTTCGCAGCATCCCTCAGGACCAGTGGAGCCACTTGAATGGCATCGTCTAAAGCGCGTTCCTCGGTGGCCGTCATTTTTTAAAATTTTCCTAGTAAAGTTGGCTCTGTGAAGAATAAAAAATTAATGTTATTTACATATGTATAATCTGCGAATGTATGTAAAAAAAAAAAAAAAATTATACAAATTTTTATAGAGAACATTTTAATTCATTTAAAAAATATTCAATATAACGCATTGAACATACATTTTTCCACATTAACGATACGAATGTCAAGAACGATTGGCAATTAAAAAAATAATTGAAAAAAAAAGCAAAAAATTAATTGAAGACGTTACTGCTTATAATTTTTTCATCATTTCGCCGCGAAACGCGCCAAGAAAAGGGACATACGCTCGGTGTATTTCATGATAACAATTCTAGTCAGTGTCATATGTTATCAAGTTTGTATACGCATATTGTAGGCTGTTATCACGATATTCGCGTCAGTAATTTTTTCTATAGTCGAAATGAATATGGAAAACAATTTTTTTAATAAATAAAAGATTAATTAATCGTTATACGTAAAACAACTATTTATAGCGCGTGCGTCTGTGAGATAAGAACAAAAATAATAATAATAGATTCTTCATTGTTAAGATGTTACAAAGGGCGAGAATCAGCTGCATAAGTAACTGCTTTGCATTCTGACCTCCTATGTGTATAACCTATTAAAAAAATAATCGCAAGTACAATATGTTCCACAAAACAAGTGACATCTCCTTGTAACTTTGATTTATTTCTTCGGCATTATTACCGAATGAATGCCAAAGCGATTAAGTAGGAGAAAATTTGTCGCGATAATTGAAACAAGATTTTGGGACTTTCTTTAAAAACAATAACGAAGTGTTTGTATGCAACAAAACTATATCACTATTGTATAATAATGAAATTAATTTTTCACGTTCGACGTTGCTATTGAGAGATTTTAATATCGAATACGACGAATCGATAGATGCAGCTCATGCGCCGAAATTCGCATTGCACTCAGTGCAGCAGTCAGGGGTAGTGAGAGCGATGACCGCAGATGCAGCTGCAATGGATTTTCTACGGTCACCGAAGACGCAGATGCACGGGCAATTAAAAATTCATTGGAATAAAAATGATAGGTTGTTGGGAAAATCTGGTTGGCCAATCATGAGCTAGATAAATGCCTTTTGTATTTTTATTAACCCTTAATGCCGTGGCTATACTTATCATTTAACGACTAGAGCAGTATCTATATTGTAGAAGGTTTGATTAAAAAAAAAAAAAAGAATCAAAGAGCCACCTGTTGCATCGGACGGATCGAAATAATAAATAAATAAAGATTGAAATATCAACGTAACAAAATTCAACGTTCTCAAAGATAATGAAATGTGTAAATAAATTATGTGTTATAATTTTCATTTTTAGATACTGATATTAGACACTAGTTTGACTTACGTTTGTCAATTGGCAGTTTAGTTCGTCATTTTCGTTTGGCAGTTAAAACTTGACAGTAGCGGGAGAAAGTTGCTTGAAAACGGTTTCGATAGGTGTGTCCGAATTGGATTGAGGGATAGGAAGCAAAGAGGAGGGAGATAGTGGGCCCCTTACGTAAAGAGAAGACTGAGAACGAACCTTTATTAAAATCAATTGTAAGGTATAAACGTCAAGTCGCGATAATTTAGCCAGTTGACCCTACGTGGCGATTCTAATTCGGAACGTAAAGGAAGGCTTGTCACTTGCCACTTTAGGACACAAACGATCTTATAAAATGCAAACGTCTTTAATTTCGATTGATCTTTTAATGCCATCTGTGTATTACCTTTTTTCCCTTTCTTTTGCGAAATAAAGAAAGAAACCGTTGAAAACTTCATTCAAGAGTCGTTAGAAAATTTCCCGCCGATGGCGCCACTGCCGCTCTTTTGAAATTTGTTTCAACAATTCTCTAGGCCGATTCGAATACATCTTTATAATTGGTACGATATTTACATTTATATTCGTCTAGAGACATTTTTACTTGTGGTCAATTAAAGGAACGCTCGATTAAAGACGTGTACCTTCCTTATGACAGTGATCGAAGTTGTGTACAATTCTGTCAGAAAATATAAGAGGAACGATGATGAGAGACGCGAGTGAATATTTCTATAACAATTCAGCTAATCCACTCAGATGTTGGTTTACCCTGTCATTTCGTATATTACCTCTTCCTGAGTTTTGACAATTTCACGCTTTCTTTTTACTAATCAAACAACTTTTCCGTATTCTCTGACAGTTAACAAAGATGTGACCAAAGTCAACATCCGAACCAAAAATGTTACATCACGAGATTATTGTAGATTTAGCTTTAGATTCAGTAGAATTCAGATAACAGAATCAAAAATAAGGTAAATACAAAAGACGTCAAAATACCCGATGAAAATATTAATATTTATCAAACACCACCTGGAGATAACGTAACGGTAAGTCTACATCAAACAAATGCAAACTAGTCAGCACGATTACTGTCAATCGAACACCGGCATGGTCTACATCCGGTGCAAAGAATCTCATGTCAGTACGGATGATCAGTGAAAGAGAAAAAATTTAAAAAACAAATATACAATAAGACTCACCGTGATATGTAAAAGAAAAACTAGCCTTCAGATCCAATCGCAAAGAACCGGCTGTGTAAGAATCCACGCAGATGGGAAACAACGTCTGGTTTTTCTAATTCTAACCTGACAACGAGTCTCACACGATCCTGCGACGCTTTGGAACAACAGGTACGTCGTTTACGACTATTATTATATCATATATGCTATATATACATATACATACACATATATATTTGTATATATATCTCTACCATAAAAGTGAACGCAGGATCATTAAATGTACTCGGTGTCCTACGAACGACTGGCCAAGCCTCCACGCTATCCCCACTGTTAAAACTCTCAAGGGGTTCTCACACGATCCCCACCAAGAAACTAATTCCGTACACATTTATGACTGCGTAAAGAATCATTCACGCATATTATAACAATCGGAATATACAGATACGTCGATTAGCAGAGCCTGGAGACATATATCTATTCTGCAACTACTACACGGCACAGAATTTCTATACGGAATTTATGGTATGGCAGCAGTGTCGCGTGTATATAAAATGTTCGCATATAATATATATAAGAACACGTAAGAGAGGCGTATGAAAAAAATACAAGGTGTAATATATAGTATTATGTATACATGCTGGAGCTATGCGATACGTAGACAGTGTTGTGACGGTTATAGGTTAAACCAGCGATATCATGGTTTCATGCGGTTTATAGTGAGATTCTCAATTTTTCATTTAAATATATAACTCCTAGTGTGTATTATAAGAACGACGTAGTAAAAACGTTGTTTGAAAGAAAGTACTGTATAGTTTGTATTATTGTTATGTGGATCATGAGATAAATTTAACTTGCAGTAGTGAAGCTAGTGTGTTATTCTTTCTTTTATTACTATTTTGATTGCACGTTTATAAATCGTATAACACGTTGACGAAATTGTCTCATACATATGAACGAATGTCGCTATGTAATAATGGATGTAATAATATGACATCCGTCTCTCGGTCCATCGCAGCTCAATGGAGTTTTGATTAAAACAGTCAGCGTGTTTAAATTTAGATTACTCACAAGTGTCCATTCTTTTGTCGTGTGTAGTGAGGCTGCACTTTTCTTCTTGCACCTCTTGCCAAATTTTCACTTATTTGTTATTACTTGGGAATTATTCTTTTTTCATACTGCACTGTAACTTTCAATTTGATCGTTTTTATTACGCGACATATTTTCAATGATCCACTGATTGAGCAACAGGTTTTTTATCTACGAAGATAATTGCACGATTCGTGTGAATGTTCTCCTGCACTGTTTTTTTTTCATCGTAGCTTCGACGATTGTGAAGACCGCGTTCCTTCTGCTGAAAATTAAAAAAATTCACGTTTATGAAACTATTGCATAAAATTAGGAAAATTCCAATGATAGTAAAGTTTAAACTATTTGATTTTCTTTAGTCTCAGATAAAATTATGCCTTCCAATGAAACTTGCTTCTGACAAGTTAATAAATTGATGCAAATTTTGATTAATAAGCGTTTTAGTCAAGGACAATGTATCGTTTCTTCTTTTTATTACCATGCTTTCCACACTGAGTCGTTCACCGTTCGCCATCTTTAATACAATGGATGCGACTCATTGACGCGGATATGGCGCGAACAGAAATTCAAACTCGTTTTTCGATTGCGGGTTTTACAAATTCTACAGTTATTTGGCATTGACTGTAATGATAAAACAACCTTGAATTTTATTCAATTTAAAGGTGAAAGTTTTTCATACCTTACAGAATGTAGCATTTCACAAGGTAATTCTATACGGTCTTTATACGGTTCAAGATTAATTTGATTGACCTATCCAAAACCACGTTTTTTAAAATTGATAGCTAAATATGCTTATCAGAATCAACAGCGATATCAGATTTTCATAAGCCACTAGATAATACAGAGACCACTGTTTATATAATAAAGAATTGACCATGAGAATAAATAGTGTTATTATCATGCTTCGCTATAAAAAAAATTTCATCAATTTTACAACTTTCAATTTCTCATATGAAACGCATATAGTCTTCTATATGTCTGAACGTTCAGTTCGAGTTTTAATGTAAATTGTCAGCCCATTGTCATGAAAAATCTTCGAACCATCGGTAAGTATCAACGATGTATTTAATTAGAAGGGTCAAACTTTAAATTGATCTTTCGAGGTCACTCGTCTTGCCTTAAAAATCTTTTAACCATCAGTAAGTATCAAGGATGTATTTAATTATAAAGAGTATTATTTTTGCAAAATATGTCTGTACCATTAATTTTTTAATTCCCGACTGTCCTCTTGCCTGAAAGGCAGTCACAAAGGAGGAATTATGTTTCGGTCTACACCATTTCGTGGAACTGTACTGTATCCGAAAAGGATATTTTTACTTGTAATTTTGTCACTAGTTCCAGAATTTTTTTTTTTCTATACTCGAGTTAATAGGCGCTATTTGTCACCGTGTCTTTGTTAATCAAGAAGAAAATATTCCGTTGTCCTAAGAAGCCATAGACGCGAACTCTTCATTTAATTCGAATCAATTTCGAACAGTGCGCATGCGCAACTGTTCTGACAACCATACGAATAAACTCTAGTCCGAAAATAAGACTCGATTGACAGGCTATTATAAAACTTTCCAAAGTGACCTCCTCGTCAATGTTAACGCTAAATTTTTTGAAACTGCGACGGCAGACGCCGCGAGCATCTAAATCATGTGTCCATCGAACAATTTCGTCAAAATAATAATGGAAAAGATATACACACTGCAAGACCGATTGACGAATAAAGAGAGACAGGATTACGATAAACTCTAAAAGTATGAACTTGACCAGTTGACAGGAATCAATCGCTATAAAATATGATATCCAATAAAGCACAAACAAGAAGGAAAACTTGAAGAGCATACTTCTCACGAGTAAAAAAAATAATAATTTTCACTTTACCTCCATTAATATTCTTGTATTATTTTACTTGTCTAGAAATCTATTAATTAGCAGTAATAATAAAATTTCCTGGCACCTTAGGTATACAGAAGATTCTTAGTCACAAAACAACCGAGTCACGATTACAGAGTATATTATAAAAAGAGCATTACAAAAAAAAACAGATTCAAATTTGCTCACTTTACGTACATGCATGCGCCATTACATAACAGCCATCCATAAAAAACGGCAGCAATAGTACAAATCTCCAAGACCTCTCGTTATTGTTATCTAGATATGTATCTTCCATTAGGATGTTATCTACATAAGATACTGTATCTCGTGTCTCAAGTCGTTAGCAAAATTGGAAGTTCCAAGGTGACTCTGATTCGTCTTTTCCTATTATTTCTTTTTTATACTTCAAACACTTGTCATATCAAAGTATCCAGAACTTTTTCTCTCCTACAATTTTCTTTCACTTTGAATTTAAACAAAAGGCAAGACGAGTGACCTTAAAAAGATCAATTTAAAGTTTAACCGTTTAATATCTAGCAGCTGACATCCTGGCCGTTCGGAGCATGGTGGAAATATACAATTACATTATTTTACTGATAAATCATTACCGATTACAAATTGTCAGACATGCAGAGTTCAGTAACCATCGCGTTAAGGTTCATTTAAAGCAGACTTCTCCACCATTGTTACATCTATTTTTATTCAGACATTTTAGTCACTGGTCACTCAGTCAATTTACACCCAGTGACGTAGAAAGAGGGAGAGAGAGATACAGAAAAATATATATATATATCCATAAAAGTACAATAAAATAGAAAAAATGTCAGTTTTCAAAACAATCTCTATTATAATTATTTTATAAGGCACTCTTATATAATGCCAAATAATCTGGTTTCATCATATCAGCATATAAGCACAGAACGACTAGATTCCAATTTATGATTTGTTCCTTTATATCTGCGTCACGTGTTAGTTCCGCGAAATTATTTAACGATAAAATATTAATTATTCAGGTAGAAGATCGTCGCCAAGTTCATCGTCACCAAAATCGTCGTCCCTCTTGCCAGCTGAGGTCATGGGTCGCGTCGGCATCGGACCCACAGGATCGGAGTAGCTGGTGTCTGAAAGAATAATTATTTTTTCAAATCCTTAAGAAAATCAATAATCCAGTCGGTAACAATACGAATATTATATGTAATAAAGTAAGTCTGAACGTCTTGTCTATACCAATGAAAAACTATTGAGCTCTTTATTAACGTCTCTTTTTTGACTTTTTTCTTTCAGATAGTACTAAGCTTCTCTCCATTTTTATCAGACTCGCAATCAGCGGAGCGTTAAGAAGATATATGGGAGTACTGGAATAGAATGTGCGAATGAGTTAGGCACATCTATCATCCATTCAATCCATTAGAGCAACGCGTACTGTATGTCTAGATCACCTTGTTTAATATCAATTCCGATTGAAGCTACGCAAGACAATCATTCAAATAATTTAATCGATATTGACATCTCCACGTGCTACTGGACGAAGAGAATTTTCCGCCATTTCAAAAATTCTTATGACATGCCAAAATATCATTGAATACTGACTGTGACAGTTATAATAGACAAGTATTTTAATTAATGCGCATATTTTGAGTGGCTCCTTTTTTTCTTCTCTCTAACGAATCAATAGTGGATTTAGATGCTGGACTGATTGATTGATCAATATATGTAACTGGAGATAAGTACCTATAGAACGATTAGCGTTATCTGATATTAATTTTACGTGAGGTCCGCTGGAACGTCGTATTGTATTTTTGAGAATAAATGGCTGAGAGAATTATCGCATGTAAAACTAAACGCTGGACTAAGACGGTTTCAGCGTTAGATAACCATAATTTATTGGCTAATAAACGCCCGCAGATTGCGTAGTGTGCGCACAGTAACAATGTGCAGCGACCTTCGTTACGTAACAGAATGACCAGCCTATATTTGCAAAGATGAAACTGTACTTCCTTAACTGGTGAACTGTCTAAAAAAGAATCATTTTTCTTCATTTAGATGAGAAAAACGTAGCTCGATGATTGCGATAAATGAAATGATCAAAGAAAATCATTCCGTGTTCTGGATCCTGATGCTGCACCAATTATTATTCCTTACTTCGATTCAGTTATGATTTCACAATAAGGAACGACGTTGGTTACTTATCTTAAAATAAAAGAGAAAGAGTATAGACACACGAACGGATAGATTTTGTTGCATCAGATTCTTGAAAATCATAGTTAATGGGAAAAATGATTTTTGAAAAAATAATAGCAGGAAAATTCCCAGTTATAATAACTTTACGACGTTACGTGGAACCGACAAGCGGCCGAAGATTAAGAGATTCCAGAGTTAATACTTTCGGTAACGTAATCGCATTTTTATCATTCTTTGAGAATAAAAATCATAGATGTAGATCAGGGAACAAGACTGATTTATCTACATGAAAACGGTATCCATGAATCATTTGTGCTTAGATAATTGACCATTCCCATCATTGTAATGGACACCGTCAAATTGCAAATTGATCCAATCAAACTAGTTATCGAGGTCAGGAGGTCAATGGATTTTATGAAGATGATGCTGTCATTAGACCGATCATCACTGACGAGGAATCATCTCGAACTATATGGACACGCATTAATGTCACAGCTCAACTAGCAATGTAAGTACACTGTGCAATGCGCATTTTAAGTATAATTATTATATACACGTGTCAAGATTCCGAACTCACTTATACGGGTGATGGGTTCTGGTGTGAATTCCAAAGGACTCTCTAACATCGCCAGACGATTTGCACGGATTGGACCTCCGCTGTGAGATCCTTGAAGATCTCGACCAGAAGTTGGACTTGAACGATGTTCAGATACCGTACTCATGCCCGAACCACCCCTGGAGGAAGTGCCACTGTTACTTCTACGGGATCCTGATACAAGAAGTAAAATAAAAAAATACAGTCATGATTAGTTGTTCGTGGTCGATGTTCTTTATTTTTAATAGTTTATGGATTTTTCATTGAACCTGTTGTTCCAGGTCGACTGGAAGTTTGCCTCTCTTTTAATTCCTTTGCCTTTTCTACCTTCTTTAACTCTGCTGCGTACAACTGCGCCTCCTTCAGCCCTAAATCACTGCACAGTCTTACAAGGAATTTTAGACACTCGATATTCTCTGGAAATTTTTTGTGAATGTCCTGATACTCTGTCAAAGCTTTATGAAATTGTCCTGTTCTTCTTAGACAAGCAGCTGCCAGTAGCCGCCATCTTGGTTGATCCGGTGCCAATTCAACGGCTCTCTCAAAGAAAGTGAATGCTTTCTCAGCAACCTATTTAAAATGACATGTAACTGAGTGAATTTCTAAATAAATAATAGAATTAGGATATATTACCTGCATTGAGATAAAGTACGAACCAAGCCAGTCAATCACCTCAAAATTCGCTGGATAAAATCTGTAAGACTGTACAAAATGAAAATTCAATTAATTAAATCAATAAAACATTAACGCTATCAGTAGAGCAACACTTACGTCACTGTAAAATTGATACGCTTGCTGTTTATCACCCAAGTTATCATACATTTCTCCCAATTTCTGTAACACTCCTGGATCCGATGGAATTATTCCTAATAACTGATTAAACCTAGTGTAAAGAGTAACAGAGATAACTTATTATAAAAATACATAATAGTTACGCATTAAATACGAAACAACATTTTTTTTACCATTCTGCAGCTTGATCCATGTCGTTAATGAGCTGATATAGATGACCTATTTGATAAAGAGTTTGTGGGTCGAAACGAACAATATTGCGTAATTTCCAGAAGCACTCCAAAGCATCCTCATACATATTTTGTTTCTTATATACCAACCCTAAAGGATGAATCTTCATAAATTGTTGTTTTTTTTCTGCTTAACGCTAACGCTAACTTCATTATTTTAATGAAAATTTACCTAGATTGTACAAAGCCTGTACGTGACTGGCATCATTGTCCAAGGCACAGAGTAAAAGTTCCCTGGCTCTTTCGAACTCCCCTTTGTTTATTGCACATGCAGACAAATTAACATAAGCAGCTGCATTATAACTATCTGCCTTTCGTGCTATTTCGCCACACCGTTCAGCCTGATCGTAATCTCCTTGCTAAATTTAAATGAGCATAGCATGAACATCACCTAAATGAACCATAATTGTCACCGAACTTGAATTATATTTTGGTTATTAAATTACCAGGAAGTAAATGAATGAGAGCATCGTGGAAGCAGCACTGTTTGCTTTTGTATCTCGATTTTCAAAAACCTTCAGTGTGTCAATGGCGAGTTGTGTCTCGCGATTATGCAGGAATACCATTGCTTTGCTTATCTCCAAGTCTGCTGCCAAGGGACCGTAAACCGAAGACTTGATAGCATCCACACACCTAAGATTTGATAGGATAATTAAAAATTTAATTAAGTACTAATTATGTAATATTTTTTTTACCAGGCAAATCCAGCAGTCAAGGTATCTTCGATTACTGGCGCTATGAGCTTTGCTGCACTAAGAATTGTTTTTTCTGCCTCGAGTTTCATCTCCCTTTCAAGTTTTGATAGATCGTCATTCTTTATGACTTCGTTAATTATATTTGCGGCTATGTCGTCCTGTGAATTCATGATAAAAGGCTGGTTAGAATTGGTCGACTTTATAGCAAATATTCATGTGAGAACGTAGTGCGATGCAGAAATGGAGTGTGGGTGTTATATATTTAATTCGTAGGAAAGCAGTGTTACACATAGTAAGAACGACTGTGCAGTTTTTTTTAAAGTTACAGTGAACTCACTGTATTATTATTATACTTGTCCTCCTGATCAATATTAAGCTGAACTTCTAACAACTCTAAGAAACCTCGTTTCATCTTATCGCGATGTAATAATGCAAAATGACACAAGACAGCATGCAAGCCTGCTTTGAATTCTGCACGTTCTCTCATGACATACTCGAAACTATTAGCAGCCTCTTCCAAACGGCCCATTTGCACAAATAGCATTCCAATGTTATGCATAATTTTTATTCTGTGAATGGCGTAAAGGGTTAATATTGGAAATAGTTTAGAAGAGTTCTAGAACATTTATTTCATCTTAAGCCTGACATACCTCAAATCCTTTTGTGCTGTCGGAGCTTGGTCCAGGGCCATTCTATACATTTTTATAGCTTGGGGTAATTGACCCGTCTTGACGTAGATATTTCCCATATTTACCTTTAATCTAGCACTGTTATTAAACATTCTATTTCTTGTTATAGCTTGATACGTCGCTATAGCTTCAGTATACATTTCATTATTTGTGTATTGACTTGCCAAATTAAATAGGACCTGAGAATTCAGTAAATTATTAAAATAGTGAAATGTTTACGGTATGAAATATTTCAACTCTTGTATATTACAGCAAATGTCAAATCCACGTTGTGACTATCGCTGAGACCTGCTTGCTCCTGAAGTCTAATTAAAGCCCTTTCTCTCGAAGAAGCTTCCCTTGCTCTTTCTAATGCGACCCTCATATTTTTCTCACTTGCAGCCTCTGCAGAATTCTCAATTAACTCCATTATTCTACGTTCTGCAGTCTTTATCTTTTCCTCTGGTCTTTGTAAATAGAAGTCTCATGTATTAAGAAGTTCAAAAAAAACTATACATTCCTTAATAACTTACTTGTCTTCCTTGCCAGATTCTAAAGGAGGTGCAGGTCCCCTAGAACTACTACTCATATTTAATGGATCGAATGTTTGCCGACTACTTGTATAGCCAGCACCACGAACAGCAGTCATTGGTCTTGGCCCTGCAGTACCTGGATGTCCAGTCATTGTAGTTCCACCTCTGTGAAACTAAAAAATTCTTAAATTAGCACTAGTAAACCGATATATAAATCTTGTATTACGTGTCTACACTGAACCGTACTTACTCCACTGGATGTTCCAAAACGCATTGCGGTACCAGGTTTTTTTGGAGTGATCTAATGTAAAATGAGGTTTATTCGCCCATAATATTTCATATGAATGAATAATATTAACAAAATCCCTAAAAATCAGTTTAACACTCACAATTGGACGTTTGGCATAACTAGTTTTAAGCGCTTCTTGAAACAATTCATCCTGATCCAGATCTTTTGTACTAAACATCGACGGATAATCATTGTATCCCGTGTAAATATCATCATCAGCCATCCCAGCAATTGTAGCAGCAGTCATTGGGATCACAATTAGCTTATATTGATTTCACTGAACTAAATACTTGCAACACTTGTGACAGATGCGACTAGGTTAGATACACAAATATTATTCTAACTGCATAATAGCCAATACGCAAGCTTACAGCACCACGCGGGGTTGACATGCGTCACCGGTGTGACATGTATACGTACATATGTAGATATCCGTGACCAAAGTAAAATTAAAAATTCCGATACACTTCGTAATTAGACACTTCATTTGTTTGATATGCTTATCATTCAATAAAATAAGATATACTGCTGAGGAGAATAAGGGTAGTCAGAAGGTCTATTACTAAATAAGACTTTAATATTAAATAAATAGTATACATTCGTATTGAAGTCTAATATATTAATTCTTATAACATTCATTCGGTTGCCTTCGAAGACAGACATATGCATGAACGTTACTACGGACTCTCTTGTAAGCTTAGAACAAATACATCCATTACATTATACAATACTTATCCATATTATACATTCGTAATCTGTACTTCACGTAGGAAGACTTATTACCTCCCATTACAATGCACCATGATCATTCTTATATACACATTGTATAATCCCACAATAATCTATCAAACACATCATCAGGATCTGACATGTAAATAGACATTGATTCAAACTATACTCCATATAGAATCCAAGAATGATAATAATACAGAATTACGCAACGATAAGTTCAGGGAAGAGTTAACACCTTGTAATAAATTTACAGGAAAATCGCAACAGCGTTAGCGCATCACAATTGCTACTTCTTTCATACTGTATAAATTATGGATTGGAAAAATCGTTAATTAAAAAAAAAAATAAAAATAAAAAGTAACGCTGTCCCCTAAAAAAAAGGACTACCCACAGTTCATCCATTCAATTATCTCAAATGTACGCTCCACGACGGTCAAAGTTACCCTTTTCAATTCTAACATGAGCTTCATAGAAACTCTTGTGACTGTAATACTCATCCATTCGTTACAACTTTGCCATAGTTAAAATATTATGGAGAAACGTTAATTAATATAATTTAAAAAAAAGGATACAATTAAAAGAAATGCATTCGATTACAGCGAAACAGAATCAGTCTACAGTTTACAGGATCAGATACCATTAAATATTATATGATCCATTAAATTTCTGTACAATGATTCATTATTTATGTTCATTAATTCGATTGATTATTACATGTAGAAAAATAGTGTTCAAGAATGAATCTTATAATATAGTTTACGCACTTGGGTCAAGCATTAAACTTCATTACTTTATACAATAGCATGATAACTCCAGGGCTTTAAGGATTTATATAAAAACTGTAACGATAACACTTTTGGGTGACGCTAGAAAATTTCTGAGAGAAAGTATTTTGAACTTTGTAAACCCAAGGCGATATCGATTTCTGACTGTCTTACAGTTTAAGCTTCAATTATCATACGGAGGAACAATTTACATTAGAGATAAAGAGTTTTTCAAAATTCAGAAGATACTTAGTTGTCATTGAGAAGTCATTGCGATATGAGAAAACTAAACGATCTTTTAGCTCATAACGAATAGCAATAAAATGGTGGAGAAGAATTATCGGTCTATGTAAACTACGTTTAAATTTTACAGGTCGTTTCAAATGTAACCAGTCGAGGATCCACCAGATCGTACACATTCGTAACTACTCACACAATCGAATTAGGAGGCAAGTTAGAAGATCAATAATGATAAAATGATAACAGCAACATAATATAAACTATATTATATTCGCATTAACTATATAAAGGCTAAAGTATAGAATATTCCGCTTTCACTAATTTTTTACTATTTTAAATAGTCAATTGACAAGATTATTTTTATAATAGCTGTTCGTACGCAACCAATATATTTATACGTTGTATCTTTCATATATTGCATTAATTAATTGTCACGATCGATATTTCATCTCATTCGTCACTTAATAAACCGTGATAAAATACGAATAAATGGATGAGATAATTCTTTTCTTTCTTTCTATCAATTTCAATATTGACGCATATAAGACTTAATATAATTATAACAAAGCCATTAAACAAAAGCCAGTCCCGTAAAAATAGTGTGTCGCTCCTACTATCTTGCAGGAACTACTGGCATTTTCTCAAGGAAGTCCTGCTCGAGAACAGTTTCCAATTGCGCAACGTTTAAGGTAGCACGGGTTCCGCTAGATGCGCGACTGAGAGCCGTGAAGAACGGATGCAGATCCTGGATACACCGGATATTGTTGGACGTTAGAAGGAGTTCTCCAGGTGGCGATGACAATGGCGTCACTTCCTCTTTGTACTGAAAAATCAAACACAATACAACAATTTTATTACATTATATCATACCGGACCTTACCAATAATACATGATAATACCCTGAAAGGTTTCTTTTGAGAAGTTTCAGATTTTTGGATAGAATCCAAAGTCAATGTCGTTTCTTCTATTTATATGCTTAAGATAGAACAACTCAAAGCATTGGGAATACGTATGTACAGGTCCATACGTCAGAAGAAAGAGAAACAAATTTCGCGAATGATCCAACACTGAATTTGAAGGTCAAGCCGAATCCCTATATTTCCTACAGATCTTCATAAGAAAGATCTAACAGCAGGCTTCTCGTTTATATGTATGATGTTAGTTTATCGTGATCAACTCATGGATTACATATGTTTTTCATTTCCTTTTCTCCTTTTTAAATACCAAACAGCCTATCAATAGGATCCAATGGGATAATGAACGCTCTCAATGTCCGGTTAAAATACATGTGTTATTTTGATAACGGGTTATTGGCTTGCTGTTTAAAATAAACCAAGTTTATAGGTCTAAGTCCAAGCGTGCCAAAATGAGTATTTCAGTTTCTCACTAGCTGCAGAGGAACTGGCACCTGCAGAGTTCTCCTACGAATATTAAATAAAGTAGAGAAAATACGTAGTGCTCACTCCAACGGGTTTACCTTTGTTCTATTTCTTTCTTATCCAGTGTACCACACGATGTAACGGTATAATTTCAAAAGTTGATACTCCACACAAGGAATAGGAATTGAGTTTTCTGCTAAACAGTGCGCGATAGAGTATTTAAAGGATTCTTCCGTGCAATTGCTATTAATATAACACCGTAATATATAAAAATATCGCAAACGTTGTCCCAAGGAAAAAAACATGATACGAAGAAAATTAAACTTGCGAGACACACGTACGAGTAACTCGATATTGTTAATTGAGTGCATTCGCACACAATAATAGTAAAAGATCGTACGCCGGGTAATGCCAGTCAGTGCAAAATTGGCTACGGCTATGGCTGCTCTAAAACTTCTCATTTGTCTGATCTTGCATTTTTTGCACTTTGCTGCACCGATAGTCGCGCGTGAGTATTGAAACAAATTGTTCATACTTCTCTATTTTGGATTCCATTGCGCGACTTGTGCAGGTGGCCTGTTTATTTATTTTTTTTCACTTATATATAAAATTGATATAACAGAAATAGAAAAATTGCATAGTATAACAATACTGTTGTGATTAGCAAACGAGTGGATATATTACATGGTGATATAATTGAATTTGTCATTTTAGAACTAAAGAAGAACTGGTCTTGACAAATACATATTGGATTTTACTAAATCAATTAAAAACGTTTAACGTTAAAAATGGGTTATAGGTAGAAATAAAAAAGTATTATTTGTGCGCCATATTGTGACTGTATAACGATCGCAATGAACCAAGAGTGATTAAAATAAACAAATGCCTTTATAGAAAAATTCTTTAAAAATGATAGAAAAATTTGAAGAAGATATATAGGTCTCTGAAGGACTTTTGTAAAGACTTTATACAAAAGTTAAATTGCAAAACTACCGAATGGCATTGTAATTGTAAAAAATACAGGAGAATATCGTAGGCGCAACGATTGCATCAAATGGTCAAGGCTCTAAATGCTCTAACCAGGCTTAATTCGAGCTAGTTGATGACAATTAATAGAAATTAACTGAATATAAACTACTATCTGATTCATAATGTTTTTGACTTATTGTCTTTGACTTATTGCAAAATGTCAATTGTGATCGTTCGATTCACAAATTCAACGAAATTCGTATGATGTTTAGAATTCTCAGGGTAAATGTTCTAAACTAATTCCATTGATATTGGCTAATAACTAGATGGACGTGACAAAATCTTGTTTAAATAAAATTTCTATTTAATCCTGTTTGTTATTCTAGATTGATATCGTCAATATATCTTGGAGCATGATTATTTGCCAAATTTCAAACACCCTAACGCTTGACAACTATCACTTTTTATATACAGATTTATCAAGATGAAAAAATTTTGTTTACAGAGTACAACGATGATTCGGATTACAACGAGTATGACTTTTACGATGATTTACCACTGGGTCTGGAGAGAACTATGGATAAGAGTGATCCAAAGAAAATGATACAGGATGACTTTTACATAGTCGGTGAATTCGATGACTCAGAAAGGGAAATTTCAATCTATCCAGATGATATGGAGCCTGAGATAGTTTTCAGCGCTGTGGATCGATCAATGGAACCCTCGAAGCTTAACTTTCAGGAAGAAAATTGGTATAAGATACCAGAAAAGGTTTATCGGTACACAAAGCACAGAATTCCTGGCTACGATTATGACGAATTAAATTTCATGGGCGACAGAAGATTTCATGAGTGCGATGATAACTCTCTATGGACTCATTGCGTATGTCAATTCACATGCGCTCAACCTGACATTGTCGACTGCTACACACCATGTGTGAGCGGATGCGAATGTAAGGAGAATTATGTATTCGATGAACAATCTCGGAAATGTTTGCTGCCAGAAAAATGTCCACCTGTGAGTGATTATTTTACCTTTAAATAAGCAAAAACTGACAATCTACGTGTAAAAGATTAATGTACGAGACTGATATATCCCACTTGTATACATTAACTTTGCCTCTAGCTTCTCAAAACTAATTGTTTACTTTATATCTACAGAGATAGTGCTAAAATATTTTTAGACAGCAGCGTAACTTTTTTACATACCTTGGTATCCATTAGTTTAGCTATGCGAGTTATGTGTGGAACAAAATCTGAAGACAGATTATTATTCTCAGCACTGCTTGCTGCGGCATCTCCTACAAAGGCCCACCGATACCTAGATGGTATAATTGTAATGTATTAATAAATGTAAAGAATGAGAAAATTGTTATGTGCAAAATTAAAAAAGAACTTACATCTGGAATTGTGGCAATCTGTGGGCAGGCAATAATAATGCCAAATCCAGTAACTTCGCAGCAGCAAGTTGTAGTTGTAGCCAGTGTGGATGTCCATGTGCTTGGAGTCCATTGTTCGCATTCACAGCCCAAGATGAGTCCAAAGCCGATAGTAGTTTAATGTGTGAACTGTTTAAAGAAAATTTCTAAAAATAATCCTTTAAAATAAAATGTAAAGAAGCATATACAACATCAAGACTAATATGTTAATTTGTAGCACGTCACATTTTTTCTTGCATTAAGAAGCTGAAACGGTACAATTTTCATGAAATATGAAAGCCAAATGTTTACAGCATATATTTTTCACAGTTATTCTCAGATCATTTTTCTTCGACTAAACGATTATATGAAGTTTTCGACCACCATGTTATTCGAGGTATATCAGTCTCCTCTTGTAGATTAACGAAACATTGAATGTACGACGAGTATTTCATGCGAATAAGAATACTTGATATTCCAATGCATGTTGAATTACCTGCTCTGACGACTGCCATCCCAACACCAACCAACCAAATCATGGTGGCACCATAATTCCCATGAAAACGCAGATGCCAAAACAGAGCCAAAAACATCACGTCATTAGGTATCATCCTTGTTAGTTGGGAACGTTGTCGAGAGACTTTTAAATAACGAACGTTAATACAGTATAAATTGATAAACTTGGGACAGCAAGGGAGCCAATTGGTGCACTGTGCAAAATATGTTTTACCTTTTCAATGCTCCAATTAAAAATGAAAAATTTTCTATGTCGATCCCTTGCAATCCTTTAAAAGTTTTTGATCGAACAGACAATACTAGGTAGGATCTAAAATATTTTTAGTATTATACCGCATGCCATAGAAAGTTTAACACCATACTGATAACGATAAAAAAATTCCCAAATTTCAATGTCCACACTGATAAGAATTAATTAATTCAGTTTATATTAAGACTTTATTTGATTACGTCAAACAAATTTGTTTCTCTAATGTTACATCCCAAAAACCAATACTGTGTACTTGATATCTACAAAATATAATTAAACAGCATTTTAAGTGTTAACCAGTTGAGTACAATTAAGGTTCACAACGTTCTTTCTACATCCAATAAATAATAAAACGATAATATTAGTTATTTGCTGCTATATAAGGCAGCTGAGATCATAAAAAATAACAAACATTAAGCAGAATCCACATATAAACAATCAAAGCCTACTGATCCTGACAATTAAATAAAGGTTCACCTGGTGACATGCAAAACTCACCTAAACTCTTCACTATCGGTGTTCAATTCTTGTTCAATGTGTAAAAAGACTTGAACCAATTCGCTCACAATTACAGGCCACAAGGAAGTGGCGTGTTGTGGAGATATTCTTAGTAGCAGCACACGAAAGCATAGAAATACTTGTGCCTGAATCGATGGAATTACTTGTGGCAGTCGTAAACTGTCAGCTAGACGTTCTATTGTTCAGTAAAATGAGGTGAAAAATAATAATCGAATTCCATAAATCTTAAATATTCTATCATTTCAACTAGCACGTAACAATAAAAAAATGTACCTTGTATCTCTGGCATGTATTTGTGATATTGATCCATTTCACTACAAAGAATAGCAAATGCCAGTCTTTTGAGAAGTTGGGCGCGTTGTTCGTACTCTAATTCCTTTGAGGAGAAAATGCTGATGCTGCTACTTTGGGCCATGGACACTCGATCTGTTTGTAACATCATCAGTAATTGTGTCATTAAAATTGGATTAACGTAGAACAGAGAATTGAGGATGAAGCTTGTACTTACTCATTAGATCTCTAAAGGTGATGTTGTCGTGTGTCATTAAATTGTCAATAATGGTTCGCCAGTATGGCAGACAAGCAGGTGTCATTTGAAAAAACGCAGAATCCAGAAGCAAATCTAAAACATCTTTGCGCCAAGCTTTTCTTGTATACTGATAACTCGAGAGTGAACTTAGAAGCTGCGAGCAGGCAGTGAATGAGGAAATATTTTTTGTCCTGCTCGAGAAAATAATGTAAAATTAATTGATGTTATCATCCTAAATATTATTTTTAATCTATTATACAGCTTTGAACTTACGTGTGATTTTTAAGATAGGGTGTAACATTGTACATGAGATTTGTCAAGAGAGTAACGACCCTTTCTTTTTCTTGGGATCCGTAACTAACATCCAAGAGAGGTGCTAGTATCTCTGCCAGTACACCTTGTGCCTGGACACTGTAAGCAGCATTCGGTGGACTTCCTGGTGTTACTGTAATTATTTATTGATCCAAATTGATTAACGTTTTTGATAAAAATAATGGAATGCATGAAGCTCAATTCCCGATTTTACCGTTGAGTGAATATCAGAAGATAAAAAAAATTTGCAAATTCACAAACCACTGTCCCCTCATGCAAACATACCGGATGAATGCCTCAGTAAAATTATTGGACGTGCAGACAAGAGTGTATGTAAAAACAACTGACATACAATGTTAAAATATTCTAAATATCTACGGAAAATTCGAGAAACGTAAAAGTCTAGATGATCTACGCACCAGCACCATTTTTTCCTTCTTTACCTTCCGATGAACCGTCCGTTACTTCGAAAACGTCTTCTCGCACAGCCAGATTTCTTCTCAACCAAGTAGTTTGTTCCAAACAGGCGCCTGCTATTTGTGAGCAAGACTCAACCAACTATAATTCCAAGATATCTTCACGTTATTAGGAATCCTACAAAAAATAACGTGAATAATAAAAATTGAACAATTACCTTAGCTGATATATCTTGCAAATCCCTAATGTCCTTTTTCTCCTGCATCGGTGGACATTTCTGTACATACTCATTGAGAATAGCCAAAAGTAAAAATTGGGCAGGTGCAGTTAACGACAGACCGTCCTTCAATAACCCTAACAATGATGTCCAAGATTCAACTAAGGATTGAGATGTGTTGCTTTGCATATAAACGTAAAGTAATTCAAGCACTGAAACTTCCAATGAGAAATCCTGTTTTACACCATGAATAGGCGGCGGTGATTTAACCACTTGGTGCACAGTCTGCACCAAGGTATCAATGGGCATAACACGAATAGCGCTAACCAAGTGTACCATAACTTGCTGATTCGGACATGCTTCAGGTAGCACCTGTTGAGTAATCAATTACAAGTTAACCGAACTGTGTACTAAAAACATTAACCATAAGTATAGTTAAATAAACTGACTTTCTTTGAGTTTGCTGAAGGCTGTCGCCTCTCGTGCCACGCTACAGCAACTGCTGCCAGGAAATTGACGCCATGATGAAAGGATATTGGCGATAACAGTTCTAGAAGTTGATGTTTCACTACTCTAGGACTGCCGACCACACAGGTAGCTTGTTCACTGCGTTAATGATTAATCATTAGAGAGGATTTTAGGCTGATTTTGAAACAACAGTATAGGAATACTTGTGAAATATACTTGTCTTTGGTAGCTAGTACTGCCTGCCACAGTGCTGACAGCGATGCTATTATTCTTGGTAAATGACTAAGGGCTGTTCTTCTGGCATGTAAGTGTTGCTCGGTCATACTAGCTTTATCTTTACCCCCAGCCAGATCCTGGTGAAAATATTCAGAAATTATGTAAATCAATCACTTGCATGATTTACTCATCGGAACTTACTGGTGAGAGTGGGCTGGGCATGAACACGTGGATGAGATTGTTGAATATTTGTCCAGGATTGGCACCAGGTATACCAGTCTGAACTGCTCCACCGAAGGGTTGATTAAAAGAAAATCCGATTTGTTGAGATGTGTCCAATAGGCAATAGTGCAATAGGAATGTCAAAGCTTCTAAATGTGTAACAGTGTAATCGGCCGGTAAACAGCAATCCACGGTACTTATATCCCTCAATTTGGATGTCATTGCGGCCTCCTCGCTGACGTAATACGAGGACAAGTGTTCAATATTGCAGCAAAGCTGATGAATGACAGAAGTAACGATTTGGGTTAAGGACGATCCCATGAAAGGTAAACTTGATGTAACCAATGTTGTCCAGTGTTGATGCAGATGCCTCATATGATCCTGAATTAAATATCAATGAGAATAATTTGACATAAAGTTAAGATAATAGAATCAAGGTCAACTTACCAGTTGCAAAGCGCTAAGAATACTGGCTAGAAACATAGGTTGCTGTGGAATAGATGCACCAGGTATATACTTGAGGGAATTTCCGATTAAATTTGGAGCTCCTTTTGTAGGAGTTGTCGGACTTGATGGGGTCGGTGGCCCCACTTCATCTCCCTTCTGAGCACCACACTGATGTTCCAACATTATCAAAGCTAATAAAAGCCTGTAATTAATCCGTAGGTTAAGTATTTTCCTTAGATAATATCTCTTTCCATATTTGTAATAACATATTTAAATGTTACCTTAATAACTGTATTTGAAATGCTTCTGTATGGTCGCTTGCTCTGTATTTACATTTATTGACATCAGTCTCGCTCGCAGGATCATTGAATAACACAATTTCCTCCGTAAATGTAAAAACATCCTCGTTCTCCTTCTGAGCATTCTTCATATTCAGTACGCTCGAGACAAGACAGTGAAGCGCGACCTTTTGAACCTTACACTTTGTCAGTAGATCCACTATATAACAACTGAACCCTTTTCCAGAATCGCGAACTATTGCAATCAGTTCAGAAAATATTAATGTCAGGAGCTCAACACTGGCTAACTGAACCTGTGTAAAAATTATTAAATTAATTATAAAATTAATTGATCCTTTTAATAAGGGGAAACTGTCAGGCAAAACGTGCATCTCACCTGTCTATTTCCAGCAATCTCCTCCTGGGTAAGTCTCATCTGGCCCAAATTTGGATAAAAACTTCGAGCAAAGTATAGGCACACACTGATCAGAACTTCCAAATACATACTACTCCTATAAGCAGCTACAAACTCGGTACTGGCAATATCTCCGTGAAAATTTCTTCCAAACACACTCTTCCTATGTCTGGCTAAGAGATTCAAGAGGGCAGTGCTTTTCGTAGCGTTGGCCACACCAGTGGTAGCAGCAGAGAATAGAAACATTCTGGTATTTGTCAGCAATTCATTGCGTAAGGTGCGTAAGGCATAAAGAGTCCGCGTAGAATCATACACTCCACAATACAGAAGCATGTGAGAATGAAGATTATGGACACCCACTCCAGAAATACGTTTTACATTAGTATCTAGTTGAATAGACTCATCAGTCTGAAATAAAAAAAAAGGATGTCACTTCTAGATCCTGACAGAAGCATAAATATTTTAATGACTGGAATAGTATACTCACTGGTTCAGTAGGCTCGACAGCTTCACAAAGTTGCATTACACGATCCATTACTTCATTAATAACTTCCTCTACAATGCTCACTCCACTGGAATTACTAAAATATTCATCAGCCGGTGTACTGATATCCAAGTCAGCTTCTTCGTCTCCCATGATCCAGCTTGGAACTTCAGCAGTGGCTTCGAAACTTTCTGTCACATCATGCATATTATAACTTGTAGAAAATTCATTTGTACTGTGATATCTTCCTGTCATTATAGTACCAGCAACTTCCTTTGCACCACCAGACAGAATCACTTCTTTCTTCTGCTTCGAAGCATGTTTATTCGTGATTTCAGGGCTACTGGAGTCCAGACTGTTACTGATGGAATCCAGAGATGATCCTACTTCTCCATTAAGTTTCTTAAACGCATTCTTCTCCTTGGTTTTAAGGCTGGAGTTCGCAGAGTCGAATAAACTCTCATCCAAACTGGCAGTAGAACCGTTATCGAAATCTGTTTTCTTGAATCTCGTTGCGTTTTTTAATAATTCCGTAGTCAGATTCGTCTTCTTTACGCCCAAGGAAATATCATCCTCGGTAAGTGAATCATTTGAATTAGTGCTACAGTTTATGGACAAGGGATTAACAAAAACCGAAATATTGCGATTTCCGGAAATACTGGGCGGAACCTCGAGTTCCTTCATGAATTGATTTTTTTCAGTAATATAGTGACTGCCATTGTCACCGGTAGCTAAAGTTGTCACAGCAAATATCCTTTTAACCTTCACAGGATTTATTGGCTTCTTCTTCTTTCCTTTCTTCAATTTAATATCATCCATCGAGTCGCTTACATGATATATAACGTTGCCGTCGACGGAACTGATAGCGTAAATCTTGGCAGCGCCTTCAGAATCATCTTGCACCTCCGATTTCTCCTCCATGGTATCATTTTTCGTGAGTACCGTATTGCTGTGCTGAATACTAACGTGAAGTACGCTCATACGACACGTTGACGGGTCCAGGAGCATCGTGAGAACTGGATCCACTACGCGTGAGATGTCACCACGTACAAGTGAATGTAAGAGCCAGGATTGTGCGTGGAGTTTCAGTGGAGAGTTGTCAGCAAGCTGGAGATTATCCAGCATTTTCAACAAAGATTTATCAAACGTTCTAAGGCATCCTCGTAGACGAGGATTGGTCTCAACTTCCCTGCCGAGATGCCACAACGTGGAGAATCTATTGAACGACTCGATTCTCTTTTCCTGGTTGTCACAAGTTAGTGCGCAGCCTATAACATCTTCTACAGCGTCGCAGGATTCGTATAGCGCATGGTGAAGTTCGTGTATTAATTCAACACAACGCATTCTGTACTTGTGGGCTGGAAGTTCACCAAGATGATGCCACAAGGACTGTGCTAGTATTTGAAAGACGTTTGTATGTTGTCTTAAATAATTAATGTGCCATTGTTTTAATAATGGTACCATAACAACTGTAGTTACACCTTCGCCACTCGTAGGATGCGGCTTCACGTCGCTATGTGCTTTTGACAGAGCTATCAGGTCTAGCAAGGTCGCTATACTTGTTAGCTGCAAGGATGGCTGCTTCCCAAGCCAACAAGCGCATACTACCAAGACCTTTAGCCAATCGGGAAGAGAGATCCTCCCCTTAGGTTCCTCTTCGAGTCCCAACATTCCATCCCCTGGTAGAAAATACGTCGGGAATGTCGATAGTTCCACTAGGAGACTCGAGGCAATTTTTAAAACCTCCTTTCTGTCGGAACGCGCGATGTCCTCATTGTGAAACCGAGATATCTCAGGATAGTTAGAATACAGAGCTTGTGAGCCGTCCTGATGAAAAAATCCTGAGTTCTCTGCGTTAAGTCTTGAGTTTAAAAGTATCTCGAGATGCTTTGTTCTTTCGTCGTGGCTCTCCCTGGGACAAAAGATCATCAGATTTTCAAACATCTCTGTAACAGGTTCTTTCTTGCTGAGCACTGTGTTACTGATTAGTTTTACATAGAATACTTCATATTGGCGCAGACACTTTTCAAGCATTGAATGTTGCGCCTGAAGCGCTGGAGACGGTCCTCTGTTCAAGGACCCCGTTGAACCCGTATTACTTTTCTTAGATAAGTCTGTAGGAGTTAATCGATCCACTGGAGAAGGGGGAGTGACGACATTCGTGTCAGAAAATGACGTCTTTATGTTATCCATACTTTTGTTTCTAGGTAATGGCTTTGCATCTTCACTGACAATCACCGAAATATTACTACCATCAGCTTGTATCGTGTAACTGTCACTCAATTTGGAAGTACTCTTACTACTCTTTTTCTTAGATTTCTTATCACTCTTCTTAGGAGCGCCACTAGAATTTGCTCTTCTTCTAGGGCTGGGACTTCTGTCAGTAACTGAACCATTCACCAGGTCTGTTTTATTCAACTTACTGTCCGACTGACTTTTTTCTAAAGGTATTGCTGACAATTTACTGTCATTCGGTAATGCCGTAGATGCTATACTCACATTCAGATCTACCTTAACCTCCAAGTCCGGTATGTCAGTGTGCGTAGCCATTGCTGGAGGCTGCACCTTCGACAGGATCTCCGCACAGAGTCCAAGAGACTTTGAGATTTCAGCAGGACTTAATTCATCCACGTGTTCAGAGAGCTTGTTTATTATCTGATGAAAGAGTCCTGGTAGGTGCTCGGATGGTGTATTTATAGAAGCGTCCAGGGACACAGTGTCTAATAAAAACTCAGCAAGGATACAGACTTCCATAAGATCCGGCATCCCGGAACCCACGTTCTTTACGCCAACATCTTCTGTCTCCTTACGAACATTGACACGAGCGTGACATGCCTTATCGAATAAATATCCACAGTGTATCCAAACATAAGAAGGTTCCAACGGTGAGAATAAAAGGTTTGCAGATTTTACGACCTCGTTAGACTTGTTCAAGTTCTCCGAGTGAGCGCAGGCTTTGTAAAATGTCCTACGAATCCAAAAGAAAAAAATATATATATTATCTAAATTTTTCCTGGAATTAAAGGATCATTGGATCTGTGGAAAGCGATAGTTTACCTGAAAACCTCATAGAGGATGTCATCAAGAATTACTGGCCCAATATCAGGCTTATCCAACAAAGACACTAATATTCTACATGGTTTCAAATCGTGTGGGGTTTCCTCGCACACAGTTTTTAAGGTCGATTTGATTGCTTGTATTAACATATCCTTGGAGTACATTTCGAAGTAATTAGCTGAGGCCTCGACCGCTGCGGGACTCGTTTTTTTCTTCAGAATCGATGTATTCACTTCGGTACCCAGAAGCCACGCAAATAAGCGCCTGTTATAGTTTGAATATTTTAGATAATTATATACGTTAATTATTAGCTTCCTGGGCTTTGTTAAATATGACTGACTGTACCTGTTTAAACTCATGTCTCTCCTTAAGATGGTAACTAAGGCAGCAGTTAATAACGAGACCATGTCATTACGGCTCAATTGACTATTGTGTACGGGAAAACCGACCAGCAGTAAATCCAGCGCACTTCTTTGTACTAAAACTGAACTGTCCTGCACCCCAGCGCAGAGTGCTGTAACCTTTTTAAGAAAATGAAAGAAAATAATAATTATTGTAAGAAGAAACGATAGAAATAAATGAATACAAAGTATGAATAGTTTACATCCGTTTAAAGAAAAGGAAAAGAAAAACATGATTTGACTACCCATTGTTATCATGTGGATTTTCGCTTTAATCATACGGAGAAAAACAGAGATTTTTACAAGGAAGAAAACTTATAAACTAGTACTGATAATACTTGTGTCTCAAGTTCATATCACTCAACAGAACTAGAATACTGGAAAGTAAGTTCTATTACTCAGCAGTATCAAATATTAGTTTTCTTCTTATCGTACATCTCGTGATAACGTCAAAAGAAAGATATAAGTGTCGTCACAGTCCTGACTTCATGACGAACATATTTATCGTAATACGAAACATGCGTCTACACATCACCAAACCGACAACAGAATGACACTTACCATGATGTCAAAATTCGTTCCCATAATATACATCTGATCTTCCATGGGAAGTTTTTTGTTAAAATGTGCCAGGACAAAGGATATCGCCGGCAAACGTATTCCTGAATTTGACGCCAAACAATCCCATAAGCAGGCATAGAAGTGCTCGGCGCCGACGCCCTCACAGACTTTTTCCAAGAGCGAATTCGTTCTTTGAAAAATTAAATGATTGTAAATAATTAGACTTAATTATTGAAGATAACTTTTTAATTCAAGAAAAAGAATAATACCTCTCAAAATGGTCTGAGCCCTCTTCAAGTCCTGGCAAAACTCCACTTAAAAATCCACTCAATCCTGGACGCAATCTTTCACCCAGTGGTACGAAGTGAGTTTCATAAACTGTTAGTAAGGATGGTCTCACGTTCATAGCAGCATGACCGAGTAATGGGAACAGTCCTACAAATTGTATTAGTTATGATATTGATATTTTATTGCCAGATGAGAATCGTGTTAATTAATGGAAGACATACCAGCACTGTAAATGAAGAGCTCATGACTTAGCCTGTTGGTTCCCATGCATTTAAAAATAATGTCGTATGTCTCCAGGGCCTTTAAATGAACACCAGATGGAAGAGCTGGATGCATACATTGAGCCAATCTTTTTGAAATTTTGATTCGCCTTGGTATTACTGGGAATTTCATATGACTCAATAGTACTTTATTGAGCTTTCCTAGTGCTGATATTAAATCTGCCCATTCACTGGTATATTCAAAATTCTTTAATGCCTTATCCACGGCCGACACATAGCTAATGTAAAGAATATTTAAGATTACATACTATCCATAAGAAATATTTCCAAATATATTCTGCAGAGTATTATTAAATTAGTTTAGAAATAATATGTATGGAACACTCACACTCGGTATTTTGAGTCTTTCATGAGCTCATATTCTTCTAAGGCTATGGACCCCATGATTAATATTCGTAGAGAAATTTTGCTTTGAAATATATGCTGTTTGTTTCACAAACTTTCACATAGTTTATAGAATTTGTAAATCAATGGCTGATATAAGTTTTATTTATAAATTGTATAAACATCTTATCATACAATCCATTACATATTGATAAAAGCTGGCTTCACTACCTGGAATTAAGCCAACATATTGTCACATGTTGCTGTATACATTCACCAATTCTTGTACAAAAATGACATATAACGAAAGTAGGTATTTTAGTCTATATTTTCTTTATTGCAACATAAAAAGAAATATCTATGTTCTAGTATTCTCTAAGCAAACAAGGAAATTAAAATCATATTTGGATAATATAGAAATTTTCACCAATAATATTACAAGTATCTCGAATAACCATAGTTTTAAAACAATATTGTATAGTGGTCAGTAGAATTTAAAAATAGTTTTTTATCAACATTATATGAGTTAAAATAAAAATAGCTGACTTTATCTATCTATGAACACTGATATAAAACTAAATTTATCTCCCTACTGAAGTATGAATTGATTAAAAACCATTCCTTGCAAATTCCAGCAAAATCAAAGTATTCATAGGAAAAACATAATCTTGTCTTGCTATAATTTAAGAACGTTGTAAGTTAAGCTGTCTCGCATGCAATCCAGTCCTCAGAATTCGAAGAACAATATTGGACATACATCTCAAACTGTATGTGAAATAAGACATTAACAAATACTAAGAGATAATAAATCCCAAGAAATATTTCTGTAAAGTCCTTTAAAAAAGTACCATAATTCTATAATATAAATTTCTATACAATTATTTGCCTTAGGCTAGCTGTTTACCTCATGATGTTGACACTTTGAATTTGCATATGCTACTCCAAAAGTATCCTCACAAAGAAATTCTTGGTCAACGGGAATCACAAATTATTGGAGTAGATTCCCAAACATTAATAAATTCTCCAACATGTTGACAATCCAACACTGAAGATAATATTCGTAATAAAATTCAAGATCCACTCCACAACTTACAAAGCATAAGCATCAATGTACATACAGCCGTAGCACAGTTCCAGTCACTCAGTTCTTTCTCGGCAGTTTCTCCACTGTGAAGTTGTTAGCGATTCCAAAGAATAATTTGCTTCCATCAACGAGCAACAATCCAATCTGATCCAATCCGATCAATCACGTGACGTTCAGGACCGCGCTCAAAAAAAAATAAAGAGTGGATGCCTGGTACATGCCCTATTAACGTAAAATAAATCCAATCTGAAGGAAAAAGAAATAATCAATGTCGGAAATAGTGTGACGGAATAAAGTACTTTTATTTCTCTTTAAAGCATGTATCCCTTGTATTACTAAACTCAGTAATGGTTCTGCCACAATCTTTTCTGCTCTCCTAATTTATGCTTTTCTTTCTGCATCGTTTTTCTCAAACTTTTTACCTGACATTTTTTTTCTCTGCAAGGACTGCTATTCTTTGGAAATGCTATTTATGCGTATTCTAATAATACAGGATGGATCGAAGATCACTGTCTCACTAACAGCAACTTGCAATTAAAAAGAAAATAATTTACGACGTACGTGTCACAGTTTGGAATATATTTGAGATTCCTTATAGTACTATATCGTTTCTTTTTCTCTTTCTTTCTTACGAATACTTCGTGACTGATACGGATAATGTCGTTCGCGCACTGAGCATCTTAAAATAGTATATAATAAGTTTTCAACAGTTTACGCCCAGTGTAGAAAAACTTCTGTAAAAAATCAGTCCTCTTTATGGTGTTTAACTTGTTCGTCGATACAATGTTTTACATTGAACAAATGCTATTTGGTAATTTGCCATGAGAAGAATATACTTTCCAACTACAAATTCGCATGAGACAAAAGGTAAAGAAATGTTTTACATGGAATTAGAACGGATAGGCTTTGCGTTGAGTTAGATTCAATACTCCACAATGCTTGATATCTAATTCAAATTTCATTCAGGGTTGCCCAGGATCAGCTGGCTTGCCTCATCAACATAACATACCCTGAAAATATGGGTTGTCGATCAAAAATAATAAACAACAATTAATTCTGATTTTGATGGCTCAGTCGAAAAATTGATATATGTTGCATACTGGTAAAATTGCAGACACAACTTCTGAGATGATATTTTTTACAATTCATTATTGACCAAACAAAAAATATGATGCGTCGAAACAGGTAACGCTGGAACCATTAAATCATTATGTAATCAATTAAGTTTAAAGGATATGAGACTGACTTTAACGGGGTGGTTTAATTATTGTTTACTTTCAAAATAGGACTAAGCACAAACTTATCTTCATTGGTCTGGTTCTTGCATTCACTGTTGCTTACAATGAATTTTTTGCCTATGAAATTCAGAGCTTCAAGTGGGCTACTAGAGACTGTTCAGATTGTGTCAAAGTCTTACTTGTAGCGGATCCTCAAATTTTAGGGGAGAAGAATGAAAATTATATTGGAGCATGGCTGGCTAGATGGGATAATGATCAGTGAGCAAGCATAATATTTCTCATTATAGAATATCAAGTATATTTTGTTGTAACAGAAAGAGAAATCAATGCAATTCTCAGGTATCTGAAAAAGACTTTTACAAGGGCTCTGAGACATTCGCAACCACATGCGATAGCATTCCTTGGTGATCTCATGGATGAAGGTCACATTGCTCCACCAGAATATTTTCAGCGATATAAAGAACGTTTTGATGATATATTTTACACACCCGAGCATATAATGGTACACTTACTAATACTTCATTCAATGCTACTGTAGCTATCTAATAATTACAATTATTTCTTTAGAAAATCTACTTACCTGGTGACAATGATATTGGTGGTGAAGAAGATATGGTTTCTTCGAGGATTCATAGCAGATTCAAGTTTTCCTACAGTCAACCAGACACTCTCTCACTTAACAGTGTCACATTCTTCAAAGTAAGCACAATTTGCTTTTTATATTTTAATCATAACACGCAGCCTTTGATTCACTCTCAACTTTACATTATAAATAGCTTACACTTCTTGATGCACATTCTAATATCCCTCCATTTTATTTTCGCCAATGCCATCAGGTTAATAGATTGACACATTCAATGTCACAAGCACCAAAAGATGCGTTTCTTAATGATTATGCAGAAAGAAACACAACCAACGTTATTCTTAGTCACATACCGTTATTATTTACGCCTGGTAGTTTTGTTCAGAATGTAAGTATTTCCTCATAAGGATTAAAAAAAAATTGATATCTATTAGATAAGTTTTAATACGCTTATACTAGGTGTTGAAAGAGCTATCACCGCAGATTATCTTCACCGCGCACGAGCACAGAGCAATGCATATAAGTTTAGACACAGCGACCGATCAGCTTAGTGAAATCTGGATTTTACCTCCTTACAAAACTTTGCTCTATCAGTTCAGAATGGATATGGGTGACATACACGAGCTCCAAATACCAACTTGTTCCTACAGAATGGGAACACCATACATGGGTTACGGTCTGGCTTATATTGGTATGTTTAGATTTTTTAAATATAACTTCACTTATCAATATTCTTCTTCACTACATTGCTCTTTCTTCTTTTAGATACCCAAGAGAAAATAGTGGAATTCACAATATTATGGCTACCAGGGAGATTTCCACAGTTATTGTTATACCTCTTCATTCTAGTGTCAGTCATCATCTTTTCCTTAAAACTTATCTCCGGATGTGGTTGCTGCGTGGGCAACAGTCGGCCGACATACAATCGCTTGTCTACTCAATAATGTAAATTTCTTATGCGATAGAATATTCGAAATTGGTGCCAATAATCGATCGAGTGGCAAAAGTTTATGTCTATGTACAACGTTAATATTTGCATTCATCGCGTATCAATCAATTAGGAACAATCCATCCAGTGAATTTACTGCGATTAATCATGCGATATTTTGGCGGTCTTTCTCGATTGAAATTCTATCGGATTTATAGAATTCTGGAATTCGGGCAAAGAGAAGTTTGGGCATCCCGCTCGCCCCGTACCGCCGGTTGTCTGTACTTGGCACGAAATCCGGTCGTATTTCTTGATTAAATAATAAAGCCGATTAGAAACTTGTAATTTTAAGCCATACTGTGCATATTCATTTGTATGATTTCTCAGTCGCGATTGAGATATATTATTTTTTTATGTCACAATTGATTGAACTTTGACAACAATGTAATGTATATGTTAATCTTAGGAAACTTCAGACTTGCAGTATTTCAATTTTAATTTATCAAGCGAAGCCTTAACATAACGCTGTACATTCGGTATCGCGAGTGCATTCTCAGTTTTCGTTTACGATTCTATCAATGTATTTACGATTATTGTTATCTTAATTTAGATTAATCAATATTCCTCATAGATGTTTGCGAGCGTGAAAGACTAATCAAATTATTGTTAAAAAGTCTGGAGAATATGTAAGATACCTTAGGCAATATTAACGTTTCGTAACAGATTTACGTGACTTTCTCTACATACTATACTTCATATAGCCCATATTTATTGTTACAATATTATCGTTGTCGTTGTCATGAGATACTTTTAATTGTATCTACGCTACCGTTGTACATAAAATCGTAAAGTTTATGAGAGATACTTATACACACAGAATAAATATTTTCTGTTAATAAAACTGTATTAGTTATTTATGTATCTTGAGTGAACCTCGCTTCTTTTCGGCGCAGTGTGTATCGTAGAGAGTGGGGGAGAGCAGTCGAGACCGCGAAGCGGTCGAGGCATGCTCTTCCCCTCTCTCTACTGTACACGCTCAGGCGAAAACAAGCGAGGTTTGCTCAAGATACATTAACACTAGTTACTGGCACATCTCCTCATTGGAGGAGTCAGCCATGAGGAAAGGAAGGAAGGAAGATACATTAACAAGTTTTCTGCGCGAGCGGCCGTAGCGGGCCTTCTTATTCTCCCCTCTTACACTCTCCTTCTCCTACATTGCTCCTCTCCGGCGCTGCTGCTGCCGCGTTGTAATGACAAAAGACTTCTCTCCTGCGCTGCAATAACTGCTATTTCGGTGCACTAGATAGAAAACAAACAAACCTAGCGTCATTGCAGCGCAGGAGCGGAATCAATGGCTTTACACATTTACCCGACTCTGCACGATGTTCGCCCGATTACGGACGCGAGCGCTGAAAAAACTTTTATATAGTACCTGAACATGTACTTTACTGTACCGCTTGCATTTCAAGAACGATTTGGGAGGGTTGGAAACTTTTTCCCGACCACCGAGCGTTCCATTCGTATTTACGCATTCTGCAATATCGGCTGGAACGATGATCATGACCCGCGCGGCTACAGAGGAATCTGCTACGTCGACAGAGGCGATGATCACAAAATCCTACTCCCGGTCTCGCCGCTACGATTTAGCGCCATGCTTTTGGTATCGCCTAAAACCGGAGCGTTGTGCATCTCCCCACTCATCTCTGGATAATAGCAGTGAAAAGCCAGCCATGCATTCATGTAAGCTATGCTCTATTTGTTGGATCATGGTGGTGTCATATTAAAAGATTTGTGGCGCCAATTGTATCTGGTTGTTGTAAAATATTAATATTTGCCGAGCAGCTTTACAATGCCGGCGTTTTTAAAGCATATTGAAGTTGAAAACTTTAAGTCCTATAAAGGGAAGCTGATCATCGGTCCCTTGAAATCGTTCACTGCTGTTGTTGGACCTAATGGCTCTGGTAGGTTACACTTTCGTTTATCAACAAAGACTGTTTTGGTATGAATATTTCTTCTTTATTGATGAGTCGTCTCATATTCTGTCTTATTATAGGAAAATCTAATTTTATGGATGCCATCAGTTTTGTTATGGGAGAGAAAACTAGTAGCTTGCGTGTCAAACGTTTTAGTGAACTTATCCATGGAGCTTCAATAGGAATGCCAGTTGCACGAAGGTATTTTTCTCTGTTAAATGCTTCGTCTCGAGAAGATAATGGCTGCTTTCAAAACATAACAAATTCTTATATTTCAGTGCATCTGTGACAGCTGTTTTTGAACTGGAAGATGGTACTGAAAAAAGTTTTATGCGCTCTGTTCAAGGTTCATCCTCTGAACATCGAATAAACAGTAATGTAAGCTTGTAATGCTCTAGTTTATCATTATTGGTATATTGAAGAATTAGAAAAAATGTATAATCTGTTTTATAGGTCGTTACAAGCCAGGTCTATCTCAATGAACTTGAGCAACTTGGAATAAATGTGAAAGCCAAGAATTTCTTAGTATTCCAAGGAGCTGTTGAATCTATTGCAATGAAAAATCCAAAGGAAAGGACAGCATTATTTGAAGAAATTAGCAATTCAGGTGCATTGAAAGTGGAATATGAAAGGTAAAACTATTTTAATATTGCATTGATTTAAAGATGACAAAAGTCCTAAGTGACAGTTTTCTTACAGAGCCAGAACCGATATGCTTCGTGCTGAAGAAGAAACTCAATTTTCTTATCAAAAAAAGAAAGGTATAGCTGCTGAGAGAAAAGAGGCCAAACTGGAAAAAGAGGAAGCTGAAAAGTACCAACGATTAAAAGAAGAATATGTACGTCATTTTTATTCAACAAACATAACATAATTTAACAATTATTAGAACAAGAATAGTACTACATTTATACATTTTCTAAATTCCAGGTAGAGAAACAAGTTGAACTACAGTTATTCCGCCTATTTCACAATGAAAAAGACATCGAAAATTTAGAACTCGCTCAAAAGAAGAAGCAGCACGAAGTAGAGAAGATTGAGAAAAAGCGCGAAAAAGCAGAAGAGTTATTGAAGGAAAAGCGAAAGGAGGCTGGAGCGGCATCCAGAGAGTTGGCCAAAATTGAACAGGATATTAGAGAGGTAGAAGTGGAAATCACAAAGAAGAGGCCGACATTCATCAAAGCTAAAGAACGCGTTGCTCACATGCAAAAAAAAGTTGAATCTGCACGGAAATCCTTAGCTCAAGCACGCACTGCTGATGAGGCTCACAAAAAGGATATCAAGGAGCTCCAGGATGAGTTGCGCCAGGTAGAGCAAGCCAAAGCAGCGTATGAGTCAAGTATTGCTGGTCAATCCCAGTTACAAGGCAGAGATGTGCAGCTGGAAGATGAGCAGGTATAGGAAATCTATATTTACTATTGCACTACAATACTTTGAAGGATAAGAATAAGGATAGTTTTTTACATCAATAGGTACGTGAGTACAATCGGCTGAAAGAAGAAGCAGGAAAACAGTCCGCCAGGTATCTGCAACACCTAGATTCCATTAATCGTGAGCAGAAATCAGACCAGGACAGGCTTGATAATGAGGGTAGAAAGAAAACAGAAATAGAAAACAAGCATAAGCAAAAAGGTCATATGAGAGATGAAGCAATGAAGCGTGTGGAGAAGCTTGAGGAACATATCAAAACATCTGAAGCTGCTCTCGAGGATCAGAAGAAATTAAGAGCTGATCTACAGTCTGATGTCGGCACATCAAAGGATAAAATTCAGAACCTTCAACGTGAACTCGAGAGTATTTCCGAACAGCTGGGAGATGCAAAAGTAGATAAGCATGAAGTGTCGAGGACGAAGAAAAAAACTGAGATAGTGGAGAATTTCAAGCGCCTGTTCCCAGGAGTGGTAAGTATTTTGGAAACTGATGATCTAAGGTAATATTAATTGATTCCAGTATATCCTGCATGTGTTATTTTATTCGTAGTATGATCGGATGTACAATATGTGTGAGCCTATTCACAAGCGATACAACGTTGCAATTACAAAAGTTCTTGGCAAGTATATGGAAGCCATAGTGGTTGATACAGAAAAAACAGCCAGGCAGTGCATTCAGTATTTGAAAGAACAGTATCTTGAGCCTGAAACTTTTTTACCACTTGATTACATCCAAGCGAAACCACTTAAAGAACGACTTCGGTAAGTCTACAAATTATGCAAGTGTAGTGATAACAAACCATAACGTCTCATTCGCTTACAGTAACATTCAAGAACCGAAAAATGTAAAATTGCTGTACGACGTACTTCATTTTTCACCAAAGGATATAGACAGGGCAGTTTTATTTGCAACTAACAATGCTCTTGTGTGCGAAACTCCTGAAGATGCTAATAAAGTTGCCTATGAGATGGATAAAAAAGCGAGATATGATGTAATTGACTTTCATAATTAATGGTAGATAAATAATAATTGAAAATAAACAATAACACTTATGATTAATTTACAGTGCGTTGCTCTTGATGGTACTTTCTATCAGAAGGCTGGTATCATTTCTGGAGGAAGTTTAGATTTGGCCAAGAAAGCTAAAAGATGGGACGAGAAGCAAATGTCTCAATTGAAATCGCAGAAGGTAGAAATATTGTGTGTTAAATTTTTGACTTTATATATTCATTGAATTCTGATTCCTGACATTTTCTACAGGAAAAATTGACCGAAGAGTTGAGAGAATCGTTGAAGAAATCTCGAAAAGAATCTGAATTGAACACAGTCGACTCTCAAATTCGTGGTTTGGAAACTCGTCTTAAGTATAACAAAAGCGACTTGGTTGCAACTGTAAGAGGCTATATTTTTATGTCTATTACTTTAATACTATATTATCAAGCTTTTAATATGACACGCCATCTTTATAGAAAAAACAAATTGAGGAACTCGATGCTGAACTGGCCAGTCTTCAAAATGAATTAAATATGTTTGGGGTATGTATTTTGTGAACGAGTCATCTTAAACTTTATCGATCCTAAAAATCTTGTTTTCGTAGCCAACGATAGCGGCGATAGAGAAAACAATGGCTGAACGTGATCAGGAAATTCAAAACAGTAAAGAAAAAATGAATAATGTTGAGGATGACGTGTTCAAGAGTTTCTGCGAACAAATTGGTGTAACGAATATTCGCCAATACGAAGAAAGAGAATTAAGGTAGATATTTTTAACTTAGGACTATGTGTGAAAAGTATATTTAATCCAATCCAATTCATCCCAATCTTTCGTGATCTATCATTGATCTCTTAGATATCTTTAACTTTGGACTATGTCCGAAAAGTATATTTAATCCAATCCAATCCATTCAAATCCTTCGTGATCTCCTATCATTGATCTCTTAGATGTATGAATCCCTATGAAAACCAAGAATGGATATACCTTCATTTCTCAAATTCAAGTATAATTAGGTACATGATAAAACAACTAATCTGAATTAGGTCTCAGCAAGAAAGAGCAAAGAAACGTATGGAATTCGAGAACCAATGCAATCGAATCTACAATCAGCTGGACTTTGAGAAGCAACGTGATACAGAGAGTACGTTAATCAGATACAAATTAAATTAGCATCCTAAATAAACTATCTTTTTCTCACATCTCAGGTAATGTTTTACGTTGGGAGAGAGCTGTACAGGATGCCGAGGACAAATTAGAAACAGCTCGTCAAACTGAGTCTCAACAAAAAGCTGATATTGACCACGAGGAAGCTCAGATGGAAAAATTGAAATCTACTCGTAACAGGAAAAAGATGGAAGTTGATCAAAAAGAGGAAGAGATAAGTAAATGCAGACGCGAAGTCAGTGCGATAACAAAAGATATCCAGGCGGTCCAAAAGCAACTAAATGTTATTGAGACAAAGATCGAGCAAAGAAAAGCTGAAAGACATGCTATTTTGATGCAATGCAAGGTTCGTATTGAGATATCCAATAATAAATTTATAGCAGAATATAAAGTTGCAGTAATTCCTTATAAATTAGATGGAAGATGTTGCTATCCCTATGCTTCGTGGCAACATGGAAGATATCGCAGGAGAAAACAGCAGCACTGTTACTAGCGATATGACCATTCTTGACAGTAGTCTGAGCACTCAACAGCTGTACGAACGTGAAAGTCGTATAACAATTGATTACGCATTGTTACCTGAGAACTTGAAGGATATCGAAGAAGACGATTTTAAGAAAAATAGTGACAAATTGAATAAAACGATTAATGATCTGCAGTGCACGATTCAACGTATACAGGCCCCCAATATGAAGGTTTGATCCAAATGAATAGTCTGATAGTCGATGATTATAATTATAATATTATTTTTTTATTTGTTTTTTTGATCTTGATAGGCAATTCAAAAACTTTATGCAGCTAAAGAGAAATTGCACGAGACTAACGAGGAATTTGAACAATCTCGTAGAAAGGCAAAGAAAGCAAAGACTTGTTTCGAGAAAATTAAAAAGGAAAGACATGATAGATTCATGGCTTGTTTCGAACACGTTGCTAATGAAATAGATCCGATTTATAAGGTAGATATTTTTTTTAATTCTCAAAAAGATTCTACACGTGTATTTAATCGTAGTAGTAATATGATTTTTGTTTGGTATAGAGCTTGGCTAAAAATCAGTCTGCTCAGGCATTTCTTGGTCCTGAAAACCCTGAAGAGCCTTATCTGGATGGTATTAATTATAACTGTGTAGCACCAGGAAAACGATTCCAACCTATGTCAAATCTTTCTGGTGGTGAAAAGACAGTCGCTGCTTTGGCTCTGTTATTTGCTATACATAGGTAAATTTTTTAGGGGGGTTATTTATTATTTCCTGTTAACACTATTGTATCTTATGTATAATTTTAGCTTCCAACCAGCACCGTTTTTCGTCCTGGATGAAATCGACGCCGCTCTGGATAACACAAATATTGGAAAAGTCGCAAGTTATATTCGCGATAAAACCAGCTCACTTCAGACTATTGTTATCTCATTGAAAGAAGAATTTTATTCGCATGCAGATGCACTGATTGGTATTTGCCCAGATGTACGTTTTATTAACTATCCTTAATTATTTTCTCTGAATCGTGGGTAATGTTGATATTAAAATTAAATATATCAAAATTATTTTACCTTTCAGGTCGGGGATTGCTTGGAGAGCAAAGTATTAACTGTTGATTTGACGGCATACCCTACGCACATTAATTAAAATAATCATTATTATTACATTTATTTACTACTTGAGATAATATTGTTTTTCTGGGATACTTTAGGAAGGCAATATTTTTATGATTTTAAATACTAAGCCCTGCCTTATATATTATAAGGGTAGTTTTATAGACATTTGGAGAATCGAAATTCCATTATCTTTTATTAATCACTTTAACATCATCAACTTTTTTTAATAATCTGGAAAATATAGTAAATTCTACCGCGAGTGTATTGCTTTTCTAATAGCAATATACACGCAATAAATTCTATCATTAATGATAATAATCAATTGACCATCTTCGAAAAATTGTTAAGATGTATCCCATTATTTTCCAAATTTCATTTTAATACATACCTTCTCTTAATACGAATACGAATAAAACTGGTAATCTAATACGACAAAATTCTATCTTTCTCATTATTAATTATAGTGCTCCAAATATTAAGTTAAAGCTATCTCGAAAAGCCAGCTGTGCCCAATTGAAAAGTCTAATGTGAAATTGTCATGAACCTCGTGGTCAATGTGCCGTTGCTGCACCTTCAAGAAAAACATATGAATGACACTATCTTCATTTTTTTTTTTTTCTTGTACTGGCGGAATGTCCTCTTTCGGATCTGCTGATTCCATCAGCGAACATCTGACACATTCATCTCGGTTGTGTAATGACGATAAACGAGATAAAATGACTCATAGTTACGTGTTGGAAACGTAATAAGGGCGCGCGCACGATACTGAGATTTCAAGAAAGTATTTAGGTTGTGCGCCACAAAATGACTATTCAGCAAAGTACTAAGGCACTTTGGCCTTTCGTCAAATCAGTAAATAGTAGGGAGCTGAGACTACTTGAATGTTGTCAATGTGAGAAGCAATACCATCTGAGTTGATAATGTAAAATTATTAGAATCGACACAGTTTACTACTTCATAATTGGTACATAGTCAACGTTAGCCAATCTTAATTTTAAACTCAGGACTCTTGCTATATGTTTATTAGAAGTAGTGGCAACTCTGATTTATAGCTATTTAGGCACGAGCAAGATCGAATAGGTCAATGTAGTTTATTACGGTTAACGTTTCCTATGTAAGACACGGCTGCAGAATGCGGCCAAAACGATCATTGTGTGCTTATAAGCTTATTGAACAGAAACAAGGCGTATTTTAATTGAAGATGTACCGAGATTTAATATGAAGAACAAAATTAAAACAACCTTGGACATAAGAGTCACACTCACGTCTTATGCAGAACGTAATTGCGTATTGTTAAAGATATTGTATGATTTTGTAAATTTTTCTGTATACCTAGAAATTTAAAACTTTTCAATAGTGATTAAAAATTGAGCCAGGTAGATTTATAAAATAGAAAATCATTACAGCTGGGAATACATGTAACGAACATAAAGACTAAGACGAAGAGAACGAGGGGACAAAAGTCACAGAAGATGTCATCGAGGAAGGAGCGAAAGGGTGGGAGTTGCGTGTGCTTATGTGGAGGATGATGACCTCCTCCAGAGTTACAGCATCTGCTAAATAGATGATACGCCGGTTGTCAGAACTCTAGTTGCCCTCAGCCTCAGCCAGAGGCGGGTTGGCTCTAGGGACCGCGGAAGCACGATTAGAAACCGGTATTCTTTGGCAATAATACTTTCAATGAGAGGACGCGGCATCCTGCTGATCGCGGGGTTCCTCGCGACCCTGCTTTTGGTACAGCAGGTGGATGCTGCAAAAACCCATAAACAAAGACCCAGACCAGTTCAGGCCCAGGAACCAGCTAATGGTGATTATGGCTATGACGATTACTATAACTATGAGGACTATGATGAAAATAAAACAGGTGAGTAAAAAAACAATTCTCCATGAATTTATATAATTATGCTATAAAGGTAAAAAAATTTTTCAACCGAAGATCCGAGAGGAAGGGTAAAAATGAAAATAAAAAAGTTCCTGACTTTTTGTATCACTAATTTGAATTTATGGCATCGTGATTACTTTACTGAATTAAAAACATCTGGGTGACACGAATATGTTTATTTATATGAGAAAAGGCTATTTCAATTGATCCTTTAATAAGTTTCGTGCTACGAAATAGATGCTCGCCTCAATAGAACCAATCTCCTATCATCCGTGAAGAATCTCTTAAATTATCTTATTCGGGTTTGGAGATACGCGCGCTATTTTTAAGCACGTTTATTAACGAGATGGTGTAAAAATATATTTGTCGTATCAAAAAATTGTTAAATCACTTCTGTGGTTTCCTTTAGCTAGTTGGACTGAGCCGTCTTCTTATCGAGAGGTTGGATGTCAGGAGGTCACGAAATCTAATCACTTCGGCCCTAATGTCCTTTGTTCAATTTTTCCGCAATTCATACTTATCCCAAATCTTTGCGAATTCGTCATTCTAATAAAATTGTCAAAAGATCCTTTACAATGGTAACACTCATTTTTTTAGTAAATTAATCATGCAAAATATTTAGAAAATCTTTTTTTCGGGCATACGTACACGTGCCGTCTATTTAGATATATTATCTTTATAGTTATTGACGATTTTGAGTAATTATAGTTTTACGTTGTTTTCTACTATTTTTCTACGATAAATAATTGAGGGCCATGAAGGTGGTTTGGTGAATAACACTGAATAAAAATGAAATTTTGAATTTTTTTGATATATTAGACAATAACTAAATCTTTGTCTGCCTGTTTAACCCATACTTTCGCCTTACTATTATGATTATTTTTCAACGGATCATCCTAAAGGCGCCAAAAACGACATAATATTTTTTAAAGACTTGGCGGACTCTCTATACTTGTATAGCTTTATCAGCCGCCTGATAATTTTGTTTTAAAAAGAGTAAATCGATCTACAACACGCAGAAGAGTCCAAAAAAAAGACATTCCTATTAGAAATATCTGCGACTTCCGCTTACAAAGAATTGCGCATTTACCGTCCGTCAGAACGAATTAATATATTAATTCAAATCGTGATTAATACCGGAAGTCTTATAGGCCAGCAGTTACAGATGGCAGTGCGTCGACAATTAATCAATTATTCTAATTGATAACACACAATTAGTATTTTTACTATTGTTTATTGAACCTATGCTTACACAAGCTAATTATCATTTCCGCTTAACATTTTTTTTCTAGAAACAACAACGAACCAGGCACCAGCGTCAATTTCACCATCACTTGAAAATGATAGTTTAGGTAATAGGCCGTTTTCATAATTTGATATTTTTTCTTTAATTATCCATATATCAATTCTCAATCCTATTTATTTATTTTAGTTTTACCTAAGATTCCTGTCAAAGTTACTACTCCACCACCAACACCGGAAGTTACTGCAGCACCAGTCCTGCCACCAACCACAAAAGCACCGGAAACAGGTACAACCTCTAATGAAAATTTAAAACTAGAATTATTACGTTTGTAGATAGAAACTTCATTTATTTATTTAAAACATAATTAATTTCATTTATAGTACATACCCAGAGCAGATTGTCCCTTAATTTGTATATCAAGTTAATAGTCGTTGCAGTGGTAAGAAAATTTAGGGTTATACAAATTCTTTATATGCACTGATACACAGACCCTTTAAAGATATATTAATTTTGATTAGTATACACATTGCCGGAATCGATGTTTATTTTTCATGCTATTGGCAGGTTGCAATGAATTATGTTATCACTTGAGAAATATATCTTCTTCCCTTTCTTTGCGATGGGTCATCAGCATCTCTTACTTCCTTTTTGCTCCACTATCTTTATTAGCCCACACAGATAAATGCTAGACCATAAGAAAATCTTGAAACCAAACGAAGGAGAAAATGTTTGTTGCTCAAAAATATGTTGATACAGAATTCAATAGAGCTATCATCTATTAAAATAGGTGATGAACTTGACTGTGAATTCGACGGTGTCATTCACAAAGCTGATGAGGAATGGAAACCGGATGATTGTACTACGTGTCGTTGTATACAAGGAAAAGCTGACTGCTCGCAATTGACACCTTGTCGTACAGGTTATATTACAGATTTGTATTCACTAATTTTTCTTGTAACGTTGTTTAATTAAATTACGCATAAAAACTTTGTCCCTTACACATGTAGAAAAATTCTTTCTTATATGTGCACACTTATGTTATTATGACATTTATGACATCATTCCTGCTGATATAATGGCATTTCTTTTGCCTGTCTTCTCTGGCATTCCATACATTCTAATTTAGAATACACTCGCTTCTGTACATGTCGTTCTTACTATGGTATTGATATTTACTCGCTGGATCTGAGCATGAACATTAAATGTCGTTACAGGCGGCAATTGTGATGACGTTATTTGCGCCGAGTTATCGTGCGAAACACAACAATACGTTCCTTTGGGTCAATGTTGTCCTGTTTGTGCAGGTATGGAAAAAAAAATTTGTAGGACATTAATTATTGATTAATTCTCTAGAGGAAGATGCGTTGAATACATCCACTAGTAAATGATCACCTTAAGAAACGTCTCTAGTTAATAAAAATTCAAGTTAAAATCACCATATGCAGATATAATTTATGTAAACGCATTCATTTACTGGGGCCTGTTCTTTTACTGGCGGAGTCACCCTATATGCAAGTTCAGATTCCTCAGTCGTGGGTTGATGTACAGCATTATTGTTTTTATTTTTGTAAATTTTAGAACCTGACGAACTTCAACCTCAACCGGAAGAACCGAGTGAGTCTGTGAGTATTGTAAAGATTTAATGTAATTAAAAATGTATTTTAATATTGATTTCATTGTAATTTTAGCAACCAACTGAAATAATTCCTGGCGAAAGTAAACAAGTGAACACCATTGCTGTAACTGGACCACGTGTATGTTGAATATGGGAATTCATTGTAATTATGTTTGCTTTGAATTTAGATTGATTTTTTTTTTGTTTAGGGCGAAACTGGACGTCCAGGAGATTCTGGGCGCCCTGGAGATTCTGGATTTCCAGGACAGCCTGGGACACCTGGAATCCCTGGTCCTCCAGGACCGCCGGGAACTGTACCAGATGTAAGTATTATAAAAATGCTAAAATCTTTTTTAAACAGTTGTGTAATTTAAATTTCTTATAGTAATATGTTATTAATAGGTATCTCTGTATTATCAACAATTGGCATTGTCTCGAGCTAGTCAAGATAAGGGACCTACAGGTGAATCAGCTCCTTTATATGGCGGTCCTGATGCATTTTCATATTTGCAAGCTCAAGTAGGTCCGGTTGGTCCTCGTGGTCCTCCAGGTATGTTTCATTATTTACAGGATTTTCAGAGTTGCATAATAACGTATGATGAATCGTAGGTCCTCCTGGTGGGCCTGGACCCCAAGGATTTCAAGGAATAAGAGGAGAACCAGGAGAACCTGGATCACCAGGACCTTCCGGCCAACCAGGACCTCGTGGTTTACCTGGACTTCCTGGAAAGGATGTAAGTGTTTGTTGAAATATCATTTTACTAGTTTTACTTATTAAAAAATATATGTTTCTTAAATTTTAGGGTGATGCGGGAGAAGATGGTGAAACAGGACCTCCTGGATCACCGGGACCTGTAGGTTCTCGTGGTCTACCAGGAATGCCAGGACTTCCAGGCGTCAAAGGTCATCGAGGTTTTCCTGGATTAGATGGTGCAAAGGGCGAGCAAGGAGCTTCAGGAGAAAAAGGATCAGCTGGGGGGCCAGGACAAATGGGTCCTATGGGTCTAATGGTAATTTTATATAGATAAATATTATAGTATGATGTGTGGAATTAGCATCGCGTAATATCAATTTTATATTTAGGGTCCTGCTGGTCCTCGTGGTGAAAGAGGTCGGGAAGGCCCACCAGGCCCTCCCGGGATGAGAGGTATGGATGGAATATCTGGACCCCCTGGACAGCCAGTAAGTAAATTAAATACCAATTAAATGAATTGCTCTACGTTCAAGTTTATTATATCGTTTTCTGAAATTTATTAATGACTTTAGGGAACAATAGGAAAATCTGGTTCACCTGGTTTCCCGGGAAGTCCTGGCGTGAAAGGTGATCAAGGTGCTCAAGGACCTAAGGGTAGTCAGGGTTTGCAAGGGCCTAGAGGTGAGTCTGGCCGTCCTGGACAACCTGGAGAATCGGGTCCTCAAGGGCCTCAAGGTAAAGACGGAATTCCTGGAGATAAAGGAAGCCCGGGATCACCTGGTATGGTTGGATCCCCTGGATTCCCAGGAGCTCGAGGGCAACCTGGTCTAGCTGGCAATCCGGGTATGCCTGGCAGCAAAGGAATGCCTGTAAGCTATAACAAAGTTTCTTGTGACGTGTTGCTATGTAACAAGTATTAATATTAATTTTCTTAGGGACTTCCCGGTGAAAGAGGGTTTAAAGGCGAAAGCGGTTCGAAAGGTGACGTCGGAACACCAGGACCACGTGGTCTTCCTGGTCCTCCCGGAAATGAAGGAAAAAGGGGAAAAAGAGGCATGCGTGGTCCAATCGGAGCATCCGGCCCAGCTGGTGAACGTGGTATGCCAGGACCAAGAGGTCTTCCAGGACCAGACGGCCCCATGGGTCCCAAAGGTAATATTTGTTGTTCTCGTGGTGTAATAATCCTTTACATAACTCAAGTCTTATAATTATTGCTAAAATAGGACAATTTGGAGATCGTGGTCCAGTCGGAGCTACTGGACCTAAAGGTGGGACAGGAGATCCTGGCAGGCCTGGACTTCCTGGACTACAGGTAAAAAATCTGTAATTATTAAACAATTAATAAATTGTACAGTAAAGATATTATTAATCATAATACTTTAGGGTTCTCGCGGTTTAATGGGACGTCCAGGAGCACCTGGAAAACCTGGAAACCCTGGGGAACGTGGAATTCAAGGTGCTGACGGAAAGCCTGGTGATCAAGGACCGCCGGGATTACAAGGATTGCCAGGACCAATAGGTCTTCCAGGAGATAAAGGATATTCTGTAATTATTATCAAAATTTGTATTATACTATACGATGTTACTACAGAATTGTTTTGTATTAATTCTATTTCGTTCAGGGTGAGCCTGGCAAAGATGGCGAACCAGGAACTCCAGGATCCCCGGGACCACGCGGTGATTCTGGTAAAGATGGTCCCCCCGGCCTTCAAGGTCCACCAGGACCAGCAGGTGCTGATGGCGATAGGGGTCCTCCAGGACCAGCTGGAGCTAGAGGTTTTCAGGTAACGACGAGTCATTTTCTACTTCGTGAAATAATTCCTAAATAATAACTGTTAATAATTATGTTTCTTTAGGGTCTTCCTGGTGCTACTGGTAACCCAGGCCTACCAGGAAAAGATGGAGAAGTAGGTCTGCAAGGCCCTGCGGGAGTACCCGGAGCAGTAGGAAGCAGAGGAGAGCGTGGCTTCCCAGGAGACAGAGGTCCTGTAGGGTCACCAGGATCCACAGGTCCGCGAGGAGAACCTGGAATTCAAGGAGCAGATGGTTTACCGGTAAGCTAATTTATGTACCCATTATACAAACAATCATATCGAAAAAGGCAGCCATTCTAATTATATTTTTGAATATTTCAGGGTCAACCAGGACCTAAAGGAGAAAAAGGACATTCTGGACCATCCGGATTACTTGGCTTGCCAGGACTCAGAGGATTACCTGGAGAATCTGGACAAAAAGGAGAACGAGGATCATTTGGTCCTATTGGACCTGAAGGACCACCAGGTTTGATTTGATTTAGAAACATTTCCTAGTTTGCAATTTCGATGTATTAAGGATGGATATATATAAAGCAATCATTTCTATTTCAGGGCGAATTGGTGAACGTGGTCCTCAGGGTCAAATGGGACCCCCTGGACCACCTGGCGAACCAGCAGAACGAGGAGACACAGGTCCTCCAGGAGCACCTGGAGAATCTGGAGCGCCGGGAAATCCAGGAGAGAGAGGTCCTCAAGGTCCTCAGGGCTTATTGGGTTTCCCAGGACCACCAGGACTTTCGGGAATGCCAGGATTAAAGGGTGATCGAGGATACCCTGGATTGAAAGGAGATCAAGGAAATCCAGGGCCATCGGGTATATACAATTTTTTACTAGTTTAATTCTTAACGGTCACACTTCAGTAGAGTTTCCACAAGGATCACACATTACGTTGAGGTCACTGAGACCCCAGGTGACCGTTGAAGGTTTAAAGAAAGTCCGACCGACTTATAGAAATTACATATCAAAATAGGATTTATAATTTCTAATACCTATACAATATTGTGAGCAGGCAGTCCAGGTGAAGCAGGACCTCCTGGCGTGACAGGATTAACTGGAGCAAAGGGTATTCGAGGAGAACCAGGACCTAGAGGCGATTCTGGATTAATGGGTGCTCCCGGATTACCTGGATTAACTGGAGCTGCTGTAATTTTATTTAATTAATTCTTCTATTTGGAATCATCATCTATCTATGATAAATCTGAATAATTTTTTAAATAATTATGTAGGGAGCGACGGGACCACAAGGGCCTCCTGGTCCTTCAGGATTACCGGGTATTAAAGGAAATCCAGGAGATTTCGGTCGACCTGGAAATCCGGGCCCAGTTGGTAATCCAGGACCTCCAGGCGCTGATGGAATGAAAGGCGAAAGTGGTTCGGAAGGTCCTCCAGGTCCAGTCGGGCCACAAGGACCTCAGGGGTCAGTGGGCGATCGCGGTCTGCCAGGACTACCTGGACCATCAGGACCTGTTGGTGCTAGAGGAATGAGAGGCGCAGCAGTTAGTAGACTTTACATATTTTATGTACACGTTCCTTCTCTTTTTTAATTCCATATATTCTCTATTTTTCAGGGAGAAACCGGATTACCCGGTAAACCAGGATCAGAAGGACCACCAGGGCATCCGGGTATGTTAGGACCCCCAGGGCCACCTGGACCTTCAGGAGAAACCGGAGCGGAAGGTCCAGCTGGAAAGCCTGGACCACCTGGAATAGCAGGAAGAGCTGGAGACAAAGGACCTCCTGGTATGGCTGGTCCTCCAGGATCAAGCGGACCACCTGGCTTACCTGTAAGTTATTTTCATATTATACTATAATATAATTTCATAAATATCTAGGAATCTTTTCAATAGGGTCCACCGGGACTCAGCGGCCCACAAGGACCAGCAGGCGAAAGAGGAGCAAGAGGTGAAGCAGGACCACAGGGTGTGGAAGGTCAGCAAGGACCTAGAGGAAAACCAGGACCAGTGGGACCGGAAGGAGTCAAAGGCGATCGTGGAGAAACAGGACCAAACGGTGCGAAAGGACATCGCGGTCTTATTGGTTTACAAGGATTACCTGGAGTGGCTGGTCCCCCTGGAGAAAAGGGCATGACTGGAATGCCTGGATTACCTGGAAAGGATGGAGAGCCTGGTATGCGAGGAAATCCTGGTAGAGACGGAAGTCCAGGGCCTCTGGGTCTTACCGGAAATACTGGACCCAGAGGACCGCCTGGTGAAGAAGGACGTCATGGACAACCAGGTCCCCCGGGACCACCTGGTCCACCAGGACCTCCAGGAGAGCTTGGATTGGAATACGATGCTGCGTCCCTGGCTGCACTTTTAAGTATGTAAATTAATCATCTTTAATTTTTTTATATTAAGCCCAGCTGTCCAACATAACTTCAAGACAACAAACATTTTTTATACAGGTGCCGGACAAGGTCAAAGTAAGGGTCCTGATCCATTAAGTGGCGACGAACCCGCCAGACTCTTCGGCAAGGATATTTCTGAAGAGGAGCGCAGAGAACTCATCTTGAAAGCTTACGAACAATTAAAGGCGTCTTTCCAAAAACTGGTTAAACCCGATGGTCAGAAAATATCCCCAGCTAAATCTTGTAGAGATCTCTTCGTCGCCCATCCTAACAAACCATCTGGTAAGATTCCGAAAATTCATGAATTTCATTATAAAATGAAAAGCAACATTACTTAATTATTTTTTAACTTCTTAGGTGAATACTGGATCGATCCAAACGAAGGAGACATCAAGGACGCGATTTTGGTTCACTGCGATGCCGAGAAACGAGCGACCTGCGTCTTACCAAAACCTGCCCGCTCACCAGAAATCAATTACATCGGTCATGAACAGGAAGTATGGCTTGGGGAAATCGAAGGAGGCATGAAGGTAAATTCTGATAATTTTTCAATAAGATACACAACCTTTTTCTATAAGCGTTTACTGAATTTTATTCAATTTCGTTTACTTACAGATAACATACAAAGCGGATAACAATCAAATCAGTTTCCTGCAACTACTCTCCACGCACGCAGAGCAAAATATAACTTATCACTGTAAAAACTCAATAGGCTATTTCGATTCTGCACGTAGAACATATAGACGCGGTATGAAGCTTTCAGCCTGGAACGATGTTGAATTGACACCCAGAGGAAATCAGCGACTCAGATATGAAATGATTCTCGACGAATGCAGGGTAAGTTTCAGCAATTCCTTAACAATCTATAATATACAAGCCTGAATATTAATTAAATGAATTACATTATTTTAACAGATGCACCAGAATGAATGGGGTAAAACTATAATTTCTTATGATACTGACAAAACCATAAGACTTCCTATTCTCGATATTGCTCTGCGTGACATTGGAAAACCGGATCAGAGATTCTGGGTAGAGGTGGGTGCCGTTTGCTTCCGGTAAAAAAAGATTTAGATTAAAAATTAAGAAAGCACAGTCTTTATATTTATATATTCAATTTGACATAATTACTTCCCACTTACTTTGCATATTATATACGATATAATATAACGAATTAGTTATGCCATTTATGTAACGACTTTCTTGTAACGTAATATTAATTCATTGTAACTTATCGTATACAGTGGCCTGTACAACTGATCAAACTTTATAACACATGTACCGAATCATATCGAATAGTCTAAGTACGTTATAAATACGATACACTGCCAATACTACTTCTAAGTTAGCTATATTGCACCTCTTACGATCTAAGGAATTTACACGATATTTAATTCTAGGCAATCAATGATCTTAATTTTTATTGTCGTATGTGAAACGTTTTAGTTATTTTATAGCTTAAAGGGTCAATTAAACATCAACTATTATTAAACATCAATGCATCAACATGCATTGCATGGCAGATGATATAACATGTAATATAGCCTTAAGTATTAATATGTATATAATATCAATTTCAATTGACTTGTAAGTGAATATTTATAATTACATGGCCATAAATAATATATAATCGATGCATCATAGATCCATGACTATTTATTTGCCATAAATACTTTTTATCCAGTAATTGAATCTAACCGGAACATGAAATTTCTTCTGGCGGGGTTTTATGACAATATACGATCTTGTAATTGTCGACCTAACGTCTGCAACCTTCGCATGTCGGTATTTCATTGAACGTTGTGTGGTCAATAACTAGTGGTATATGTATATACAATAAAAAATCACTTCTTATGGATAATTCTCACGGTCGCAGGATTGTCAGGTTCATAAAAAAAATGATAATGCTGCTACCGATAAATTCAGGGTCAAGCGTGCTTAGATGTTATTAAAGTCCCTCTCACATTAGGAAAGAAATATAACTATAACTTAATAATTTATTACGAGAATCATATTTGAATTGAATTCAAATCAGATATCAAGAGGAAACTTCCCTCCTTTATATCATTAAAGGTTGAGCATGCGTAATAAAAATAATGCATTTAAAAAAATGATCCGAGTTCTTGTAAGACGCGACGATTCGATAAATTTGAAAATTCGGCATTGACCCTAATGGATGATATATATGCTAAAAATGAGTATGAGAATTTATGTTAAGTGCAGAGCGTTGCGATGTCAGTAATGCGTGCCAACAAATTTTGAGGTAAGTACACAACACCGTTTAAGGTTATATCGAGGCCACTCCTGTGCATCTAATCAATGCATTTACTGTATACAATTTCTCTTGATTTTCAACTCAACTAATAATCATTAGACACGGTAAATGATTAATAATTATAATTTATTAAACCATTCGTATTCATTTGTAGATAGTACTCACAGCATAAATTCCCAATCCTCTGCAGGCCATACGCATTCTACGTGACAACAGGCATGCGTTAAAATGCCGGCTAGTCATATTCTTCCCGGGAACTTTGCCTGTAGCTCCCACGGACATATATGACCCCTGACAATTTTACATCGTGATACTATAAGTGAAATACTATAGTATTCCACCATGACAATTATAAAACTATCAATGTCAATTGTAAAAGCGACTTGTTAATTGAGCGATTGATATGTTATTGCTGGATCGTCACCAAAAACATTACATACCTTTGATATTAAATACCGTACTACGCTTACTTTATGTACAACTAATATTTTTTAAATGACTTATTGACTTGCACAGGAAAATGAATTGCCTTGTAACATTTCTCATGGGCAACTATAAGCTCGAGACAAGCATTTGAATTTATATTGTGTAAATGCGTGCTGCATACAACTGTGAAGGAGAGCATTCTAATTTAACATTCTAAAACACGATGACGCGTTTGCTGTGTACCGACTAAGTGTAATAATCACGAAAGCAGACATTTCTAGCGTGGGATAACGAATGTACTAATAACATACGAATACAAACAACTTCACTAATTACGACTTAAAAAAAACATTACGTATCTTATTTTATCGGTATCATATTGGCATTTGAATATGATGAAAAATTTTCACTTGTTTCAATAATTGCCAAACTTATTTTCAGGCCACCCAATAGCAGTGCAAAATAGTTGAACGATCTCGAGAACTATTCATCGACAGTTGGAGCCCTGCGAAGTAATGAATATTAATTCGTTTTTTGTATGAAACAAATATTTATATTCGCGTATATATGGTTTTTTCAGATTTTCTAAAATTAGAATTGCTTTACGTTAAGCAAGTTCATCACGTAGTGCCGTACGTGTGTATCCTTATGCGCAAATCCCCACTTCTATAATATGCAACAGGTAGTGAGAGTGGGGGTACAACGGGCCCTCAAGAAGATCAACCCAAGGAGTATTCAGTCGCGTTTCAGCCGCGTGTGTTAAAAGTGCAATGGTTTTGGCCAAGTCCGGTGTATTCAGTGAATTTTAGGGCCCATCCCTGCTGCCGGTGTATATGTGTGGAAAGTAACCGTAAGCACACTTACGTACTACATTTGCAATTTTACCTCATCGACGCTTACATTCTGTAATAGTGACGCCAAATCGTGCAGCATGTTTTGGGGAAGCGTCGCGTCCTCCTAAATTATATATTATGCAATAATAGAGCGAATGCATAATTACGTTATTTTTATATATTTATACTTCACTGCGGAACGATTATATACGATATATTTTTTATCGCGATTTGAAAACACGTAAGTAATCTAATCGGATTGCAAGATATTTACGAAAGAATGTACAAATAATAAATTCCATCTTTTGCTCATATGATTTCGTGATATAAGTAGGTAATGTTTCTCCAAGCACATTTCATCGGTATCATAGTTTTATAACAGAGTCGTGTTACTTGATGCCGTAATTGTGTCTCATCGTTCGGTTTCATTACAACATTCCTTACAGACCATATCCGTAAGACTATCACGTAAGCTTCAAACGAATTAAATACGTCACACACTCGTGTCTCTTGAACTTTATTTTAGCTTTGAGCTTTAATTGTAACGATACTTGTTAACCGTTTTTATGCCACCCCGTGCGGTTCGTTCTCGATCAATTTACATGGGTCTTAACAGGGATGACTCAATGCATAATAAAAATTAATTTCACTTATAGGTTATATAGATATTTATTTCGTTTCACACTAGTAGCTTCAATATTATAACACTTAGTTTTAATAATTATTATAATTCATATTCATGAGTAGTATGACTGATTGCTGGTTGATAATCAGTATTCAAATGACCTTGGTCGATCCAACATAATTTCTTCAAATATAGTGTTCGTGCCATGAAGTAGAGATACGTATTAAATTATTGCCCATCTGGTGATAAAACTATAATTTGGCAGAAACTGATATTACGTCAACCAAGAACAAACGTGCGTAACATTACATTTGGATCATTGCTCACAGTGATCGTTCATCACAACCCAAACTCACCTTTGCGAACTGCGTCACATTTTGAATAGTTTCTTGTTAACCCTTAACCGGTCATACGGCGTCTGAAAAATAAGCAATTGCATTCCCTACGTTGTCTCTCAGACGCCACATCATCGTTTAAGGGTTAAAAGAAAAAAATAAATATGGTATAATGTATTCAACGCAGTAAAATTATGACTGTTATTTCTTAGACATTTCTAGAGACTTGGTGTAAGAACTGGTTTCCTTTTAGTATTTATTCACGAATTTCCTGCTTGCCTTCAGTTTTAAGCCAACAGTAACAGGTTTTCTAAATGTATTTACTTGCAGTATTATCCAATAGGGGAAACATTATACAGTCCATCGATAAGATTACTTACCGACGTTGATAATAATAGCCGGAATGTAGCTATTCTATTTGGTAAACAGTAATTCTTGTGATACTTCACGATTCTCATATTACCAATAGGTTCGCACTTGAATCAAGTACGAATTGTAACCGGTAAAGCAGAACTAATCGATATGTTCAGTAAACGCGCTATTCTTCCGCCATTATTTACCCGTTCACCAAATGGAACAGTAAGGTGTGTAGGAAATGCGTGTGAAATATAAAAAGTGAAAATAAAAACGCTCTTGACCGTTCAGTGGCAATAAAACAAATTATATATATTGTACGATGGGAAATTTGAGAATCGTGCGATACGTTTAAAAAAATGTAAGCAGCTTTCTGTTTTACGTGAATTTATGGAAACACTGTTGTTAATATCCCATTATTTTCTCATCTTAACAACGTTTCGTCTATAGCGTATCGAACTGTTTTCTATACTTTATGAGAAAAGTGCTGAGCTCCTGGAGATTTTCCTTACAAACATATATATATATATATATATATTTATAATAACAGACAATATATACACTGTTAATAATTATTGACGATGGCTAACCAAAAAAAGAGGGTTGATATTGCGTCATACGATTTGTGTGATGATGTGTTGTGTAATATCGGCCGATCCAATTCTGATATCTCACAAGCGAATTAAACATAGTTATAATAACAGACAATATATACACTCGTCTATAGCGTATCGAACTGTTTTCTATACTTTATGAGAAAAGTGCTGAGCTCCTGGAGATTTTCCTTACAAACATATATATATATATATATATATATTTATAATAACAGACAATATATACACTGTTAATAATTATTGACGATGGCTAACCAAAAAAAGAGGGTTGATATTGCGTCATACGATTTGTGTGATGATGTGTTGTGTAATATCGGCCGATCCAATTCTGATATCTCACAAGCGAATTAAACATAGAAGTTAAATATAGGCAAGACTCGTATGTTCTTTAGTGTTGTTACGAGAAGCCGGCGACTTCTGATCGACAGCAGTGTGGCGGGTGCAGGGACGTGGATACAACACAAAAGGACTGAAGTTTCGACGTCTATCACACTGTCTATATCTACAATCCTGGGCCTCGACGTCTGACATTAAAACGATTAGGCTACGTTTAATGGAGCTCTGGAACAAACCCTAAACACTCGTCTGTTCGGACCGAACTGATCGCACGGAACGCTCGAGCCATCGTCTGCGAAAGGCGCATTCACATAACGTCAATAGGGGCGTCGTGATTTCGTTGGAGGGAAAACACCGGAAGTGTAATAATGGCTTCCCTGCGGGAAATAAATGGTGAGTTGGAAATCATTTGAAATTTATCTGAGTCTGTACACCTATACAATATATCTCGTGTTTGCCAGTGACGTAGCTCTCTCAGCAAAGAGAGGCGTGTTTCTGATGAAAAATATATAAAGTTGTCGAATAAATTATTCTTAATTAAATGTTTAAAAAACCCTTGAGGTTTCTTTGAGGGCATAGTTCGATCGTACATCTGAGTACCTTCTACGCGATAGATTATGTATTTACTGATACTGACGAGACGGTTTATCCCCCGGGAACGTAGTGACAATATTGGAGTCCAGGTGACTTCTGGTTTATACTCACTCTTTTCAGACCTCGTCACTTCCTTTCCCTTAGACTTTGTATTATTTTGTTATTTCAAGTTTGCATAATGCAGCACTCGCGATGGGTATTAGTATTGGTCACTGATTAAATTAATAAATGTACGTTGTTACTAACGTACGCTTAAATCTTTTTTCTGTACTTTCTTAGTAACAATTTGTATTTATTATTACGTCTCATTTTTTAATTTATTACTGTATCCATAAAACGTTATAAAGTTCATGCGTAAGACTCGGCATTTTTTAAATGTAACAATGCATCGTTGTAAATCCGTAGTAAAGCAGCACGTGGGTTTGCCTGCGAAAAAATCTATATTCTACCCTTCGTTGCTGACTTTCATGACCTTTGAACCAAGGTGACCTCCCGAATTCGTGATACTTAAAAAAAAAATGTTATTATCACATCACTCAAAATCATACGTTCCTCTCGGTCAATTGATTTTGCTCGATTTTGATAATTTATACTCGACTATCGTTAAAGCGGTCACCACGCGGTGATACGTGACAAAAGTTACGTCACTTGTATCTCCATTGACATTCGACCTTACGTGCCACGATAGACGTGCCGATACATGATACGTTACGTAATATTTATAAATATGCCATGAACTACCTTACCGTTTTCATTATTTAGCCAAACGTTTTTCACGTAATGAGTTTGGTATTTGCAATTTTCACTCACAATAAGTTGAATCCACATGCCTGTAAGATAATTGTGAACAAAATGTGCAACAAACAAATCACGAACGCATTGGCTTCATTGTTTAACTTACCAAAAGAGACTTAGAATCTGCGTAGGCGAATATTATTGCATTTTCTAGCTCTCTACGTAGATCAATACTTGTATCTACGCAGACATATGTATTTCCTGTCAGGTTACAGGGACGCCATATCATCGCGAAGTAAATTGACGCGTGTTTCAAAATCAATTAACTCGTCATTTTATCCCACGACGTATTTAAAGAAATATACTGAATTTGACACGAGGTACACTTTTCCTTCGTGAAATTGATGCACTATTGACCCTGGTTGATCTTTTTTAAATGCATCCTTGACTTCGGCATTTGTATTATTCTTGCGTGTCTGTTACGTATTCAACTATGTGAAATGAAACTCCGTTATAATTTTACGATTTTGTCTTATGTTTCTTATCTTGCTATAATTATAGCTACGTCTAGGTAATATCTTAATGTCATGATTACCAAGGCCGCGCAGCATATTAGAGTTTCATAACCATTCTTTCTTATTTTATCAACAGAACCTGTTGGATCAGGATGCAATTTAAATTGAAAAAAAAAACTTTTCCGACAATATAACAGTGCAATGTTATTATGATTTACCAAATATGAGATATTTATCAACATTTCAAGTGAAACTTAGTGATAAAGGGAACCAAAGGCAACAAGGATTATATTACTTTGATTTTTTATTGTCACGTCTATTAAGTTCGAGTGGGCTGTCTTAATTCTGTTATTCGAATAATTTTTCAAGTATTTTAAGTGATTTAGATTTCTGTATATGTATACCGAGATAGTTAATTTGACTCGTGTCGAAGTATATGAGTTTTGGTCGTAAATAATATATCTTTTGGCGGCACTATGTGTATAATTAAAAATTTGTTTAATTGAAGGCGCCGTCTATAATTTCAATTACGTCATACAAGCGTTTTAAGAAAGGTAAAAATAAGAATGACAAATGTGTATTAAACACACGAAGAAATTATCATTTTATATTTTGTCAGTTTTATCGCCACGCATCATTATCGATAAGCTTAGGATTTAGTAATGTATCAAAATCCTATAGATTATGCCAAGTGGATGCGGCTTAAATTTCTTTGCTTATTAAAATCGTTATATCATCTTGGATGTACCAAATTAACTATTTGAGATTTTAGGCTTTCGCCGCCAATATTATCATTAATACTCATGGTTTCCGGATGGAAGCCGCGTCTGTGTTCAGCTTCGTGCAGACTGAAACATTTCCGATACTGTATCGGAGCCTACCAGCCCTGAAGATGCAGACTGAAACATTTGCGAAACGTCGGCACGAAGCTGAACACAGACGTGGCTTCCATCTGGAAATCATGAGTATTAATCAAATTAACTATATTTTGATATTCAGCGCAACAGATAAATTCTTATCACGCATAATCTCGATAAACGTATACTGGATTTTTGTTAATAAGTAGTGAAATCCTGATTATCACGAAAGAAATCGTTTTTAGCTTTGAGAAATACTTGCTAACGCTAAATTTAATTTTCTACGGATTGTGTGTAATAAAAAATGTCTATTTAAAAATATCACCTGATAGTTTTTAACGGCAACGCGCGATCACGAAACTAAAATTACATCTTACTAGTGCTAACGTTATACTTAGATTCATATGTTACATAACTAATTTTATTTCCTGCTATTCAACTCTACCTATCAGAAAGGACCGTTTATGTTATTTCTTTTATGCAGTTATTTATCATTCATTGGTAAAGTAATGCAATATAATTTCATTTACAGAGCGGATACCTCGTAGAGCTATCCTGGGAGTCATGATGTTCCTGGCTTGTATGTTCTCGTACTTTATTCGTACGAATTTATCCATCACCATTGTGGCTATGGTTAGTGCATCTAAAAAGAATGGGCATGTGGGACCAGCCTGTGCTGCACCAACATTTCTTAATTCTACAACAAACGAGACATATAAAGGACTTCCAGATGTAAGTCTTATCACTTGATACTTTGAATTACATTATGTGTTTGTGAGAATTTTTATTCATCAGTCTCATTAAAGAGACATTCATGCTCTTTCATATATGTATGCTGGGTTCAATAGATGAAGATACGGGCAAAGATATACGGTAAACAGAGCTAGTGATGTATATTACTTTTATTGTGATAGAAGTATGGTGGTTTAATGATAACAACTGTTTGCATCTATGTGGAACAATAGTAATAATGTTTTTCTTTTTGATCCACAGTATGGTGAACGATACGAATGGGATCAAAATATTCAGGGTCTCCTTCTTTCTGGATACTTTTATGGTGTCTTGCCAGCAAGTATACCTGCCGGTATGCTGGCCGAAAAGTATGGCGGTACCAAAGTCGTAGCGTAGGTTGAATTATATATAAATTCATTTTTCTTGAAATTACATTATTTTATTTCATGAAATATATTACGCACATGGAAATTGTTAATCTTTATTTTTTTTTAATACAGGTTTGCCACTCTTATACCAGCTGTATTAAATCTTCTGATGCCCTGGGCTTCTAGATTGCACTATGGCTTCGTGTTTGCATTACGTTTCCTTATGGGATTTTTTGGAGTAAGTTTCCTTTATCGTAATATCATAACTTGATGATTATTAATATCACATTCGTAATATTGACCGTCAGAGCTGTCCTCAAGCAGCCTAAATAATCTTTTTTCTACTGCCCAAAGCCTCACGATGAATATGTCCAGTGATGAGCGTTAACGACTAATGGGGATAATAATCTATTTTGAAAGACGTCGTGCATGAATGTTATTAAATTGTAGCAATTCTCTGTTCAAAGCCAAGGACAATATACCCAGCCGTAATTTAATGTCTATTCGATTTATTTTTATTAATTTTATATATGTTTAGGGTGCTGTCTATCCCGCCCTTCATGCTATGATTGCCAGATGGGTACCCCCCAGTGAAAAGGGGATGTTCGTTTGGACTATGCAAGGTAAACTATACAAATACTTGATCATTAATAAAATTATGATATAATGTTAATCTTTACTGATAAATCATCAATCTTAGGCTTCATTAGGATACATTTAATTGAAATTTCTAAATATCAAATGCTCTACGCGTTTAGTTACTTAATGTTATTTGTACATGCAGGTTCATATTTCATACCCAATCTGATAAAACTGTTTTATTGGATTACAAGGTCGAGCTTATTTGGTTTTTTAATTGCCTGAAATATTCAGTTAGTTTAAAAGATATTTTCTCGTTATTACCTTGCATTGAAAATATATAATTACATAAGTTTCTCTTTCTTACTCTAAGGTGGACCGTTTGGTACTGTAGTCACGTTTACCCTTTGCGGTCAAGTAATAGAATATTTTGGATGGAAATCTGCTTATTATACTACTAGCGGTCTTATGCTTATTTTCTATGCCCTTTGGGTTTACTTGATATATGATACTCCTGATGTTCATCCAAACATCACGGAAAAGGAAAAGATTTACATTAAGGAACAAATTGGAACATCCGTTACTAAACAGAAGGTGATTTCCTTTTAACTTTTACTAAATCGAGTTAATGGACATTTACACGGTACGATTTATGTTATGATTAATAATTTCTTTGTTTGTATCTTCAGGTAAAACTTCCGGTTAAAGCTATGATGACTTCAGCGCCATTCTTGGTGCTACTATGGGCTCACTTTGCTAATATGTGGGGAATATACTTCATTTCTACAAACGGACCCAAGTATACTCTAGAGGTTCTTGGATTCAATATGAAGTCTGTAAGTTTTCTGTTATTATTATTAAAGAACAGTATTGAAATTGGATAATAAGTAGACCAAGCATAGTAGCAAACGTATTATCGTAAATCAAACGGATGACTATTTCTGTTTGTGATAAATCTATCAATCCCATGGAAAATTGTATCCTTGTTAACTCCACAGCGTCATTATTTGCATATGTTAGATCATAATCTATGATGGATTTCCAGGGTGGTGCCATCACGGGTTTGCCCTACATTGCTAGACTTGGTGCTGGTGTTCTATTTGCAGCAGCTGGTGATTATGTACGCAGAAAGAAAATATTAACAGTAGGATGGATCCGTAGAACTTTCATGATTTTTTGTAAGTATATTATCTAAGTGATTACAATTTAAAATTTTATTCAAAATTACATTAAAGAAATTAACGTTTGGCATCTATCTCAATGTCAATATATGATTTATTATTGAAGCTCATATGGGACCTGCCATTGCACTGGTAGTGATGACTTATGCTGGCTGCAACGCTGTTGTTGCAATGGTGATGCTAATCGTTGCTTTAGCATTAAATGGAGCTGCTTGTCAGACCAGTTTGCAGAATCATCAAGATCTTGCTCCTAATTATGCTGGATCATTATATGGAATCATGAATACCTTTGGCAGCTTCCCTGGATTTATTATCCCACCAATTATCGGTGCCCTTACTAATGAAAGGGTAAGTTTCTCTGAATGCAACACAGGAAGTGTATATAGTGATTGAATCAGAATTGTCCTTAAATCAACTTCTTGCTCGTAGAACGGCATTGAAGAATGGCGAGTGATGTTCTGGATCTCGGCAGCAGTATTCACATCTGCTACTATATTATTCTGGATATTTGGTTCGGCCAACATTCAACCATGGAATGATTATAGTAAGGCGAATCCAGGCATCCAGGATCCTGACGAAGAGAAACAAATGACAGCTATAAACACTAAGGAAAGCGAAACTGCCGAGGAAAATGAAGAAAATGAACGTCTTTAATGGCATGTACTATTCGTAACTTATCCTTCTACTACTTAATGTGTTAGTTGGGATGAGCATATTTGTCTTTCGTTTCTTTCTTCTTGATATCAAAATGATACGTAATAAATTAAAATGTTTACTGTGCTTTGAAAACTTAGAGATAATTGTGCAGAATGGACTTTGGTCTTTATTGATGTCGCTTGGTCATTGAAAAGAGATCATTGATCTTGCTAGTGGGAGTGTAGAACTATGTAGTATGATTAATTATTAATGTGTAAGTGTCTAAAACACTGACTAAGGCAGTTTTAGTTGTTTAAAAATACTAGAGATCTTCAGAAAAAAATAATTTAATTGCGATATCTATGTATACGCATTTGTTTTGATATGCTACATTGTCCTATTTTATATTAATTCAACAAATTCACCCAATTTTGCTTTCTGATTTACGTTGCGGTCGTGAAGACCATAGCTTTGATTTGAGACATCTCATAGTATACTTCTTTTAGGTGATACGTAAGTTATTATATTATTTGCGTTGATGGATTTCAATTACAGATCATATCGGTATAACAAGGAATCGATAGACTGTCTAGTATGTAGCCACGATGTAAGTTTAGTCTATATGTAAGTAGAGGCTTCACAGACAAATTTTGTATGCTAACAATGTAGAAAAAAGAATTTAGAAATTTATGCTGTTGTTCAACGCGCAATAAGAAAGCTCACTCATTGTAAATCTCGGTTTCCTTTACGTTAAAAATGTCATTCATATGTCTATACATTACATATTTTAAACAAAATCGGTGGCACATTCTATTTTTTGATAATTCTACAACCACAACGCGAAGAACACTAGCCGGATTAAACTCACATGAACTGCAATAATATCCAAATAATATCTCATTAAGGTATAATCTTTCATGTAGTCGTTGTAAACACGTTTCACGTAATTCATGTGTCTACTTATAAGACTTTGAGTAGAATTATGTATATCGAGAAAGTCAATATTGTATGGTTTTGAAATATTTTAATTCACATTTTGGGTCAAATATTTAATTCATAATCGTTTTTTTTTTTAATCGTACGTAATTTGACCAAAAGTGTCAAGTGTAAAATATACAAGTTTTTTTTTATCATTCATTTTCACCTTTAGTGCCAAAAAATAATTTATGTATAAAGTTGTTATCATTGAATGACTGCACCCTTACAGGATAGATAAGAACTGCACTATACCATAAGAGAAAAGTGTCTTGTTAGTCATTGATATACTGACTAATGTGCATTTATATGCTGATAGCTAGGTCAATATTTTCATGAATATATTTTAATGTTTATATGAATGATATTCTAAGTTAATTTTAACCTGATGTTTATATCCGATTGCATTTAATATTGGATGATCATGTTACAGAAGGTTTATGTATCCATAGAGAGATTCTATGCTTAATTGCATAAGTCAAGTACAACTTTGTAATGTGATGTCCATGTGTACCGATACTTAAGATTATTTTTGTTGATAAGAAGTTCAAACAGTGAAATAAAATGAGGTTCTATCACGATAATCTATACAAATTGAGTAAATTTTTTACATATAAACACTTTTATATTACAAATTTATTTTCTACAAGAATGATTTTGTTAGTGTTATTCATTAAGTGCTGTATTTGCAGGAACCTTCCATGGATCGTTATAATTTTCTATTAATAAGGATTTATCCCTTGATAGTTTTACTTTAATACCATCTTCAGCACCTGATGCTGATAGTATTACAATTCGGGCTACTATAAGAAACTTGGGATTATTTGGACTGGGTCCTTTGATCACATCAACTTCGTCACCAACATGAACCTAGAATTATTACACTATTCTCAATAACTTGTGTTAATTGTTTAAGGTATTTTCACGCTTACGTTAATGCTTTTCTTAAGAACCCTTTGACCATTATATCGTATTCTACTTTGGTAGAAGAGTAGTTCCACTTTACTAAAAAATTTGAAAAAATATATCCAGTATACAGGTATTTAATATGCAAATGATTCTTTTTAATGCATATAACCATTCATATAGTTGATTCTATTGCATAGAACAATCCGTACTTGCGTGCTATAGAAAGTCCAGCTTTTACAATTAAGTCTAATCGCATGGATGCTACTTTGGTTGAGATAATTTTAGTGCTTTTATCGCGTGGCATATCAGCCATATCATTGCCAGATTCTTCATCATCATCGTCATCATCATCTCTTTCCTGCATAACATTGTACATGAACTTCCAACGTAATGATGGTTACATTTTTTGTATTGTGTATACATCCAAGAAAGTAGAATCTAAAGTAGAAGAGCAGTATGCTTATTACGATATTATTAATAAAAAAATTACCTGCACCGTTGATTTTCTTCTGTTATATTTGAATCTTTTAACCATAGAAAAGTTTTGATGATTATTAAAAAATAAACAATCACTCAATGCTGTTTGCTGCTTATTCCTTTCTAAATATTGATACTCTGGTCGAAATAAGTATAAGGTACGTAAACACATTAAATTTTTGTGATATTTTGTAAAATTAAAAATAAATCTTCTGCACAGCATCTTTGATTCAGGTTAAGGCTGCGTTATATATATATGCAGGGAAGAAACTCGCACAGTGGAGATCATGTATATCGTTACATAGATATATTGCCGACTGAGTTTACTTTGATAACACAAGTTATATAGGTATATCAGTAGCCATTAGATGGCAGTTGATCGGTTATTTATAAAAAGGGGAAATTCAAATTTTTTAAAAAATATTTTCATTATATCCATACAAAAATAATAAATTCAAACGTTGCCAAAGTGATTTCCATATCGAATATAGGTTCAGTTTAAGATCCACAAGCCATACATGTATCACCATTTTCTCTTGAACATGCTAAAGCTACGTGTTGGATTCTTCATCACATTGTTCTTCTGATTCTGCTTCTTCTTCTTCTTCTTTCACAATTGTTTCTAATTTTAATGGTGATTGCAGCCTTTCGCTTTTCTTATGGGAAGCAGACTTACCCGATTGCAATGACAATTTTTCAAATGAAAATTGAATTGAATTTGCAGCCGGTTTTGTGTGCAAATAGTACATTCCCGTTTTCAAACCCTGTAAAGTTGTGAGATGTCAAGATTGTATTAAGATCCAAGGAATGAGAATTAATAAATTTTTACACGACCAAAGGCCAGTTCTACAAACAAGGTTTATTTCTTAATTTCTGTTTAACCTCTCGATTAGTCAATCAGATACTTGCATTCTGATGATAAACCGGGTTTAAACAATAAACCTTGTTTGGGGAACCGGCCCTAAATTCTTGAATGAATTACCATTTTCCAACCATAGAAATGCATCGATGTGAGTTTATCTACTGTGGGGTTTGCCATGTGAATATTCACAGATTGTGAATGATCAACAAAAGCTCCACGATCACAGGCCATTTTTAAGATAATTTTCTGCGGTATTTCCCATGTCGTTTTATATAAACTCTTCAACTCTTCAGGAATTTCTTCGATATTCTACAAAGAAAAATGTATAGATGAATTTTCACAAAAATACTTTGCTCGTTGTTCGCGCAAACGAACAGTAATGGTTAGCGTGGAAATCTTGTAATTTACTAACTTGAATTGAACCGTAATTAGCAACGATTTCATTCTTCATGTCTGCACTCCAGAGATTTCTCTCAGTCAGATCTCTCAACAGATGAGGATTTATGAATTGAAATTCTTTAGAGAATGTTTTCCTTACATACATGTTGCTTATATAAGGTTCAATTGATTCGCTATTTCCTAAAATTTCAGCAGTTGGCGATGTAGGAGTTGATGCAATGAGTAAAGAATTACGAATCCCATGCTCGGAAATTTTCTCCTTGAGAGCTGCCCAGTCCCATAAGTTAGATGGTTTGACATTCCACATGTCATATTGCAATATCTGATTACAAAATAATTCATAAATTAGTGATGTACTTTGTCTTTATCTCATTTCTCATTTTTTAATCACAGCTCTACATACTTACTCCTCTACTAACAGGACATCCATCGTAGGATGGATATGACCCTTCTTCTTGAGCAAGTTCACAACTTGCTTCCAAGGCAGCATAATATAAAGTTTCAAAAATTTGAATATTAAGTTTTTGAGCATCTTCGCTCTGAAATGGATAGCGCATCAAACAAAATGCATCTGCTAAACCTTGTATTCCGATACCTGTACATATACATTTGAAAAACGAAATTTATATGTATTTTCGATATAATTCTTAATATATAATTATTCATATGATAAGTACCTATGGGCCTATTGCGCAAATGTGATATTTTTGCTTCAGAAATATATTCAGGATACCAATTAGCATCGATAAGTTTGTTTAAATTTCGTGTTACAGTTTTTGTAATGTTCTTTAGCTTTTCAAAATCATATGTCTTCTCTGCAGTATTAACAAACTTATTTACAGCTATCGATGCTAAACTACAGACTGCTATTTCGTTAGCGCTTGAATATTGTATAATATCAGCAGAGAAATTGCCTCCTTTAATTGTTCCCAAGTTTTGCTGATTGGACTTTCGATTACAATGATCCTTGTATAACATATGAGGTAAGCCTGTTTCTACCTGAGCTTTTAATATTGAGGACCATACATCCCGAGCAGGTAACTGACGCTTATAACGTTTTTCAATTTCGTACCTAATGAGAAAAAATCGATGCTAATAAAAAATTCTAAGCACGAGAACAAAATTTTATACGAACTTTGAATAAAGGGCATCAAAATCATCGCCCCAGGAGTCGAAGAGACCTGGACAATCATGAGGACACATTAAGCTCCAAGTGCCGTTATCCATAACACGCTTCATAAATAGATCAGGAATCCATAATGCATAAGACAAATTTTTTGCCCGATATTCGGCCTTTCCTGTTAGGAACATATTAATAATAATCTATTTAGATGGTTCGACAATTTATAATATTGTAGATCATCTTTACTTACCTGTGTTTTTTTTAAGTTCCAAAAACTCCATTATATCTGCGTGCCATGGTTCGACATATATTGTATTTGCTGTAAGTCTTTTACTACTCCTTTGACGAACCTGTTGAGCAGATGCATCATAAACTCTAAGCATTGGAACTAGACCATTAGATTCTCCATTGGTTCCAGCAATGCGAGTGCCTCTAGCCCTGATGCAGTGAACATTAAGTCCAATTTCTCCACTAAAACCTGAGATCATAGCACACTGTGTCAAAGTTTCAAAAATACCTTCAATACTGTCACCACTCATACTCAGTGAGAAGGAGCTGTAATCAAAATTGTAATCAGCTAGAAGTTATACACATTTAAGAATATATTATATTACTATAATACATAGATATAGTGATATGGTTCTGCTATATAATATATAACATATGTATTTACTGCCATGTTTAGACGACACTATGTGTAATATATACCAAGATATTTGTTGTGTTGGACTGCAAGCATAGAAGAGCGTAGATGGACTGTGAATAAAGTGATGCTCAGACATTAGATTATAAGTCTCAATAACTTTATCAATAGCATCTTCATGGATTGCAATAGCAACTCTCATTATCATATGCTGGGGTCTTTCAACGACTTTGCCATTGATTTTCAGAAGATAATTTTCTTCCAGTGATTTAAAGCCAAAGTAGTTATAATCAAAGTCGCGTCCATATACTATTACTGAATTTAGTATATCTGCATGCCTTTGAATAATTTCATAATGCTTTTCACTGATCATTGGATTTGGCTTTCCAGTGTGTGCATTCACTACGTTATACAAGTCTGCCATAACATCTGCAACAAAAAATGTATATTATAATGAATATTGAATAGTCTATAGAAAGTAATAGTCATAATCTAATAAATTTTCTATAAGCATAATTATAATATTATTTATATATTTAAGGAGCATATGTACACACCACTAAAACTCTTTTTCGTTTCCTTATGCAAATTTGATATTGCCATTCTAGCTGCTAATATCGCATAATCTGCATGTTCTGTAGTCATGGTAGCAGCAGTTTCAGCAGCAAGATTATCCAACTCCATTGTTGTTATTCCAGGGTAAAGACCACTTACAACTTGAACTGTAACTGCTGCCTGAATGAAAGTACCAGTACAAAATAAATTTACAAACTATCCATAAGAGCAAGTCTTATTGATATCAAAAATTTTCTTACTGGTTCAATATAATCCATATCAAGACCATAGCATTGTTTTTCTATTCTTAGAGTTATTTTATCAAAATGAACATCCTCCTTGCGCCCATCTGAAATAAATGATTATGAAAATGTTTACCACTGACATGGACAAAGGCATGATAAAGAATCATAGATTTATAAAAAAATTAACAACAAAAAAAGAACTTACCGCGCTTTACTACGAACATCTTTTTGTTTCGGTTCATTTTGAGAGTTCCTAATAATTTTTACTCTAATTGCTTCGTTTTTTAATAAACTTATTACTTCAACGAAATACAGCAGCAATGTACAAACAAAGCGTGAGTCTCGTGCCGTTATACATATTGGCGCCAAACGGAAATGATGAGGAGGCAGCAGTACAGCTACATTTAAAAACTTTACTTGATACATTCTATCTTTCTCTAAACGGATGCGTTAAAATAACACAGAACAATTATAGATAGAATCGTAGCCCAGAAGAAAATGGATATTCAAACATTATTTCCATTGGTTATATTAATAAATAGTGGCTGTTTATTAGGTCGCAAATACGATACAATTTATTACGTCAATTGAGTAAGTATTAAAATATTAGTCTTATTTTAATACAAGCTCTCTTACAAATCTTTTTTCCACATTTAAATTCGCTCCCATTTTTATGTTTAACCCAATATTACATAATTTGAAAAAATATGTATATATACACACATACATACTAGTTCAAAATAAGTTTTTTATATAGAAGATGGTAGAAGGCATACGCTGTTGCCAATCGAGTTTCCTGTGGTAAATACATAAGTAGTATTATCAACTGTGAAATTTCATTGAAATCGATTTGCACTCAACTAGTTTCACAACAGTTAACAGAAAATTAACTGGAGAAACTAGCTAATTAGATGTCGTCGTTTCTTTAACTTTGTTAAGACCTGGATCTTATTGTTAGTGAACAGTTGACATCCTTGTCTGTCCTGACTTTAGGACTAGTTACTGGCACATCTCCTCATTGGAGGAGTCAGCCATAAGGAAAGGAAGGAAGGGACATCCTTGTCTGCTATCAAACATGTGACCCTGAGACCCGCTCTGTACGAGACATGTGAATATGGTCGATATGGCAGTTGATCGTAGTTAACTCATATAGCGACATTGGTGAGACCGGGTCTAAATATCACGTGGCTTCCGCCGGCTATATTTCTTCATACAATTGAATATTTCTATAATATCAGATCGAGCCTGTTAATCGAATGGTTCGATAACCGAGATGGTTTAATCCGTATTGTATATATCAAATTCACGTAAGAATATATACTACGCATTATTTTCTTCACATTTTGATATTTGCTGCAGTTAATTTGGATGATATAAGTCTAAATTAATATGAAACCGTCATTTATAAATAAATGTTTGCAATATTTTATTTGACAATGTTCTGACAACTATTTTTGGTAAATTTCGTTATATTCATGTTTTTTAGTTACTGAATTTTCTGATTTAGTTTGGCTTAACTAAATTGTGATAGCATACCTGGTAACTGTTATCAATAGTTCCGTTTTGCGTTAGATTTATTTTGAAGTTTTTAAGTACAGTTCCGGGAAGGATGTGGTTGAACGTGGCTACTAAGCATTTACGCACAATTATTATTATACAAGAATTTGATTTGTGAAATTATACGGTACAGTTTAGTGACAATTGTTTTATGTGTTCAACATAATTTTTTGATAGAATTGGCTGTAAGAGTATTAATTGAAAATGTCACTTTGGATATCTGCTGTGTTGATGTTAAACTTCATCGTTTGGAATGTTATGGGACTTGAGGTATGATATTTTAGAGTATTTAATTACATCAAGTCTTTTAATTTCAATTATAATCCTTGTAATGTTTAACTAGAAACAATCTTACTGTGTGATTCGTGACCATGATCATGATGTCAAAATGAATTTTTCTATCATATCGAACATGACTGAAGATCATGTTATTCTAGATGAACATTCTGGAGAAAAGGTGAGAATGCATTTGTGTTCTCCGTTAAAAAATAAATGTAATGGGGCTGATGGTTACAATATTTGCCTCATAAAGAATAATGAAGAGAAAGGAATAGGTAATATCAGCTAACCAACATTTAGATAATGCATTAAAGCTATTGACCATAGCCATTATTACTAACAATTGAGATTTCTTCAATTTCAGGCAAAGGACCACCAACAGTATACAATGATAATGGTAAAATACAGTTCAAATTTACTGGTGATACTTGTAAAGACAATATTAGTTATACCGTTAACATATTTATGAAATGTGACTATTCTGCTACGCATAATTCAGTCCCAGAGATGTTTCCACATGTAAGTAATTTTATTTTGATCTTTGTAAGAAAAATAAATGCTAGTAGATATCATAAATATATAAATTTCAGCTTAAAGATGATTGTGAATTCTATATAATATGGAATACCAATGAGGCATGTCATAAACCTGAAATAAAACAAAATTGCATAGTAATTGATCAGTATAAACGTCAATATGACTTAAGTCCTTTGATGCGTTTGTCAGATAATTATGTATTTCCCATAGGAAATAATATGTCTGAAAAAGTTATAATGAATGTCTGTCATGCAGTCATTTATGGATATCAATCAGTTTGTTATCACGAATCTGGTGCATGTTTAGTAACAATAGATGAGAACAAAAAATATAAGTAAGTATAAAGAGCAGAGATAAAGAATTGTTTTACACGGACAAAACCTGATATGTTATTAATATAATTATTTTCGCACTATGTAGATACATAAATTTGGGAAATGTGAAAAAGGCACCATTCTTTGAAAATGGAACGTTAAAAATTAACTACAATTCAGGTGACGTATGTGAAGAGCGAGTTCAGTCTCCTGAAAAGTCAGCAACATTTACATTTGTCTGTGATCCAGAAGCAATTGCAAGTATCATTACTTGATTTGTATATTTCAATAAAAGTCTCTGTTCATGTTAGTTTCTTCAAATTTCAGAATACATTACCAAACTACCTAGGTGGTAAAGAAGAATGTAATTACAACTTCATATGGAAAACTAAAGCTGCGTGCGATAATGAAACACTTTTGAACCATAGCATTGCTAAAGCTGAACGTTGTACAGCAGTGAATCCAGTTACAAATTTTAAGTACGATCTGTTTCAGCAATGTACACAGCAATAGTGCATAAATGTACAATTGAATAAATACTAATCACAAATTGTAGATACAATTTGACGTCTCTAATGAATAAGGATTTTCGTGTCAATTCATCTAACAGTGAGGAATATATATTCAGGATATGTGGATCACCATCCTTATCAGGCAAAATATGTCCAGCCGAAAGTGGTATGGTTTTTCTCAATGCATAAAATATATCGAAATCACAAATGCTAATAACAATGTATTTTCAGGCATTTGTCTAACAAAGAATGGTACATCTGCGGGTACTGCTAACACTAATCTACAGTGGCGTAGGGAAGGTCCATACCTAAACTATACAGATGGTGCTCTCTGTGGGAATGGCCAACGTCGATATACGTTAATTATATTCTTATGTGGTGTTGAGGGATCATCTAATGCATCTCTGATCACGGAAGATGAACCATGTTCTTTAGTCATATACTGGAAGACGGATTTAGTTTGTGTAATTAATACAATTCCTCTATGAATACCATTTCTTATTCCTGATTATATAAAAAAGAGATAGTGCACATTAAACAGATCATTTTAATTTCTTTTAGATCAAATGTGCTACAAGTAACGGTGAAATTGACTTGACACCTTTGATACGACCATTGGATAATTACATTGTAAAAGCACAGGATACGGAGTTTTATATAAACATTTGTCGTCCTTTGGTATCTACTCAAGGTTTGAATTGTCCACATGGTAGTGCAATATGTCAAGCCCTTCGTAATGCACAGGGTCAGCTAACGAATGAGACAGTGGGTATATTAATTACAATGTTAATAATGACCCATTGCATCAGTATTCAAGACTAATATATGTCCATTTTACAATAGAACTTAGGTTTTCCGGAAGAGAGTCCTCAATTGAACGGAAATGCGACGCAGCATTATCCAGGTGGTTCTGAATGTCCGGAAAATCATGCTAAACAGATTTCTTCGAACTTTACATTCCTTTGTGACATTAACATTGTAATTGTAAGTATCTGATGGTTATTTACCGAATTGTATAAAGTTCGTGATTTTTTTTTTTATATATAGGGATCCCCAAAATACAAGGGTTATACCGATTGTGTTCATATGTTTGAATGGAAAACAAGCATTGTTTGTGGTTCAGTAGTGGGCGAGGTGATTCCACCTTGTACTATAAAAAGTCCGCTGCTTTCTCATGAATTCAATCTTACTAAATTATACGAGAATCGCGTCTACTACGTAAGTAGAATATTTAAAGTCGCTATATAACGGATACGCTTGATTCCCCTTTTTTTTTTTTTGTTATCTCACGTGCGTTTGAAACGCTTTCTTCTAGGTTAAAAGCAAACAGGAGAAACAAAAAGATTATAGTATAAGCATTTGTGGAGGAAATAAGTCCTGCAATGGTTCAGCAGTGTGTCAAGGACCAAATCGTTATGGATCATTGGAACATGTTATGTTTGACTATAGGAAAGATGTCATTCAATTATATTATTCTAATGGTACCAAGTGTAATAATAGTAAGTGTTTAACAACGTATTAATGGTTTACTTCTTCGAAGATAAAGCAATTACTATAATGATAGATTTGAAAATAATGTTCAGGTTCCTATACATCCGTGTTATTGCTGAAGTGTAACACAACTGCAGGGATCGGTGAGCCAACGTTGCATTTGGTAAGTGAATAATGTTATTGTTATCATGTAGAATAACTAAAAATTAATTAAAAGTACAGCTTATAATTGAAAAATAATGAAAGGATCAGGTAAGTATTTATAAAGCAACACAAATCATAGGAAAAAACCCATATATTTAGATTATAATCTGATTTTATAAAATTACATTTAATCATAATAGTAACTTAATAACTAATATGGCTGCAATAGCAATGCGATAATATGCATTTGATTGCATACAAGAAATAAAAGATCAGCTGTATCTGGTTTCATAAAATATTTGAAAATTCGTATCTATACTCGGTCTGGCAAACGAATTACATAAAAGAATTACAAAATGCGCTATAAGAAATTGGAGCCGCTATTGCATTGCAACCAATTCAGTCTTTATGGTAGCTATGTACAGTTTTGATATAGAAAGTTTTGGCGATGGCACCATGTCGTTTTTGAGCATCATGCCAATCTGCACGCGTATCCTTCGCGCGTGATTAACAAGCAATTAATGAATTTAACTTATTTCGTAAAACATTAATATAACGTCCAATCAACGTGCTCAGATTACTATTGAAATTAATTAAGACTAGTACTCTTCACGCATATATAGTTTGTACATTACTGAGATAGTGTCAACCTTAAAAAATTGCATCAAATCCAAATGGAAAAATATGCATGCATTTTTATACTAAAAATGGGAATGTTCGATATCAGAGACATAGATTTGTTCATACGAAAAAGAAAAGTAACAAGGATAGGCAGAACTTAAAACGAAAGTTGAAAATAATATGGGACTAAATTTTGACACGGTTCGAATGGGAAGTGACACTAACTCACAGTAAAAATCTCATTGATTAACTGTAAAATTATAATGAAAGTGATGCATGAATGAATCTAATATAATAAGCGCTGATATAATATTAAAAAAGAAATGGATATGTGTCTTTCGAGATGCCACTTGTTTTGAGTAAGCTCGTTGCCGTTACCAACTCCCCCAAGAGATTCGACTTGCGAGAAATAATCAGGCATAAGAACTATACGTAGGTCATAGTACCATTACTTCCACAATACGAAGGACTCTGGTTAAAAAAAAAAAACAGAAAAAGAAAAGAGTGTAAGAACAAGTAGAAAAAGGTACAGGTCAGACTTTTAGTATTAACATTCACTGCTCATCAGGAAACATACACTGAGACTCATGCATTCTGGGCTTTCATTCAAAAATCAAACGGTAGTGCATTGTATGTTATTTACCTTGGTTAAATTTTCGCTCAACTTGGAATCAATTATCAGTGCCGTATTAATGCTTCCATTTTTCATTGACGGTTCCTTTTGGAAGGAGTCGATCATTGGAGGCTTCTTGATGCTTCCATTCGAGACAAACGTCTTCATCGAATCAGCTGGGGGTGTCGTGATCGCTGGCGGAGTCTCCGGAGCACCTACTGGTCTGATTAATTCATTTTTATCACCGTTCAATAGAATCGTTGGTTGATGTTTTTCAAATATCTTCGTCCTCACTTTCTTCTTTGTCAGCTCTGGTGGATGTGGCAGAGCGTATCTTAATTTATCCCAGAACCAAGGATCGCCCCATTTCACATATGTATTCATACTCAGGTACGCCTTTAGTTCAGGATCCAGATTTTCAGTCGGTCCAATGTCTCCATAAAGAATGACTATTACTCTTGCCCTGCCATCATTCAGTGCTTGACTATGTGCTGCTCTAAATTCCATTCTCCCCCAGATACTCTCCAGGAAGTTTGGAGACAATATCACCAGGGTTCTTTTCGATTCTTCAACTGATCTTGCAATTTGCGTTGGTATCCATTCTCCAGCTAACCAATCCCTGAAGTGTATGCAGAGTTTGTATGGCGTTGGGCCTTGCTCGAGCTTGGTCACAAGTTCATTAACCACAAAGTCCTCATCCTTGTGGGAGTAGCTAATAAAAGCATCGTACAGTTTGTCCTTATCCAACTCGTCCTCAGTGACAAACCACAGACACAACTGATGTGCATACAGCCATACTTTAACTTCCTGCTGATATCTATAGTACAATGCTGCTAGTATTCCAATGACCAGGCCCATCAGCGCTACTGTTAGGCTAATACCAACTACCATTCCAGTAGCAACTGGACATAGAGTGTTGGTGGTCATTTTAAATATAGGTTTGTTTGTGCCAGCGCACGTGATGTTCCATCGCTCTGGAATCTCCTCAAATTTCGTCTGAACAAAGGTTAGGAAGTCACGAGCTTTGCAATTGCACTTCCATGGATTCCCGTGCAGCGTCAGTTTTGTCAATGAGGAGTTCGACATGAATTCCAATACCTCTTTGTCTATATACGTGAGATTGTTGTTGTGCAACTCTAATACCTTAAACAAGAAATTATGAGCTCGTTAGAGATTATTCAATTAAATACAATGTCCCTTGCTTGTTGTAAAACGAAATTTAATTATTTCTTTAATACTTACTTTCAGATCAGGTGATAGAGCTTCTAGCGATATACTGGATATATTGTTGTAAGATGAGAGCAAGGTGGTAACCTGCTTGTAACCAGGATTATGAAAAGATGGCATCTCCGTCAAGTAATTCCCTGTTAGATTCAATTCTACATGATGATTGGCGAAGCCCTCTATGCTTCCTGGCGCATCTCTCAGCTGTCTGTAGGAACAATTCACCAGGAAGGCTGTGTCGTGTGGTCTTACCCAGCATTCACATTTCTCAGGACACTTTCCAGCCACATCTGGCCCTTCTACTAAGCATTTCAGTGATTTGGAATTCAGGTTTGACACAGGTATATCTTCTAACCAGGATGGACCCTTGCATTTTAAATCTCCTGGTACTATGTAAAATAGATTTTGTACATTTGGGTGCATTTCTCCTTCCAAATATCGCAGCAGGTCGTAGAGTACGCAGTCACACAGTACTGGATTCTTGTCTAGTAGTATCTTAACGTTACGCGCTGTGTTCTGATTAATGGCCAGGAGTTCACTGTTTGCCAGAAAGACGTGACTGATGTTGTTGTAAGTCAGATCGACTTCAATATTTCTGGACGTGAATTGTAGGTCGCTGGTCTGTTGCAAAAGAAAATGAAATCCTCGTGAATTTTTGAGTTTCAAAAAAGTACAGTCTGCTGCACTGCGAGCATTAAAAAAAGGAAGAAAAAAATTTCCAAGACACTTCTTAGCTGAGTCTCTTTCCTTTTGTAAGAGAACTCGCCAATGGCCTGATCTTATTGTTATTTATTAAGAATCTCCTTAAGAATTAAGGATTCTGTCGTCTTGACCTAACGCTTAAACGCATAGAAGACTTACCTCTATAGAAGGCAGTTGGTTGTGCTTTAGATCCAGCAAACGAAGATTCGGACTACTTATTACCCAATCGCCGTACATTTCCGATATATTATTGTACGCTAAATATAATTCCTTTAGCGAATGGCAATAATGGAATGGCGATCTGGAACCGTATTCATCCTCGTACATGAGGAACGACGATTTGAGGGTAAGCTGGTTGTTAGAGAATCTTGCTATGTTTAAATTTCTCAAGGAATTGAATGCTTGCTCGTGTATAGTCATCAGATTATTCTCCTGTACGTTTAATATTTCCAGTGACGTAAGACCAGAGAACAGAGTCCTGAAACATCACAAAGGACCAATGTACTATGTAAATGTATGCGGAATCGTAGATCAGCCAGGGAACTTTTGAGGTTAGCTCAAAAATGTAATGTACCTTAAGAAAAAAGTTAAAACTCACTCTGATATTGCAGTTAGATGATTCTTAGATAAGTCCAGATTATACAATTTGGTTGTCGAAGCGAACAGTCCGTCCGGTAACGTCGTGAGCTCGTTGAAGCTAAGATTTAGCGTGCCGAGTTCCTTCAGATCCTTGAATATCCTTTCCGGAAGACTGGTCAGAAAGTTTCTTTCTATGCTTAGATTCGTCATGCTGCTCGCGCCCCAGAAAATGTCTTCCGGCAAATGGTCCAAACGGTTCCTTGTCAACTTGACTTCTTTAAGCCGCGTCAAGCCGCTGAAAAATCTTTTTGGCAAAGTCGTCAAGTTCTGTCGATTGTCGAATAAATCGAATTTCCGAAGATTGAAATTGTTGCTCAATAATCCCTCGGGAAAGGACGAAAAATTATTCCTATATAGATTCAGGACCGTCAGATTTCCAAGCTGCGAGAATATACCGAGTGGCAAGGTCGTCAATTCATTTGAATGAATATCGAGAGACTCGAGCGAGATCAATTTCTCGAACGTGTCCGGCTTAAGCTCCGTCAACTTGTTTTTCCATAAATTCAACAATTTCAATTTCGTCAGATTTCGAAAAACCGCAGGATCGATCACTTCGATCATATTGTTTCCCAATTCGAGTAACTCGAGTTTCGGCACACTTTCGAAGATTCCCGCGGGCAGCTGAACATTGTTCTCTCGAAGATCGAGCCACTTGAGCTCAGGAAAGTCATTGAAGAAATCCGAACTCAGTCTCGTCAGACTGTTGCTGGATAGAACCAATTTCGTGACATTAGGAAATCCCTTAAGATGGTCCCGTTTGAAGGTTGCACTTAGGTTGACATAAGATTGAAAAATGAGACTCTTGATCTTGCTAACGCCCAATTTCCCAGCAACCTCACTCAAGGTGCTGTTGGGTAAGTTACACATTTTGAATTGCATAGAGTCCACTTCGGTGATTGTGTCCGCCGAGGCTATACGAGGGAAATCCGACCAGCTTGGTGAATTCAGACACTGAACCTGCACATATTGATTGGGTTGGAGGTTTATGATGAAGGCGGAATTATTGAGCATAGGACAGTTAATCTCATAGTCTCCATAGTGGCTGGTTTGACAGCTGCAGCTTTTGCTATCCGGACATTGGAAAGCACGGGACGTTACTGCCAGAGTCAAGATGACGAAGTACCGCCAAAGACTGTCCATCGTGTGAACCAACGTTCCCCTGGAAGGGTCGCCAACCTCAGCGCACTGAAACGAGAAAAACATCATTTCCTCCGTTAAATTTTCAAAATTCGGTCACGTGGGTGGATCCCGCTGCCGGATCGTATACGTCGGGACTTCCGGTTTAAAAAGCTGAGAGTCAGAGATTCAAAGATAAATAACTTCAGGGATATTATATTTTTCGAGCGTTAACGGCTACGATTAAATGGCCGTTCAATGCCCGAGAGTAAGAAGAAATTCGAAATTCCGTCGGTAGGTCTTGCAATGAAATCCAATAAAAATTCAAAGGACTACCACAGCGATCAGAAATTCTTTTTCTCACGTTTCATTTATACCTTTTACGTTCGTACGTCCATCTACCTGTGTCTTGTACACAGGTATACATATATGCAATAGCTTACGATTATTAACGGTGTGAATTGACCTTTATTTATATTTTCTATCCGACGTACGAGATAAATCGTTAAAATTGAATTTTAACAAAATTCATAAAACTAATGAACTTCCGATTGCAAAAGCATCACTGAGATAATAGACGTTCGCCCGGAAAGTTTATCCGCGGCACTCGTAAAGATCCTCGACGTTTTATAAACATTCACGTAGTTCGGTGGACGTAAGAAAAAGATAAACTTTCCAAGAAGCCGAGCACGTCCAATGAAATTATAGCCGGCGGACGATGATAGTCGACGAAAGCAAACTATGAAAATCATATTGACTAGAGGCGCAAATCGATTCCTTGAAATTCGTAAAATCCAGTTTACCTTCGCTTATAAGCGAACTAGGCAAAACTCGTCCTCGTGATATGATCGATTCGCCCCTAACGAACAGACGCCGAGATCGTGTCTCGTTTAAATAATTTCGATTGAATATTTCGTACGGTAACCGATAGTCAACAATGACACGTAATAACAGGTGGAGGAGAAAAAATGATATTCGCAAAGAGCTCCTTTGGTAGATTTTCCAAAGAAAAATATTCCAAAGGTTAACACCGTCCGCTGAATCTGTTTAAAGACCGCTTGCTGTTTTTACGTTTCATTTTTTGCCTCGCAAGATTCACCGACCCGCGTAACACAGCAGTCGTTAATCAATTCTTCGCTTTCTCGCTACGTGCGCCATATGTGAATCTTTGTTTGGTAGGAGAACAAAAAATTCACAATGCTTTTTGCTACTAGAAATTATAAATTCTCCATGATAATTATCGCCCACCTTGAGCACGTATCTTCGACTAGTCCTTACATCTCCCGTTCAACATTGAGGAAGATCCGGTTTGACGACCTCCAGTTCATTCGTACAGGCAAGTTAAGGATCTTGCGCGTGCGAAACGATATCGCAAATTCAGAGTCCGCTGGACGTTTAATTTTAAAATTAAAACCGTACCGATCTACCTCCGCCATAGAACTGGGCTTTGGTAACACATTTACGAGCTTTCCGGTTTCTTTCGATTCCTCAGCAGATTGACCGTTCGTGCGTCGAGTTAGAATTTTCAGTCGCACAAACGAAAAGTCATTGGCGTGACGAATTTCAAGCGCGGTACAATCCAATTGGGATTTTACTTTTTGCATCGGCTCTGTACTCCATTATGTTTCGCTATTGGAATATTGAGCGATTGTCAAATATACTATATAAAAGAATAGTGTATATGCATATAAGTGATAAAAAGAAGCGATGACGCAATACCTTGGTCCCTCTTCGCGAACGACTCGGGATAAATAAATGATTCAATATCTCCATGCACGTGCAAACTGAATCTTACGAGCACGAAAGTTTCTCACGAGGAGTTCGATATCGTGAGAAATTGGAGATACTTGTTTTTAAAATCCCATTGCATCGCGATGCTCGTGTTGACGAAACTTCTCGAAACGCCATTGTGCAGTCGGACAAAAACGTTAATAAGATTTATTGGTAATATTAATTTTTTCTAACATCTCTTTTTCTCTCCCTTTCCTCGTTTCTCAAAGCTGTTTTTATAATCTCGCGCGAAACTCTACAATTCATAACCAATTCCACGCACTAAGGTCATACGAGTTATAAGGGGCACGTGTGACATTTAGTATGCGGTATGATCTCCGCTTTGTAAATTCTATGTAATTAACGTGCTTAGAAAATTAGAGCCAAGTCGAAATATCTCTCAGTGGTAAAAGTCTGTGTGTCTAGCAAGAAGTATAAACCAAATCCTACAAATTTCGAAAGGTTACCAAAGGCGTAGCTCAAGAAACTCTCCTCTCTGTAACCGTTACTTCTTGTTTCGGTTCGTGAGTCTCGCTCTGGAATCTGTAACTTCAATTTTTTCCCCCTTTCTTTTTTTCTCTCGATTTTCCTTCTTCGATACCAAATACTGCGAAGCCGCAATTAAGCTAAAGTCCCTTTTTGCAGATTTTCCGAGTCAGCACGAAGTACCAAATACTGTTATAAACTTGTCCCATAGTTTTGTCATGCAAAAAGTTCTATGTCTTTCAAAGAGGCTGCACATCCGGTACCAGTTGCAGTATGGACCAGGGCATAGATGAACAGCGTGAGAGAGAGACGAAAGATTTCGTGAGACCCCTCGTGGTCGGTCCAACAGAGTTTCGTGCTTAACATCGAGACTCTGAACTCCTGACTTCGTGGCATTTCAATGGGGGGAGTTACGAAAATAAAGGGAGGGAGATACAAGACGGCTTGAATTAATTATTTAATAACTTTTTTTTCCAAGGCGACGAATCCCGCCTTTCCACTTATTGATCTGCTCTCTTATCCTTTCCCCGAGATGAAAGTGGCTCGGGCCGCGGACCGCTATTCTGTTCCTGTATCGTAAATTAACTACAACGCTTCGGTTCACCGGAATCCTTTTGTCCGTTTTGTTTTAGCACAATAAACTCTTTCCACGCTTCTGATCGTAGACCGGGTCTCGCGAATATAATAGGCACTTTTTCTTCCTGCAAATACGTGCAGCCACGGAGCTGGACGATCATTGCCAATAGGATTCACTTACGCACGGCTTAATTTGGGTCCGATTTTAAAATAACGTTTTCCGCTTCTTTCACAATTACGATTCTAGGTCGTCGACACCTTGGAGTTTCGTTTCCAATCGTACTGACAATATGGTCATACCATTTCACGGTATCAATCCTAGAAATACCCAGGGTACGGTTGACGATTCTCATTATGGAAGAATTCGTGTCTCTGCCATAGGCACAACGGGCGCGTGCAGCGACGCTCAAACCGCTCGTTATTTCGGTATTGGGAGCTAACGCCTTTTTAACCGAACTAATTTCCTCGAAGAAACACGGAGAACGAGATAGTAGTATATTTTTAGCCTTTAGCTACCAACGTGTTCTCTTAACGGCAGACGACGCTCAAGAACGACTATCTATGTACAATAGTACATACACCTGATCGGTGAATGCGTCAGAAATTGAAGCCCGCTTGTCAAACGTGATTCAAGCAGACATTGGAATTATCAATCGTTACTTGGGAGAGTCTCTTATATGTATAAAAGACTTTCAATACGTTACAATGTGAAAACGATATTCAGATATTTTTTCGTCGTGAATTTACATCGGGATTTTTCTACGCTGGAGGAAAAAAAAAAAGAAGGCAATAATCGGATCACGGCAATTTTTTTTTACTTTCAATTTCTTCTAAATCAACGCAATCTTCGGCACGTGGAGCAATCGGAAAGCCGCCTCCCTAGCGTCTATCAGTTGATACGATATTTTAATGTTTTCACGATATCCCAATCTCAAGTCGAATGGCACGAATTTTAGCAAACATATTGAGGCTTGGTGAAACAAGGTTGCTGATTATTCTACGATCCACCTTAAAGACTGATTCGTCCGCTTCCTTCTGATAATATGGGTTTCCGTTATTAGTTTTATAAATTTATCATAATGTACATTCGTTACTTTGACTAGTTTTTTAATCCTGTCTAGCAACGTCGTCGTACGCTGAAAAATAGCTTGAATTATAAAATTTCACCATTTCTCCCCCCCTCACTCCGTGTCACTACCACCAAACGGGTTTTCGACACTAATTGACAGCCCGTACACGCAACGACTCATTTTTATTCATAAACAATCTAACTCTACGGCTATTTTTTGTTGTATTATTACCATACACGTCACTGCTACATACACATACTATACAGCAGTATATATTTGCGCAAACAAATGTACAATGGTCCAATCTCGCAGCATATTTCCTATTCAGGTTAAAAAAACTGAGTGATAACTTCAGAGCGGACTGCCAACTAATTACTATACATTTCCCACTATAGTCCGACACTGTTAGTGTGTATAATAAAAACTAGTAAAATAGTAGTGACTGTACTAGGGATTGATTACGTTGAAAAAAAAATTAACTGACCCAGAGTCACCTTGGAGTCGTTTCCTGACCTCGCAACACGTAAACGCTCCCGCATTATTATTATTATTGAGCGTTGAAGAATACTACCGTGAAAATATATCTGAATGTTAAAATCACGTAGATTTAGAAATCGAAGAGTTGTCTACCGTTAAATCTGGATAGCTCGTCCAGCCAAATGCACGTACGTCACGTATAAATGGAAGAGCTGTGAAAATGTCGAAGAGGTAAATCCCCCAAGTTAACCCACTGTCTATTAAGGATTCCCGTCCCTGATACAATAAGTCTACTGAACATCTTTCGTAGAGTCCTAACAGCCAAGAAAACCGTTTAGGCGATGCTATAGCATAAGTATACTGGAATGAATAAAAAAAAGTCTTTCGAACAGTTAAATTCTATTCGATCAGACAGTCGTGCATTGTATACTATTAGTGGTGTTATTACTCTCGTCATTATAAGATGCGGACTTCGATTCGATTAATTCGAGGTGAAACGAGCGCCGGGAGGAAGTCTTTGTTATCGCAGCCGAAAAGTTCACTGCGGAGAGCTGCTACTCTTTCGGAGTTCCATTCTCCAGTGATATATAGCCAGAATCTACTTTAGTACGTAGTAGCTATACGTAAGATGTATTGCGAGGCTTGTGCGTGTTTGAGGAAAAATCCTAATGGCGTCCTAGAGTGGAACGATTTCTCAAAAACGAGTATAGTAGGAGAGAGGAGTTTGTGCATCCATTCTCTTTCTCAGTCTCGTACGTCCGCGTACCTTTGTCTCTTACTGTCTCTGTACATAGTAACTTTATACCTATATCTATACATGTCTCTAGCGCAACTACGAGGCTTGGCAAACTGTTCGAAGTCGCGCTAAGTTCCGGAATAGATGTGCCAAGATGGTTACCGCGCTCATTAAACATTGCAGTCATCTTCGGCGAGAAGTCCATGCAACTGCGGATTGGATCTTATGTAAGAATTTCAGATTGAAACGTGATTATACGTAAATTGTATTAATCGGGTGAGAAGTGAGGTTATCGGTAGGCGATTTAAGTATGTATACCAGACGAAGTGGATATAGCAACAGTAAAAAAAAAGTCCACTTTAACCTTTCAAAACGGAAGGTCGATGGAAGTGAGTGCTCTTGATATTTACGACGAGCACTGCTGTGTGCTTCTGTGGGGCCTATTGTTTCACGACAGTGCACGAGGAGTGTCTGTCATTGCCGTCCTTTATTGGCCTGCATTTTGACTGCTTAGTATGCATCGAAGGATTTACAGGTAACTTCAATAACTTGCGCCATGAGCAACGGAGATACGCAATCGAACATCGTACATAATTATTATTGTAATTTAGAATAAAGCAGTGATTTTCTTTAATTTTAATATTAGCTTCTCTAGAATTCCTGTTCATAGCTAATTGGACTACTTGGTCGAAGGGCTTTTCAGACTGAGATTAAATCAAAGTACAGAAAATTCGTAATCCATATTAGAATTAGTATTTACGGTATTTTAAGGCCGCACGGAATACTCGTGAGTAGTCGGTATTTCCGCGTAGCTTCGTTCGCACGACCGAAGGAATTTCTTGACTTTCGAGTACGCTATCTCTTATTCCTGTCCAAACGTGCACAACAAGACGAAATGCCGTGATTATTAGCGAGTGAAGAACAGCGTGGCTTTATTAAATACACAATATTGTAAGTCATCGCAAGAATCGGTTAGTACGTACGACATACAAGATGCGGGTTCGGTAGAAAATTTCTATGGCGTGTCCGTTAACAAGTATGACGTCAGACGCCTCGAGGATGTTGCAAAAAAAAGATTGGCGCGTTTCATCGTTCCACGTACAAGCGTCATGATAACCTTCGCGTAGTTCCAGTCGGTCTATGTATGTTTATTAGCGCGCAAAGTAAACTTACCGAATGCGTCGTATGTCTTATTCATTCGTCTGTCAAATTCCTTGGATATTCAATTCACCCACTGCTCTTGACGCGCTCTTGTCACGCACGAGTCACTTCTATGGATGTTACGGGCTTATGGGTAACATTTATGCTACGCGTACAATATAAACAGAGTCGAAGAATTATTGTCGTCCGAGATTTACGAGAGCAGTGCTCGCTGGCACGGCCTGACACGAACTGCTGGTAGTTCCGTTTCTCTCCGGGACGTCAACTCGCCGGAGAGTGGAGGGAAAGGAGCCACATGTACCGCTAGGAATATAAGCCAGGGGGAAGTTATGGGTTTTTCAAAAAATACTAAGGGTCAATTGGTGGGCAGTATATACCAGTGCAATAAATACCGGAAACCTAATGGATATAATAAATGTTGCTATCTGGTACTCGGGCTCCTAACGAGGATATAAAACTAGCACAAGGATCAAGAAGAAGTTTTAACGAACAATGAAGGGAATCGTGTATATTGGAAGAGCAGTCTTGCCAATCTTAAATTTGCAAGCATGTTCACAGCAAACTGCTCAGTTGGTAAAATCGTTTAATGCGACCAGATACGTAGAGAGAATATATAATGGCAATTAGACTTGTACACATTCCCTTTGGATTTTCTGTAAACTCGTTGGCCTTGGCTCGAAAGATTTTTCCCGTCTGAACGCGTGGCGTTATGGATGGACGTTTAATACTATCGATACACGACGCCTATGACATTGGATCGAACGATGTCTCTGACGATCCGTAGACATTGCTAACTTAATGTATTACTTATTCAAGTAGTTTTTGCCACGGAGTATTGTTTCTCCGTAAAATGTAAGAAATCGAGACGTGGTTTTAGTCGATAACAGTTTCTACGTTCTCTGCGGTCTTATCATCAAGACTGTCCTGGTGTTCGGATGGATATATTGTATATATATATCATACCTACATACATATAAACATGATTCATAATTTGGCGGAAACTTCTCTTGTCCATTTCGAATTGAAATCGTCGAGTGGAATTTCGCGTGGATACCGACAGGCCGAGTAGCATCTATAAACGAAAGGCTTTAGATATTCTTTTACGTGGGTAAATATCGAGTATACAGCACGTGCTGCTAACCAGCCAGGACGGCGAGCGTGCATGTGGAAATATACAAGACAGATGCGATGTGCACGAATCGTCGACGACTCGTGGATATGTGCATACAGAAATTTTTTTCCGGATGAGTTATCATCCGGATATGGACGCTCGATGACCGGACTACGTATTTTGAGCTTTTTGGATATAAATTTATTATCCTACGTAGACCAACCGCAGACGGTCGGATTATAAAAAAATTAATTGACCTTTCCTAATGGGAAATTACTGTTTTCGTCATCTGCTTACGCATATGATTCATAATTGACCATTCTCCATTTCTCATGCTATGCAACTAATGGCGTCGCTTTGAATCCTCGTGTTCCGTCTTATCCTGAAATCGTCGATACTTCGTAGATAAGCGTCACTAGAGTCTCCGAGCGATTGTGAATATTTTTGAAAGATGGAAAAAGCTATTCTTAACCATAGGATTGTGGGTAGTCATTCTTGAAACGCGTATACGATGGATCCTACCGAGTGCAGGTATATTGTATCTGTGTAAAAATCTCTTCTTCCGCCGGAAGTAAGTCGTTAGGAAGAATGGAAAAATGCCTATTAAGAACTACCGTTAACTTTACTACGAATTGGAGGCGGAAGCTCAATCGTTTTTCTGTCCAATGACGATCGTGCGAATTATCGAATGGAGTATTGGATCTATCGACTGGTTTACCAGCGTGTGATCTCTGCCGTGTAAAGTAGCTAATCGATATATCGAATCGAGTTCGATTTCCTTAGCGATCGTTTGAACGTTAATAATTGAGGTAATTAAAATTGAAATACCAATGGTCTTCAATAGCGATCCCCTCTTGCCAGACGGGTTTTGTGTCTACGTCACCAGTGCATAAGGCCAGCCTGAACTCTGCGCCTTTGAGCAGCGCGCTGCATAAACGTCAAACAAATAAATAGCCAGAATAATGCAGAAGGCAAGGAGCGTGGGATCCCGAAGGACCAGGCTCCCGGGATTTCGTTTCCTGCCAGACGCTACTGGTGCCCGGAGAAACCTCTGAAGAATCTTCAAGACTTTCCACCCGGCCGTACGACGCACATCTTACCACCTTGTACCACCTCTTACTGGTTCTGCACCCTCCGGCCCTGTTTTCCTTTCATGTGCATGCCACAGCCACAAAGCCACTTCAGAGCCCCGAAGACCACTCCAGGGCTTTCTTCAATTTTTCTCAACGACCGTGGCTCCCCTTTATCGTGACACTTTACATGAGAGCTTGAGCGTCTTTCACTGGGAAAATACTGACAATCGTATCGGGATAAATTCCTTTTTGCTAATCGTTCAATTTATCTTTGACAACAGACGCCCCTTCGCCTATTCACGAACCGGCTGGATCTACTCGTTCGTGAATGGTATCAAAGGGACTTGCCTCTTTCACTCTTTTTCTCTTTTCGATTTATCAATTCGTTGACGTAGATATACTGGCTGGTATGTTCGCTGTAAATGCGTGCGATTTTTCTATAACTTTTTTCCTCCACAAATTTAGCTGTGAAATATCGAAGCAGCGATAGTGCAGAGCGTGCGACTGAAGGTGCACGTGGTAGCTCTCGATACGATACCGTATCGAACTATGGACAATACATGAATGCTTCTACGTGTATTTAGATTTGGACGGTATCCTATATCCGTTCGTGATATCGTTGTTTGGGCGTCATGCGAGCGGAGGGATTTCGATTCGTACGTTTCAAATGGTTTGACGCCGTATTTAAAATCCTTGTGGTTTATGCGCTTGGAATTTCGCCTTTTTACAAACAGATATTAATCTTCGTGACGAAGTTTCTGCTAGATGTGAATAAAAGAGAAAAAGGACAGTCGATGGCGAAAGCGTTTGGCGTAATAAGGCCGTAAAGTCAAATCCTCTTTTCTGCTGGAAGCTTCTAGAAGGTTCTGTCGAGCCACGTGGTGACCCGATGGTTTAATGTGTTTCCTCGTAGTCTTGCCGTCTGGCAGTGGTTTCCTTTTACCTCTGACCCTTACGTGCCCGGACTCTCTTCCGCTGCTTCTTTTATTATGGAAAATTCCCATCCCTTCTGTCACATCGCGTGGGGGGCTGGCAGACTTGTGCCTGTGGAAAAAAGGTGGAATGGACAAAAAAAGGAACGGGTGTCGTGAAACAGACGCATTGAGAAATGCATGGATCTAATGCAGGCAGGCAGGCAGACAGCATGATTTCCGTTTCCGGTGACGAGGTCAGGGAAAACTTCCTCCTGGTAAAGGGATGCAGCTCGTTCGGAGATACTTTTTACGGGGGCCGTTTGGTCTGCAGGAGACGGCCGTGTATTTGACTTGGTATGCGATTCGTGTTATACATACCTATCGGTTCTTCGTGATATGCTGATTACGCGATAAGATTTTCCCACTTAGTTTTTTCCTGAAACGATTTCTCGAAATAACGTTCTTCGGCTTATTCCAAATGCACTTTGAAAAAGTGTGAGTCATTCTTAACCTATTAGGTTAATTCCTTGTGTGCAGGTTGACTTTTTTTTTAATTTTGGGTTTCTCCTTATATATTCACGAACGCGATTGGGTCGTATCCACATGGCTACATGTGATTTGACTCATCTATCCTTTACCAATTTTTTCGTGTTACGCGTCTTAGCCGTTTGCATTTACAATTTCATGGAATTCAATTTTTTCACAGAATTATTCTCTGCATGTGGTTTATTTATGAGTTTATCTATATTTTTTTAAATCAGTATCTACGCCAATATTTTTACACGTGTCTTATGCGTATATGCGGCGGTGCGTGTTCTTGGATTTTTTTTAGATTCTAATTTCGTGAATTTACGGAAAATTCGGTGCGGGCAGACTATACAGTGAAGAAATAGGTAAGATGTTACTGTCTGATGTTTTGCATGTGAAAATTTACTTCATGAGCCTTTTACTTGTTATGTCAAATGTACAAACTGGTTTTCGCTTCTCTTATTTCCATTCGAACGTCAAGCGGCTTCGTTAATCGAGGGGATTTCCAGGAATTTTATGTAACTTTGAGAAATTTTCAATATTATACTGAACTCACTCTAAATATAGTTATAGGTATACCAAGTGTGTTTCTGAATCAGGGATCATTTATTATCATGTAAAAATACCATTAGAATACACAGAGCCGTCTTAAAACCTTACTAGGAATTTATTAACGAACTGACGCCTTGAGCTCCATGACCCTGAACTCGTCTCGTGAATCGAAAATATAAATAATTGGGAACTCCATCATCTTCGTGATTTTGTACTTTCCCCTCAATCATTTACATAAACCTGACTATGCCTTGTCAGTATTATACCTGAAGATCCTTGACTGATTTTACAGCAAATTATCTTCTTGCGAAGAATATACAAATAATGTAATTTTAATGATGAGTGGCAGCAGCGTCGCGCGTAACGAATACCTGTTGTGATGAAAATTTGTATTTTAATTATCCACCTACCGTACAAGAGAAACAGAAATAATTGTGCAGTACAAATTGCAAGGTTATCATAATTAATTTCGTAATTATTGATTTCTCATCATAAATACAAATAATACCACGATCCGTATTATATTCTGGGTGCAACTGTTTAATTCAACAGCGGCCATTGTCGTGACTCGAATCACGTAATATCACGAGGTTATGTTGGTTATGCTGTTTTTCGATTAAAAAAAAAACCAATAATTTCCCTACTTCAATCCATTCAGTGAAACTTATAAACTTTAATAATGCATTGCTGTTTCCAACTGGCTTTTTCTCTATGTCGACTCTTACAATTAACAGTAGTGCACTTTGGGAAATATATGAACCTCCAGTAAGTCGAATCGAGGCTCGCTTGGAGGTCGGAGAGGAATAAAAATAATTTGCGAAAGCCAATCTATTACGTTCTTTATTTCATGCCCAATGCGAATACCAGCTGCAAATGTATTGAGCATATTAACGGTATCATTGATTCTTATTGTTGAGATATATTTTTCGTTGAAAAAAAAACCAATAATTTCCCTACTTCAATCCATTCAGTGAAACTTATAAACTTTAATAATGCATTGCTGTTTCCAACTGGCTTTTTCTCTATGTCGTCTCTTACAATTAACAGTAGTGCACTTTGGGAAATATATGAACCTCCAGTAAGTCGAATCGAGGCTCGCTTGGAGGTCGGAGAGGAATAAAAATAATTTGCGAAAGCCAATCTATTACGTTCTTTATTTCATGCCCAATGCGAATACCAGCTGCAAATGTATTGAGCATATTAACGGTATCATTGATTCTTATTGTTGAGATATATTTTTCGTTGAAAAAAAAAATCAAAAATTTATTTTCCTATTAGAAATTTAAAACTGTTATTTCTAGTTAAATTTGTTCCGAGGGATATTGCGTTGTGGGTATACGTTAAAAAATTTATTTACATGAAAAAATTTTGAATACACAATGGACATTCTTCAATATTGTCTTTAGTTGTATTTCTAATGATACGAAGCATAAATCCAAGATAGTTATTTATTGCTCCTCCACCCGGGACGTAACAGAGAATCAGACGTATTTTCCCTGTATTTATTGATATATTGTTATAACGGGGATTTACCTGAGCAGTAAATATATTTTTAATGTACTGTCGAGGATTATCGAAATCCCTAAAGCTGGATTACCTGGACGCTATATGGAATTCAATGTTAACCAGGATGGCCTGGCGACCGTTACTACGGGAAATATAAGAAAGACGCCAGACGTCCCGATGCCCCCCTTTTCCAGATGCCCTAATTACTTATGCTCCAGATCTGTTATCTGTCTTTTTGCTTTAGTCCAACAGTACACACTCCAGAAACATGGTATATCTCTTAACTATTTCATGCCAGACACAGTCTCAAAGACTGTCTTACTTATTTCAGTATTAATTACTGGAATTGATCTAAAAAATATTTTCACAGAAAAAAAACTGAAGTACAAAATAAATAAAAAAAACCTCTTAATCCTCATCTAGTATCGTCATAAGTTTTTTTTTTATCAAAATTTTTACTTCTTTATTACAGGATACCGAATGCAGCGCGCAATTCGAAATGCAAACCAATGTTACCTGCATGCGGCAAAATAATCACGAAACTCCTGTAAAAGAGACAACGAATATCAAGGACTCTGAAGATTCCAAGGAACATACCAGCACATACGGTGAGCCGGGCTTACACGTGTCTTTAGCTGTAAAATAATCATCAAACGTCTTTGTATGCGTTCAAATATTGTATGGTAGTAAAAGTACGCTCTTGAAATTTCGATATATTCATGAGCGCCATGAAAATGAAGAGTCAAAACGAATCGGAAAAAAAAAAGTAACAGTAAGGAACGTAAAGGCAACAGCAGTGTGTATTCTCATCTGGAATCTGATATTCCCTTGTACTCTCATTGGTAATCGCTGCACGTATAAAGGTCGGATCAAATGAATTTATTGTATGCAGAATCGCAGCTTTTACGACACTCGTATTCTGTGCTTTATCCGTTTTACCAGAAATCGTAGGCTACTTTTGCCTTAAAAATTTCATTGTGTGTATAGAATATATATGTATATTATAAACTGTGTTTTTTTTTTATTTTCAGCTAGCATCACGGTATCTGTTGTCTCAGTTGTTCTAGTCGTGGGGGCAGTTTTAATGTACGTAAGAAGTCGAATAAAAAAGAGGAGTTTACATGGCTGCCTACATTATTGTTCTTCGGGAAAAGGCAATGGCCGAGTTCAGTATTATAGGGTACGTGCTGAATCTTCAGAAACCAAGTAACATGCTTTGTTCGCAATTTTATTTTCATTCATTCAATGTGCTGGTAGCTTATGTGCCACGTGCGTGACAAGTGTGACGAGGAGAAGAAAGTAAGAAGAAAAGAAAAAAAAAAAGATTTATACGATGGATGCGAAAATAATGTATTTTATTAATGCGTTTTGTACATTGTGCGCTAATTTATTTGTATAATTGGCTTTTTTCGGCATCTTTTGTTTGTCATGCTTGTTACTGTCAAGTTCATCCAGAGATCATGTACTGCGATTATTGGACTTTGTTCGCCCCCTTGTGATATTTGACAAGCGTTTAAATTAACTTTTGTTTTCAGGATTTGGAAGCCTGATTGGTATTATATCGTGTAGTATTGTTATGGGTTCGGATGATCAACTAGAAATGACTTTTACTCGTGCTTCTTCAATCAGTACAACTAATATGCCACTGAGATTTAATTTTCTTAGAATAGGATTTCTACTTATAGATATTTTTAAGTTTTTTTTTTTTTCTTTTTTCTCAAACTCATCCAAGGGTTATGCATTCGGTGTTCCTATGTCAGAGTTATAATGATGAATATATGAAAGTTACTGTTATCAAAGCAGAATTTAATATTAAGGATTGCAGTTAGTTACTTAGAAGATACAAAATACAATGTTGGTAATGGTCAACAAATTTAGTTTAATTTTGTATGCTACTAGCTTAAACTACCCTGAGCAATAGGTGGGAGTTAACCGTTTGAAGCATGGGTGGTACTCAGAAGTACCACCTGGCAGTCTTATAAAGAAACATAATAATTTATTTCCGATTCAAGTGAAAGTTGGTACCTGGTCGTCCCGCGAGCGCCACGTTACAAAATTTTTAAATCCAAATTGGCGAATCCAAAATGACTACGTGAATTGAGTTCAGATTCGTAATCAGCAACCTCAAAAACTCCTGAACACGAATTTTCATTAGCCTACTCTTTATCAGTCCGTCATTTTGAACCTTTGAATATTAAATTCAAATTCCTAATCAGCGACTCCAGAAATTTCGGAATATCAAATTTCAAGTAAATCTTATGCAAAAAAATGTATGCGTCAAAAGCTCAAGAGATAACATATACTCCATCTTCTGGTCAGGCAGCTTAGCTATTGCTATATCAATTCTCAAGTCGATCGGTCGAATCGTCTTAGGGTAATTGAGCAACGAACAAAGGCCCTTTTCCAAATATTACTAATGATAGCGATGAAGTAAGGATAGGGATAGATATTTCTAACTCCTAGGTATCGGTATCAGAAGAAATCAATTCGAATAGTTGTATGATATTAAGACCCAGTGAACCAATTTTGACTTAATAAACCCTAATCACAAATAACGTGTGTTCATTAAAACCTTGTCTGCAAGCGAATACGTATCTCGTTACCACGTTTATATGTTTTTATCACAGTTTTGCTTGTTGCTTGAATCACTTATCAATACTATTCTACAATTGCAATTCTAATAATGCAATTGCGGAATTTCAGGTCAACACTACGGAAGAGGCTCGCTTATTATTGGACAGTACCGAAACTACGCATTGTCAGACTGATAGCGATGACGAGCTGTTGGGTCTATAGTCACGTGATGGTCCATACAATTAATTTACTATACGTATACTATACCGAACTATACTATACATTAACATACCATACTGTACGATGAGATGACGTATTACAGTGAAGTCGGGTGCGGCATTGTTAAGTTGCTAAACGTAACGTGAGATAGATTAATTACAGGGATCAATGAAAAAGAAGGACAAACCCAACAATGTGACTCGGAACGTACTTAAACGCGTGAAAAAAGAACATTTTAATGAAACCAGTTAGCACTTTGATAATGAGGTTTTTGAACGTCTACAATTAGCGAGCGTTCATGGATATACGGGTGTCGATCGTGAGATTTAAGTATTAAAAAAAATATATTCGAATCGCGGGTCGATACGATATGCCTGATTTTTCAAAATAAGAGTTTAGTTCTAATGGATATATTTATTTTTTAATTACAAAAGATTGTCTCGAATGGTAACTGTTTTGTTTACCTACCTTTTTTTTTCTTATCAAAACAATTTTCATGATACGTAACATTTCAGACTAACGATAACGAAGTTATGTGATTAATTTAAGTATTACCCTGTCTCTTATTTTTTGAAAATGTTTAAAATACTTTGGTTAGCCGTATGCTAACGTTTCGTTTTAAAGAAAGTTACAAAAAGTCTGATTTTCGTGAAATATAAATATCAATGATAACGACTTAAATATGCGTATATAAATATTATTATTCTATACATCTATATACATGTATATAGTACGAGGAAGAAATCCAAAGGAAGAAATTCAAGAAGGGAATAAAAGTAATCGACAGTAATTACGTAGTCTTACCGTCGCTAATTACGTGTACAAAGGTGATTTATTCCGTATAATAAAAATAAAACTTGAATAACGAGATGAAAGATCACGTATTACAGACCATGGCGACACCTTGATACTCCAACGGAAACAACCTATTCTTCACAGACTTACCACTAAAATAAAAGAAAAAGTTATGCATGGGAATGGCACAGGTTAATTCAAACGCAGTCAACTGTATCATAGCACATACATTCATTTATTATACGTAGATTGTTCATAGCCCTCTATTCGTCTATTTTTTATAGCGACAGCAAGTATTACAGTATTACAGTTTGGTCAGATTAACAAATGTTTTTTCGCCAATCTGCCGTGGATGTGTCATTCATGTGTCATTGATACGGATACAATACATGAATGACTGAGCCCCATATCATCGCCGGCAGGTTAGGAACAGGGAGGCCAATCAATTATCCGTAAATGAAGGCCTCCCGCGTAAATTTGGTTTGTTAGTGATTAATCCTTTTTTTTCGCCTTTTCGAATAGTACTTTTTAAATATTTCTTAAGACATCCAGCGGGGAGTCTACGGGATTAGTTGACTAGGTGCAAGAGCGCGTTCTACAAGCGCCCTAATAACACGAACTAACGTATTTTTTTTTTTCTTCTGTATGTGACTCCTTTGATTCTCTTTCTCGTTCGAGCCGAATCGTATTTTCTTCAATTATTCTTTTTCTCTCCCCGTCCCTCCACCTAACCTCAAAAATCCACCCTCCTTTCTCGTTCCCGCTTAATCGTCCACCCCGAGCCTCGCAACACAGTTCACGTGAGTCCCATTGGCATTTACTTACATTAGACAAGACCAGTGACACGCGTCATTTCGATCGTCCATCTCCGTAACAGCCGGCACAATAAATTGTACATGTTTTTTCTGTCTTTCTCCAATCTCCCTCTCTCTCTCTCTCTCGCAGTACCATAACGCCGATATTCACGTAAAACACCAGCACCGATACGACGCACCAAATATTAAACTCACTCACAATATAAGTCCCTCTTACTTTTTCTCTGCTTACTTCTATATGTTTATATATTATGTACAACTTTGTTTTTGGCACCGAGATTGCCCTTCCCAACACACTGGTCACGATGCCAAAGTCCCAAGTCCGAGTGCGATCGCGGCTCCATCTCCCGTGACGAAGTGGAAAGCAAAGGTAAGGAAAATTATAAAGAAGAAGAAGAGGACGAAGGAAAGAACAATAAACGTTCTCGCACTATAGTCACGTCAAGTATATTAACACTTGTCACGATTTCAACACGCCGACCGACGCCATTATTATTACCCAAGTCGCATTTCTCTTCCGCGCAATAACATCGCGTACGCGGGATATTACGAAAACTTTCCTTCTTTTTCTTTAAAATCGAACCCGCACAACATCGACCGGACGCCACTTGTCTCGCCGATGCTCGTTCTCTGGTTGACTCACCGTGGCCTGTGCTGCAGAGCCACCCTGGGTATATACAATGTATACTCTTACGATCCCTCCCGTCTCACTCTCTCGCTCTCCTACTCGCTACAGTCCCAGTCGTATGTTTCTCTCACTTCCTCCACTTTACCAGCTCGTTAACGATTTCCGTCCACTCGCAACCTTTCGCATACTACTGCCGGTTTTATTTTCCAACATACACACACTGTCTATCTCTACGTTCGTTTAGCTTTAAGATTTTACGTTTTTTTTTTTTTTTCCACTTTTAAAATCACTTTTCCTCATACTCGTTACTTTCGACCGTTCTCCCTTCGCGATTCCCATCACGGACCGACAGTCGTGACGATTATTGACCGTTTTTATTATCAATGAAAAATCATCCGAGAACGACCAATCTATATTTTTAGGGGCTTTATAATTCTTTGGCATAGTTTTTATAAATGTACATAATTGTTTCTCGCCACGTTACAGTGGAATGTGTTATCTACCCAGTGGCTCGAGCAAACTTCCTAATCAGTAGTTTACAGGAGCCAGACGTTAATTAATATTGGCATTATTGCCAAGACGCCTCTCTTTCTCTCTCTCTCTCACATGCATACGCACATACATTCGCTCTTACTCTCTCTCTCTCATTGCACTATCATATATCGAGTTTATCACACGTGGCAACAGTTTTCTTCTGTGCGATCTGTCGCGCAGAGACGGGAGACGAATTGGCAAAAGGTTGCCTTGCGCGACCACGATTAGCCCCCACGGAAAATTTCACATAAAATCGACGTTCGGTTGTTTTCCCTCGAATTCGTTAATTTTCCTTTTTCTTTTCCGTTTCTCTCCTTCTCTCCCATTTTTCCCGTTTTAATTAACTATTATTTCGCGTGTCCTAGGAAACTCTGACTGCACTGGTAATTGTTTTTTTTTCTTTTTTTTTTTTTCTTTTTCGTTTACACGTTAATTCCAGACTGCCCTGCAGTCAGATTGACAACAATCACAAATTAAAACTGTAGCGCTAATACGATATTATGTAAATATATTAATATTTAGTTGTAAATATTTCATATAATAATATATATTAATAACAACTGACTTCATTATGTTTTACATCGCGATACTTTTAACCGTACCATGATTTTGCCGTAGATTTGGTAAAATACCATACGAAACGTAATATACATTACAGTTTACCATTTTTTTTTTCTTTCTTTTCTATTTCTCTCTCTCTCTCTCTCTCTCTCTCTCTCTCTCTCGCGTCTCTCTCACCCAATCAATATAACTCCTCTTTCGTCTTACTCGCCTGCGGCCTAAGCCATCTCGCGGTTTCACATTGTTCTATTTTTTGTCCTCCTTCAACCCTCGACCCACAAACTAACACACTACAAACGTAAATGCAAATCAATTATTTGTAAGCATACACAATTCCCGGAGACGTTATCTCATCACTGTCTCCCGCGAACTGTCACAATTCACAAAATCGAATACTGCTTGAACTTTCGTAACGGTGCGTAACGTTATCCCGTTAGGCGTACATAGTAATTTTACAAAAACAAAAAAAAAAAAGAATATTTATCAATAACAATAATAATAATAATAGTTACATAGAGTGCTATAAATACGTAAAAATGAGATCTATTTCATTTCTAGTAAACGCGCGACAATGTATAATCGGTCCTGCGTAACACGAAGCACCGGGGATTTACAATGAATTCTCGAGGAGGGTAATTAATTAATTAATCAAATAATTGACTAATCAATTAATTAATTAAACTGTATATAATCACGTATTCGGGTGTTCTCTGAAAGTCCTGTACATATATGTGTATATAGGTATACGTACGTCACTCGTTCGCCTGAGTGCTACCGCAGATGGTAAAATTTGCTTGTTGCGTTTTCTTTTTCTTTTTTTTCTTTTTTTTTTATTTAACTACTTATAAATGCCGTATGTGTTCTAATACGTGTTGCGGGACCGTAGGCGCAAGCGGTTCCGAGGCCGATCATCGAATCAACAATGAATCCACGACTGATTCACCGAGTACGTAAGTTCGAACGAAATAATACTCTTTGGCGTTCATCGAAGTCCGCGTACGTAACGTGCCGTCAGTTTTCGTTCAGAAGATCTCAGAATCCGGATCGTTCGTCGTTGCGGTCTGAAGTGCCAGCTGCATGCTCGGCTCTGTATTGCGCCGCTTCATTTTACTCTTGGTCTTCTTCAGCATCGTAGCCTAGGAAGGGATAGGATCAGGGGAACGCACAAAGGAACGATCGATAACAAGTCAATGCCAATGACCAAGTAAAAATAGCAGCTCGCTCACAACACCAGAGGAACTCAATAATGATAACAATAATTAATTAATAGTAATAATAGTGGTAATAGTAGTAGTAGTGATAATAGTAATAATAATAACAACAACAATAATAATAATAATAATAATAGATACACGACCAAAATTATATGAGTGTCTTCTGTGTATCATTGATGGATTGTGCTATTTATCTCGTTACGTGTAAATTGTTTCTCGTGTCATTTTAATTATGTATTTTTTTTTCTTAAATTACGCATGTTTCGTCCTTTCTTTTTTTTTTTTTTTGGTGTTCCTACTATTTTGTGTGTCTCACTGTGTGATTGTTAATGTTCCGTGTATATTATATATCCATATATATAAGATGCATGTATATATATGTATATATAGTACAGTGTATTGGTACGTGTATGTCGAAGATAAAAAAAAAGAAGAAGAAAAAAGAAAAAGAAAAACGTTATGTCATAAAGCTAAAAAGTACTATCTGGAAGAAATGCACGGCTAATCGGTAGTTTACGAAAAGCTTCAACTGCATCGGGCCGAGAGAGGTCCAATGGGAATGGTATACGTATATATAGAGGTATATAGAATGAGAATGGGTAAATAGTCGAGAGAAAGAGAGAAGAAATAGGAAAATAAGAGACACGAGGATATTCGTTATGGAGTTATGAGAAGCATGAGAGAGATAAGGTATGGATATATATATATATATATATATATATATATATATATATATATATATATATATATATGTATAAGTTGCGAATACGTATGCATATATATGATATAGACTGAAAAGAGTAGAGAGAAAAAGGTGGAGTCGCATGCGGTGAAAATTGATCGGACGAGATAGACGAGTAACAACGGAGCAAGATTAGAGAAGAGTTGAATAGTATGAGAGAGAGAGAGAGAGAGAGAGAGAGAGAGAGAGAGAAGATTTAAGGAAATAAGAGAATGAGAGTCAGAGAGTGAGAGTGAGAAAGGAGGAGTCTGCCTTATCTCGGTGGGATCGCTCCGAAACTCCCCTCTAGTGCGCACGGTATTTGCGCATGGAGGAGTCTAGGCAGAGATCACGCACCTTAAAACGAATGATCAAAGGACCGACACTAGTTGCAAGCTGCAGAATGGTTGGTTTACTCGTCCGTGCTCTTGCCCCCCTCCCCATTAGCAGGTAGAATCGACGGTTCGGTATTCCGACGCCTGATCTTATTTTTCTTCAACATGGTTGCCTGAAGTGAACAAAGGAACAAGGAGATATTAGTAGAGTGCGATTAGGGGAGGAATGCATGCGCTGACGGATATCAGCAGTAAGGTTTATGCTTTCTTGGAGATTATGCGCAGAGCGTTTACAATATATATGTACATATATATATATATATATATAAACATGTGTATTATGAGAATTGATATATATATATATATATATATATATGAATATATATGTACATATGTATATAAAAAAAAAACACTACTAACTAGAACATACAGATGCTTATGTCAGGAATTTAACGTGCCACAAGTACATAGTTAAGCCCCATTATTAGACGTTATTTCATAAGGATATGGGTTTTACTTATGATGGATAATTATGTGGTTTTGTAATTAAATCATCTGATAAATGACTTTGACGTTATCCTTTTTGTATATCCGTCGAATTATGGGGATCGATATGAACTCGAATGTGCTTTACCTTTAACGCGGACTTCAAGACTACCACGTCCCCTGGACTCTGGACCCACGGTTCACCGTCCACTTGTACCGGTATGTCTGAGTGTAGATGAATTTTTATATGGCCACCCTATGAACATCATATTTCATCCATGCAGCGGTCTCGCTATTATTATTTTTTTTCTTAGCTCTTAGAGGGTAACCATTATTTCTCTTACTTAAAAATTTGGACTCTCCTCGTCGCCTACCTGAGCTATCCTCATTGCTGTGCGTAGACCAGACTGGATCTGTCCCAGGTGTACCACTCCGGTAACTCCAACAACTTCCAGCATGCCGTCCCAGTGATTTGGTGTATTGAACTGATCCTCTCTGCCTGGTCCCCAAGGATTTGCTCCGGAGCCCCAACTGGTATCAGATGAAATAATACATTGTCTTTTGTACCGACGGATATCGTACAGCGTCAAAGGAGGAAATTGTGGTACCTCAAAATGTTAAGTATAATTATTCCTTCGACCTGGGGCAAATCAACCTGTCTACCGTCGACCTCTAATCTTATTTCCTTCTGGAGGTCTTTGCACAATTTCGGTCGAACGATCTTGCGCAGACCCATTTTCACGTAGACACCCTTATTGTGCAATCTGCTGTTGAACTTGTTTGGGTTCTCCTCGCGTGCGTTATGAAAGTCCAAACACAGATCAGCGTCAATTCCAATACCAAAGTAATTGTTCATTACAAATATCTGCGTATTGTCTTCGCCGGCAACTGAAAAGAGACCCGTCGACGAGCACCTTAGTCGAGGTACAATCGTGCTGGTTTACAAAGTTAATTAAAGCTCTCTCGCACCACGACGTTTACCTGCTGCATTGAGACCTTGCTGGGACTTGTCCTCCTTCTCCTCAGTATGAAAAACAACGGTCCACCTGTCAAGTCTGATCTCCTCGGCGTCGATGACGTCCCGCAATAAACTGAGAGGATCTTCACCACCGGTATAGCCTGGGCCCCAGCACAGGACACGCGCCAGGTCATTTCCGGTACCAAGAGGAACAATGGCACACGCCGGCGACGAGCACTCGCTATCCTGGCCAACGTTGTCCAGACACTGTAAGACCCAGCCTATCGTCCCGTCACCCCCGCATACCAGGATCTTATAATTCTTCACGTGACGGAATACGTAGAGCCTACGGAAATGATTTTGTAAAGTCTCACATTAATCTTGACCTGGTACCAAGTCTTAAGCTTCGTTCCAGCTAGCGTATCGTGCGTAGGAATTATTTACCCAGGAAGTGGACCCCCGTTATCCAAGTCGAATACTTGATAAGGATTTAGGAGCTTTCGAAAACTAGAGATTAACTCGAGTCCTTGGCATCCACCGGATTTTACGTTAACGAAGACGAGTAGAGGTTGAACACCCGGTGGCACCATGCTGGGGTCGATACTTGGTAGAAGCATCACTGCGTAAAGAAAAATTTTGTCAGTTGCTACAAGGTACCCTTTTTCTTTTTTCTGTATTAATTATACTCATTAATCAATTAAAAGGCAAATATTCACCTAAAAGATGTTTATCTTCGTACTTCGAGTCCCGTAACATGTAGAGCGCCCTGACCGCCTTGTTCGAGTCTTCGTAAATAATTACCATCGACCCGTACTCGTAGTATATAGGTCCGATGGACGAGAATTTATTTTCTGTAAGATAGTGATATATCGAGCTAATTAATTAGCCGGGCTGATTCGCGTAGTTCAATGTAAATAACATTTAACGATTGCCGCATCGATGCTCGAGCATATTTGGCTGCTTTTACCTTTTCCTAAGAATTCGGTTAACATGTTCTCATAATTGCGCTCGGAAAGATTCGGCGGTAAGTTGCCGACGAACAAAGCGAGATTAGGTCCATGAGGGTCTTGTTGTAATTGAAGATAAAATCTCATCAATTCCATTTGTCTTATCGAGTCCTTCCCAAGTTGCTTGACAATTTCCCAAGGTTTCTCGTCCCAGGCCAATACCCGTTCCGAAACTGCGTATATTAATTTTTATCCACAAAAGTCCAATTATCAATGTCCAATTTAGCGGCAGAAACGTACCGCCGCGATCCAAAAGAATTTCGCTGCATCGATAATCCTCGCACTCGAAATTCTGCAATCCGAAACGATGAAGAGCCTCCCGGATGAGATCAGCCACTGTCGTCGATTCGGTAACAGGAACTATACAGAAAGCCTCCGACACTTGTAATTTACCAGGATAAACCCGAACCTCTCCACTTTCGTTGTCCCTGATGAGAAGAAAAAACAAAAATTATTATCACGATAAAAAAATTCAAGTTAAAAAAAAATGTATATTTACTTAAACCGCAGAAAAACAGCTGGACGTTTGCCTTCCTCCCGATGTAAATTCAAAATCGGTGTAGGATCGTTCAGTTGAGTCTCGTCCGTTGCATAGAGATCAGTCAAATAGAAATTACCTATTGACAAAAATACAGTCATAATTAATGTCAAAGTTCAAATTTCATTCCTCAATCAATCAACGTACACAAATTATCCGACATATATCATCGCGCTGTTACGTACTTGGATCCTTGGTGATGTGAAATGCTCTCAGGGCTATCGTAAGGACCTGCTCCGTGGTGGCTTGTCGTGGTACCGTAATAACCCTAAATATTCGACGTCTCAAAGAATTGTTGCCGTCGTATACTTTTATCATTTCTGTAATGCACATTAAGGATATAAAAAGATATTCCAAAGGTCGATGTCCCCTAAGAACAAGCAGATCTGAAATATCATTCGATACCTTCGTCTCCTCTCTCCTTATCGTCCTTTTCTTTGGATGGTCTTTGCTCGCGACTGTGAGTTCCGCCTTGTTGAGATGGTTCCCCATTGTCCCTGTATCGCGTATCCCCGCTACTGAACTCCTCTGATATGCTCCTCGCTGTAAGGGAAAATTCTCGTGTTTGTAATAACGAGACAAGGTGATCAGACGTAAGGTGAATTAAAATTATTATAACCGTTCGAAAAATCTTTCGTTCTCATTGGCTGGACTTTGTATACCGTAGAGTAAATCCACCAGTAAATGGACACCATAAGAAAAGCTTACAGTGAATGGAAACCCGTGTTAAAATCACCGTACGTATAGATATAATTAACGTGAATCCGTCAATTCGCTGGTGGCGCCGCCCTACGGGTAACTTTGTCACTTCGGCAAATCGAAATGCATCCGCGTGACGTATATATTACCGATACGGAGACAGACGATGGCGCAATGTATGAAAAATAAGAAAATATCAAGATATTTCATTTTGTTGCCACTCGTTAAGTCTTCGGTATACTCAACGTCTTTAATTTTTAATTGACCACGTGCTATTGAGTCTGCCCTTTGTCTTTCTTTTAATTTTCTAACAACGTATCAATTTCGAGGTTAGATTCCAATTTGTCCCTCCGTTACGTTCAAGGTATAGCCGTCCGAACGTATTGCATAGACTACGTTAATCAACCACTGGTCAATTTTCAAGTCATCGACAATGATCGTGCGCAGTGAACTACTCGTTCGTAGGATTCGTAGAACGCGACGTAAGGATACACGTTATTTTTTTTTAAAACGTGTAATTAATTTTTTCCCCTTTTTTTTCGTTTATTTTGTTTTGTATATGTCACACCTCTTACCATTAAACGTACACGATGATTTCGCGAAGCACAGATAACAGGAAGTGTACTCAGTAGGATTCCTTCACTTCACTTGACTGCATAGTCGACTGATAAGCATCACAGAATCTCACATTGCATCCAGCGGGCTGAGTGACAGCGCATGCACTGAAGCGAAACATATATGTACATGCTAAAAACGTAACTGCCAATAACGAAAATACGTATAAGATGACGAGATAACATAAAGACGTTATTCACTTAGATACGTGAAATTATTTGGTAATTACTTCGTATCTTTATGAGTTTAGACATTACGTTCGATAATGGCCCAAGGAAGTTGAGAATATAATTTTGGAAAATTAAATTTGATTTTTTCTTTATTTCGAAAACAATTCCATTTTTTTTTTGCCAACAGCAGCATTGCTATTTTTTACGATGATTGTCTACTGCGATTAGAATTATTGATTCAAGCTAATGATTTCTAAATGAAAATAATAACTGGGAATATTAGAGGTATAAAATTTGAGGAAGAGATAGGGTGAGAGAGTGAGAGAGAGAGAGAGAGAGAAAGGAAGAAAAGTGGGAGAAAGAAAGATAAAAATAGACAGATAAGCGACAGATGAATCTGTCCTTATAGAAAATTGCAATTCCATTATTACGCAGGTAGGCTCGACAATGATGATAAGCAGCGAGAATAAAAAAAAATAAATAAAACATCGATATAAATTACGCAACAATTAAGACACAATAATTATACTTCGTGTGAAAAAGGATGGCTTTGCCAAAAAAATTTTTTCTACAAAATTGACTCCGGTGCAATTTTTGAATTCGTTCGTTATCGATTATTCATCGTAACACTGCCATCGGAGAGTATCGATATCAATGATACGAGGAATCTGATGGGGGGTAAAAAAAGAAAGAAAGAAAAAAAGAAGAAAAAAAGTATATATTCTCCCATCTCTGATTTTCAAAATATATAAATACTCTAAGCAAACACAATATGACGCGACTCAAAAGATCCGAGATTATTCGACACTGGCACACAGTATAAATGACATCGCCTAAAGAAACGTACTACTTGCCAATTCGCAATTAACGATACGGATGCAAATTCACGAATAGCTCAAGTTATATTTATGCATATACCGAAATGACGTTAAAGAGTACCACAATAAATTGAATATATACATTGTGCGTATAAATATGATATTTAAAATGCACGTGAACACCACGACGACTCCGTGGTCTGATTCGCCAGTATTTCCGCTTCCGTATAGAGCATTACGCAATAGGTACTTTAATATCGAGTATATACGCTCACACACATGGTTGCATGATGATGGTAATAATCTAGGTACCTCGAACATAAGGAGGGGAAGCATGACAATTTCCATGGCAGCTACGTGGCAAAACTAGCGAAAGGCGCCTCAAAGCTTCGGCCAGGTGACCTGCACCCCCAATTTGTTCACTCTCAGCGAAATCGAATTGCTCTCCGGTGTAATCTTCAAATAGAAGCAAACGATGGTCCGAATTTCATATAACCTCTATACAGGATATTAATAGAGTCCACAGAAATTTCGTGGTCGGTTGACAATACACATAATTGGTAATAATCGTTAAGTTGTTAATTTCATTCGTCAATATAGAATTATCCAGTCGGTATTACAATTTCACCAATATTTTTTATCCAAACTTCTTTCTTTTCTTTTTTTCGACTTTTTAAAATCATCTTTACCTCGACAGCTCTTTCTCTATGACTTTTGGCGCTTCGAAATAACGTTCACAGATGTCGCACCTGTACTACGTGGTACGAATTGGCAGCCTTCTCGTAAGCTTACTACAAGATCACAGGGATGGATTGACGATGTTTCTTTTTTCATCGCATACAGGATACAATGACTTTGGGAAATCTGCAAAGCATCCTTGGTGCCCATATAATTCTAGCGTGTATGATTCGAGTCTCGTATCGTGAAAACGATTATTAAAAAGCTTGACGATGTAAGCGCAATGGATTATAATTCTTTCTAATGGGTAAGCCTTGGTGATTATTGATTAATCATATTTACGCTCGAGGTCGCTGCTGCTGATGTACACTGAACGTACGTTCAAGCTAACTTTAATGCATGGCAGATATGAATTGATCAGTCACCACGATCATTATTTCATTGATAACTCACTCTGGGATATTGATTATGTTTTACAGTCACTTTAACTATGAATTAATCGCACGATGAATCTCGCGCGACAGGATCGATGCGATTTCGTACAAGAATATGAATTATCGCCACTTTTCCTAAGCATGCCTTCTATAAAAACACAAAGAGCAATATATGTATAACCGACGTACACAGGACTCGAATAAATTTTTCCAAAAATTGTACCGTGTACCTGCGCAAGTGAGACTAATTATTTTAATTGACTAATAATGCTATTTTACTCCGATTAATTATTTCCTGATTATCTCGAATCCTGATTTCATCGTTCTTTATATGCACTGCGGTATGACTATTGTTATTTTCCTTTCCCTTTTTTTTCTTTGTGCAAAACAATTTGTATACAGAACAAAATGTCGAATCCACATAACACGATACGGTAATTCTCTTAACGTACCTACCCTTGGGATACTGAAGTTAGTTCAGTTGACGAGTATCTTATATACAGTTACTCAATGATAATTAGGGCAATAGACTAAACATTAGAATTGATAATCGTGCAACAGTGCGTAATAGAAACTTAAAGAATTCCTAAAGACAGCTGAAGATATGAAATTTTGGTTGAGTAAGATTTCGATTGAGGCAAAGCGAAAGAAGAGCGAGTGATTGGAAGAAATTTTTTTTTGGAAAATCACGAAACAAGAAGTATTTAGTATCACGAGGAGAATATGATACAAATAAGTATAATATATATATAAATGTAGCAGAGAGCGAAAAATTTGATAAAATTTCTTTACCTACAACAGCTGTCACCTCTCACAATCTTAATCGAGATAATTTAAATGAAATATCCAAATCACTGTACCAACGACCCAGAACAGATTCGCATCGAGACGTTTCACTTGGGTTAATTGCTCAATTAATTATTACGAATTTAGCTTCAGCTGCCATACCAGTGCAAATAGTACATACATTCACGTGATATAGTAAAACCGGTTACATGTAACCGGTCGAGGATACATCGTAATGTCAAAGTGAACACACGAAATTTCTTTAAAGATCTCGAAATCCCAAGATACAACCGATAGCAAAGTACGGTCGCAGTACTATTTATAGATTAAAACGAAATTTGATGTGACTTCGTAATTACGTGTATTAAATGAATGTAATAACTTTACGTCTAATGTATATACAATATAGGGCAGACACTTACGGCAGGAATACTCACGCGCCAGGATTTCCTTACGTCGTACTTGAACCCCAATGATGGCCTCCATGGGTACTTCTGTACGTGGTATGCTGACCGCATGCGGTGGCAGGTAGATCGGTTCCAAATTTCCAAAGGTGCACTCGACCGGGATGTGTTTGTAGCAGTAGGCATGGGACTGACAGCACGAGAGAAGCAAAATGCCAAGTAGTAATATTTATCATTTTTCCCTCTTACCGCGTCGACTCATGAACCCCTAATACTCTTACCGTCATGCCGCACCACTCGCATCGAAACCCAGAGAGACACTCGGCGGAGAAGCAGCCTTTCTTGCAGACGGCGCATTTCGAACTGCTCGGAAGATTCCCTTCGCGCCAGTGATGCGTGTGCTTCACCGATGCGAGATCCTTGCCCGGCAAGTACGTCGCGTTTTCTTTGCAATCTGCCACTGCGAAATCCTGGCAGTCTGTGTGGACGAAGTACTCGCATACTGAGGGCAAGTAATAGAGACCCTTACGGTATTCTGTATACGTACCAGGCGCGTAGAACAAAAAAATGACGCATCTGTCAGACCCAGACATTACTTACTTTCACAGTGAATGGACAGACTGTCTTCAAGGCGTTTTCGACACACGTTGCAAAATTTTCTTTTGTGATGGACCTGTTCAGACCAACAGTGTGCAACAGGGTTCTGTAAGAAATAATAATTTTAATTGTTAATTATGCATTGAACCATAAGAATATATTTTTTTAAATCACACTAATTTTTTTTTACCTGCGACTGCTATTGGTACAATTAAAAAAAATATTTTGGGCTTTTTCAAAAATTAATTTTTTTTTCTTACCTTAATCAGGCTTGCCGCGATGCTGGAGCAGGGAGAGACGACGGCCTTGAGACAGCGGTCGTGCACCACGAAGTTACACACTGTAACGTGAAATGCAGTAGATTTAAAATAGGCCCGTTCGGTTAACGTTATTCATCGGAGTCCAGCAGTATATGGAAGAACGAAAAGGTTCGAAGGTACAGGGCGTTTCAGAGGAACAGATCCCTTTGGTATGAAACAATGCTAATTGACGTTACAGGACTTTTGTTAAATTAAAAAAAAGGGGAAAATCTAAGGCAAAAAGTGAATTTCATTTTTTTTTTTTTCTGAATACTTCGCTGTCGCGTAATATTGCCTGCTACTCTTGTAACGTGTCCATGTCATTAGTTTCTGCTGTCCGAGTGGTTGACACTCTTTAAGCACGAGTACCAACTTCATAAAGAGTTCTCTCTACGTTCGAGTTAGCATTGTTTCCCAGAGTGGGACGTTTTATACGTTGGATACCAGGGATGCCACAGGTTAGTCGTTTTACTAGAGAACGAAGTAGGCACGGCTAATTATAAGTGCACCTTAGAGATTCTTTGCGAATATTCATTTGACACGTGAAAATTAATTTCGCAAAAAAAAATGTACGTCGAGTACTTGACGGGTGCCTTGTAAAATGATATGGTCCAAGTAACAGACGATAACCGTCAATTAAAATCATCTGACCCAGTGTTCCTCCTTCTTGCTCCTGTGAGTATTAACAGACCATTGACATGACACTGTGATATCCATAAAGCCTTGGTTTATTAAAGCCTCTGGTGTTAATTGCGTAACGGATTTACATCGACGGCCTCTATTTTTAGGCAGGATTAACGTAAATTCTCATGTGGAAGCTCGTGTCTTATGCATTCGCATGGTCGAATGTTTCGTAATAAAATATTTTAATTATCATTTTCTTTACGATACGATGCACTGCTCGGAATATGAATGTTTCGAAGTATTTTATTTCATAAAGTACGTTCGGGTTAACTTCGAGTCGGTTCCTCGGAGCCTTGTGGGATTTACTACTGAGAATGAATTTGTAATACTTTTAAAAAATTTTTTGCAATTATTTTTTGCAATCCCATAAATTTTCTTGAATACAAATATTTCCAAGTATTTTATTTCACAAAGTACGTTCGGGTTAACTTCGAGTTGGTTCCTCGGAACCTTGTAGGATCTACTACTGAGAATTAATTTTTATCTACAGACCCCGACTAAAACTCCAATCGCGAAAATACACAGCGTACGACGTACGTCAGTCCAAAGGTTTTTTCGCTTCCGGTTCGCTAGTAGGGCTGCTAAAATAAAATGCCCTTGGGCCACGTTGAATCGAGTAAAATGTATCCATTGATGATCCGGGTTGATGCGTAGCTCCAGGAGAATTCCTCGTGAGAAAAAAATGTTATATAATTTCGTAAAAAATGTTCTGAGAAACAGACATAAAAAAAAAAAGAAATCAAAAAAAATCGTAAGAGTAAAAACTTTCCATGCTCGGAGTGAGAATGCAGCTCTCGTACAGGGTTCGTTAAGAGTCGCGGTACGAGGCTCGGGACAACGGGTGGGAAGTTAAAAATAAAGGTTTACGTTTACCTAGATAAATAAAAAAATGTAGTAGAGGGTTGACTTTGACGCAGGAACTTACACGTGCGCGAGCAAGCCTGGCTGCTACACGTACGACAACGATTTTGAAAAAGACGCTCTTCGCGATATTACGAAGTTGGTACGTACGTTTCTCTATTATTTCTCTTTCACGCACGATGGACATTCGTGCGCGCCTGTTACTTGGCCTCGCGTGCCCGTGACTAATAATCACGCGAGTCACATTTCTCTTAGGTTCATTCTTTTTAATTCTTTTTAATTTATTAATTGTCGAGTGCAAGCATTACCAGCATGTACGACACGCAAGGGTGTTGTACCTTCCGTACCCTGTTTACGTAGGTAGCACAAACGTGTCCTGACACGCATTTCTTTCGCGTCTCTTAAGCGGCGTCAGTTATTAATCTTTCCGATCGCATGGTTACCAACATGAAACGTACATTAGACAATTGTCATACCTTTTTCCCATAAATACTCATTAGTACGATGTTAATAAAATTGCATCATAAAAGAAACGTATAGAAATTTATAATTTCTTTCTCAATCGATACCAACTCACAGAAAGTTCCTTGAGCGTCTCCGACTTCTCATTCGCGTCCGAGTGATCGAGCTCTTCGGTCTATAAGGCGATTCGAAAATGGCCGAACGCAGTATACAATTGAGGATATTGCCAACTGTACTTTACGACTGGCTGCCATAACGCAGGACTCAGGTGACAGAGTATACATTGTTAAACGAAAAATCTTGAGCATACTTCCATAATATACATCGACAGAATGCCTAACGAGTGTCGAGTAAGATTTACAGAAATATGGGAAATATACAATTTTTCCTTCCGTCCGCACTCCACGTCGTGTGGAAACCGCATAAAGTACAGGCTCGAATAAAAACTATTGAACCCACGGTGGCGGGCTACTGTTATCGGCTCTCAGGGAGAGTGGCGTAAGGCTAGGGAAGATATCTGGCTTAGAGAAGCGGCAAGTAACCTAGTTCCTGGTATGCCGCTAGGTGGTCCTATCCTAGGCTGTGTTTACGTGACTGTAACGTCTTCGTGCGAGGGGGCACGAGCGCTGACGTCACACGCTGCCAGAGAAGGACGCAAGACTAGCGATTATCGAAGTAGAGAGAGACAGAAACTACGAGGCGTCAAAAAGAGCAAAGTAGACGCATCGAAAGGTTGTCCAGTGAACTCGACATGAGTAGTAACGTACACAGGCGTCCTAGACGACTGGGAGAGCAGGAGTCAGGAGCGGCGAGAGCGAGCCAGGGCAATTGCCAGTGCGTAATGGACGACCGGGAAGAAAGAAATACAGTCTGGATAAAGTCGGGAGCGACAGTCCAGGAAACGGCGGCAGCAGGAAGCAGGGAGGAAAACTGGTAAACCGGGCAGCCTGGACTTTGGAGCGGGAGTGCCGCCATAACTCGGTTCCTTCGGTTCGGCCTCACTCGGAGGCTTTGCCGTTTCCCTTTCCCCTGCTCCGCCTTGGCCGACTCCTGGCCACCCCCCACCCCCTCGATCAATGCCGCGAGAGGCACGATGCGCGCGCCATCTGCCCTCTGTCTCTCTCGCTCGCCGTCGAGTGCTCGAACTCACGGATAATACAGGGGAACTGACGCGAGAGACGGAATTGCTGGAATCGCACGAGAAACAACCTTCTCGGTTGGTTCTGGCCTTGTTTTTCCAGCCAATCCCACAGTGGTCTCTCTCTCTCTCTCTCTCTGCTTCTCTGTCGCCACTCCGCACGAACCAATGTGAACTGTGCTTTAGAATGTAAATACAGCCTAGAATTCTGGTACACTGAGAACTCTTGGCAGCTAACCCTTAAAACGAGAACGAGACTCGACGCCTCGAGGCTCCTTCTCGCTTCGGAGTCGAATGCCACCCTCGCCGCGAATGCAGACACAACACTGAACGGGCACTTTCCATTCATCGTTGTTGGAGGTCAGCCAGTTTTGTCCTGCACGATAAAACAGCCAAGGCCTTAGAGATCCCGTGGCTGGCGTGGGCCACGCGCACGGGGCGAATGGCCCCGGGTGCCGACTGCCGATGCACGGACCCGCAACAGGAAGTCTACTTGGATTTAATTACCGGACACTTATCGATCTGCCTTTAATTGGGCTCTATGGGAGATACAAGGGAGCTTGTCAATGTCACAGTGTAACTGCCGTATCAGAACGGGGCTCCCGAAACTCGTGGAAATTTTGATCGAGCCCCCGACGTTAAAACTGTAGGACGGATCGAGTGAGCCGGTACTGGAAATAAATATTTCCCACGAGCACGGCTTTCTTCCGAGTACCATCGAGTCCCGTATAATCGTAAGGTCAGACGAGAGGTGCCAATTTTGGCGTTAACCTTAAACAAGATACCGGATCTACAGGATTACCAGGCCACGGGAATCAGACGATCACTTCCTTTTGCTAGGTCCCGGAACGAAAGGATTCGAGTAGGGAGGGGTGTAGGACGATAGAGTTCGAGGAGCGGCAGGACGTCCTTTGGTAAGACAAAGAAATATAAATAAGATATCCGGAAGTGAAGAGCCTGCGAGGAAGACGTAGACCTGGAAATTGACAGACGCGAGAAGGAAGTCCTAAAGTGGAGTTCAAGAGTATCCAGGGGATGCCTACCTTCGCAGATGTACCCCTGCTGTATGAGGCCCCAGAGCATGTCCGTGCAGCTATGGCAGTAGGTCGGTTTATGAAACGTTTTCTTACTGAAGCTGTGCCCATGGCTGGCTGGAGTCTCGGCCGAGACCGACGCCATGATCCCCGATCCACCGCGGCACCGATCACGCCAGATTTTCACCGTGAAGCTACACAGGGCACGCCGCACATTGATATTACATGCCTACGTTATCTCGAAACCGTACGCGAACATTGCGCTGCCGTAGGGTGTCCCTGTCGATCAGAGTTACGTGTCTAAGGCGCATTTCCGGAGGCTTTCCGTACCGTGCCCACTTCACAGCTGACCATCACTAGGAAAATATCTCGTTCGCGCATCCGAGAGTTGGAGCGGGCGCCGAATAGCTGCACTGGCATCAGCCCCGCGAACCAGGGAGGGCGCGCGACGCGCCGCCCCGCGTACGAGCCACCGTCGAGACGACCCCGCAGACCCGAGCGACCCGAGCGACCCGACGGACTGGCACTCGACACGCCACTCGTGCCACTTTCGCACTCTAAAACCACGTCGAGGCCCGCCACCTCCCCAGGAGACACCAGCACTTCCCAGGAGCACCCCCCCGTCACTGCCAGCAAGACCAGGGCCACTGTATGTACTTCCCTTATCCAGGCACAGATTCACCGACTCCTCTATCGGCAGCTTCTTCCTCCTCTTCTTCTCGTGCTCCGAGCGCGACCTCAGCAGCAGCCCGTCGACAAACGAACGCGAGATATTTCTTTTAGAGATCCTATCTCCACCTATCGACACGACCGACCGAGCGACGTTCGACGTCGGGACGACGGCGACGACGGCGGCGGCAACGAGGACGACGACGACCACGACGGCGACGTCACGCTCACGCGCCGACGCGTCTCCGCACCGCGACATCCGCGCAACGCATTCTCCTCTCTCTCTCTCTCTCTCTCTCTCTCTCTCTCTCTCTCTCTCCCTTTCCCACCCGCTCCCTCACGCACTCTCTGTCCTTTCTCCACTACGAAGCTACATTCTTCCTTTCCACTATTCCCCTCGAAACACGCCCAGAGGAATTGGGCCAATCGCGGAAATCGCACCCTACTCTCGCTGGATCACTCTGACGTAGTTCATGGGGAAATACTACTTCCACGGGTCCAGCCTCCTTACGGATCTCTCCGCTTCATTCACCGGCCTCTCACTTCGATTCCTGCCAAAATTCGGCACGTCGGCAATCACGATTCCACGTATTTACGAGCTTCGTCACGATTCCAGAGATACAGCCTCCCTCCCAGCAGCGCCCGGTATCGCCCTACGCGTGTAACCACCGTCGCCACCAAGCAGGAACGCGTCACAAGCTGCGCCACGGCGCACGTGTGCTCCCTTTCTTGTGATCCTTGCGGAGGCTGCGATAGCAATTTCTCTCCACACGCTCCCGAGATGAGTCGCGTACGCTGCGGCGGCTGGACCCTTTTTTCCCATTCGCCACGACGAGGAGACGCAGTCGGGACGAGAGCATATTTTCGGTCAGTGCCGTAGCTCCGAACACGGCACGGCCGTTTCCTTCGCTGGGAGACCCACCCGTACCATGCTTCTCTTTCTCTCTTTCAGACCTTTTACCGAAAATATATAAACTTTACCTCCGATGCATCGTCACTCGGAATACTACTGCGCGCGACTATGGTAAACCTACGGATTTCCCTGTGTACTCCGTACGCACACGTGCGGCAGGTCCCGAGACGCTGTTAACACGGCTACGTATACGCGCTATGGAAATCCTTTTCTGAGCTTGCTCGGGCGAGCAATCCCGATCTGCCGACGCCGACGCCAACGACGCCGCCGTATGGCCGCATGCGCGTCGCTAACGGACTCTCTGGTTCCGATGCCGGCCGCGCGCGACGCCGCCGAATCGTCGTCTCGCCTGTCTGGCTATTTGGATACTTTAATTACTTTAGCCAGAGAATTTTTATTTACGGCGGATACACGTGTATAGATGATTCTTGAGAAGTCGACGGGAAGCTCAAGGAATGCTGGGCTAGCACAGGGAAAATTAGTGGGAAGACACGTCTGGTTACTGTGACGTTATTCTACTTATGTTAAAACTTATGCAAACAGCAGGGAACAAGCGGATCTTTAAGTACTGACATGATATATGCGCGTGCATAGTGTAGTAACAAGTTTTTATTAATATTTATTATATACTTTGTTATGGACGGAGCTTAAGCATGGTCTATTTAACGTGATACTTGATTCGCACTTGCATATAATTTATATTATTTTAATACGAACTGACGAACTGACGCAAAACAGTAAGATCTATTGGTATTTAATTGCCGATCCTAACTGACGCATTAAAATATTCATTAAAATCGAAAATTCAACGGGCAACGCACATTCGAGAGCATTAATGGTCTCCGCTCGTAAACGCTTTTCTCTCCACGTGGCTCGAGATCCATATTTCCCGAAAATATCTATTGGAAAATCACTGAAGCAGAAGCAGCCGTAATTTAGATCCAGGATAGCTGAGGTTGCAGGCTGCCACCCCGTGGCAACTTTGTATCCCTTGTTTGAAGAATTTCGAAAATTTCACTGTATGGAAATAAGTATTGAACCACGTGGCGAGAAAATTGTCAATAAACCGTGAAGGACAGTCGACGGCAGCCATTAATACTTTTACACATTGCCAGTCATAGATACTCGCGCAAGTAGCATAATTTTTCATACTGTTGGCTAAGAAGCTCTAACTTATACGATAGTGGAATGATTAAGCGATTACAATGCCATCGTAAGGAACAAATATTAAGATAAAAATTGTATAGTTATAAACGTTCGCAGATTTAATTTCGCAACTGTATCCTTAAAGACAGGACACGCTGAGCCAGTAACGGAATGTTGCTGATAACAGTAGTTTCCCTAAAGGAAACCTCAGCGTATACATGGGTGACGATAATAGCTAGAAATAAAGTTACCAAAGCTACCGGTCGACGGTACCATACGTAGACGACTGACATTATAAATACTTGAATCAGCAGGCAGCGCCACTTTTTTTTCTCTACAATTAAACAATTTCTTTCAAGGAATGTATCGCCCACAGTTCTATAACTGCACAATGAGTTACTCGACGGATTTCAGCAACTTTAATGACATCGTCGTACGTTCTTTTCTGTATAATAATAATAGCCTCACTGTGGTATCGACATTATTTCTGACATTTTGATTGGGTTTGAGTCCATTTAACATACGGTATCAAATAGAACCTCGTGCACGCAGAAAGAGTAACGATGCCCTACTTGTCTAGCTTTAAATACCTTATGCATTAAAAGAACAATTGTGCGCATAAATTGTATAACGTCTCCATGCACTGTCGCATTATTCGAAACGAAGATTTCCAACAACCACTTCCTACACAAGTTCACTCTACATTTATTGAGACTTTAGCGCGAACCAATCGATCGGATGATCACTAGTTTATCCTCGTTTTGATTTTCGTCATCGACGCCTTCCCGGCATGTAAAATTAAGTTAAGCAGTCACCGCTAGTCTTTAATTAATACTTTAGGTCGCAAGGTCAATACTTTTCGTGGACTTGTCATTAAATATGAAATATTACTTAACGTTACCGCTAGATGGCTAATGATAAGTTATTCAAACGAAATTACCTAATTGCGTTAACCGATTAACCAATGGCTGCGTGGCTGAGACGATTAGTTTAAATAATAAAACGCAATTAGTCGTCCGATTAAAGAAGAAAACTAAAGAAATACATTGTTTTAAGCTACCCCCAACTAGATTTTCAAATGCCTAAATTACATCTCTAATCCGTTCAATGTTTACCCTATAAAGCCAACGATGCTTTAGTACAATAATTTTTACAGCATACCAAGTCAATTATCATATCTACTCATTGACTTGTGTCGACCGATTGCAATTTCGATCAGCAGTTTCTCCTATTCGTACAGAAATACTGCGAGGGCTGGAAGTATATTTAAAAAAAAGGGAAACGATAAAAAATCAAGAATCAAGCGATCCAAAAAGAAAAAACAAAAAAAAATAGTAATACATCAAGGCACCGAGGTAATTATTAATTAATATATACGACACGCATGTTAATCGTAATTGCAATCGGTCGGTCCGGTACAGATAACATTTTTTCTTCGAAGCATACATCTTATACGTCTAATCCATGATTGCATTGGGACGAAGAAGTTCGAGCGATATTTTGACGAATGTACAGAAATCGTAGGAGCTGATGAAAATGCAAAGGACGATCCCGTAATTATCCCAATCCGTGATCCTCGAAGAATCCTTGAGGTGTTTCCTCCTAGAACAAAAAGAATAAAGAAAAATATAGACAATTAAGAATCGCTCGGAAAACTTAACGACTCTTAACGTTATATGAATAGGGATCAATTAGCTTGACGCTGCGGCACAAAGATCGTCCTTATTATTATTAAAGGATCTTGAAGAATAATCAAAATATATGAATAAACATACACGTACCTAGTGCGTAACAAGATATCTTCTCGTTGCAGCTTCAAATGCCGAACTGAACCCTTTTCATATGTATATCCAAACATTAATTCGTACCGTAATACGAAGCATTGCATACAACATGTTCAGCCTCTCATAAATAAATTAATCGACAAATATTTCGCTTTTGTTAGGACCAACGCGAACATGCCAAAGATCTGTCATTTATCCTTGCCGTCTCCCACGTCACGCGAACGCGTAACGCTAGAGATACGAATTGCAAGAGACAATTGTCACGTAATACATAATTAGTCACTTTGACGTATACACAGTGCTAAAGATTAAGCAGGCGGTAATACTTCAATTAATTTTACAATTAATATCCGATTAAACGTTTATTCGAAATCTTCATGAATATCATTGAGACAAATTTGTGCCCGGACTGTACGAAATATTTTTTTTACATACAACTTCGAGCACCCGAGAACGTACCTGGTACGTAAGACACGGTTGGATCGGGCAATCCGATTAGGTAGGTGATAAATAATCTTTTTTTGAAAATATCGTCATTGTATTGAGACAGCTTTATTTACTGGCGTACTAAATGACTTTTTTTTTTTTAGTGTAACAGTAAAAATTGACATAGTTGTCTACACATAAATGTATTACGAAGGGTACTATCTACCATAGACGAAGGTCGAATTCGTAAATGTATCGCGTTCCTAAGTTCGTTCCGAGAAAGAACGAAAAAAAGAAAAGTTGTAATCTCGATTTCAAGAATCGTCGTAAATCAAGGAAAAAAAAAAAACTGTCGACAGAGACGGAGTAACGTGATAAGAAAAGAATATTCACAGAAAGAGACTCGCAAGAAATGCTCGATCTCTCGTAATAACGAGTGTACAGTCGCGTCGACTTACGTTCCTAAAGTACGTACGACGTTATCGCCACGTCTTAGAAGCCTAACATAAATGGTAACAAACGTACGAGAGGTCGATCGAAACAAGGAAAAAAAAAAAAAAAAAAATTTTTAAAAAAAAAAAAAAAAAAAAAAAAAAAATTTGAAAAAAAAAAGAAAAGAACAAAATAACGAAGAACCTGCACGTTATCGGCGATGACTTGTCACGTGGCACATAATACGATTATAATGCACATACGTATATATCATTATCATTATCATCATAATACAATGGTCGCATCGATAAATCGTTTCTCGCGAGCGTGGCAAAAGATTGTGTCGGTAGAAGAATATGTGAAAATGTCAATAGATAATTGCGTCACGAGCGAGCGTGCGTGTCTGACCTGTGACGTTTTAGTTTACAAGAATAGTGAAAAAAAAATGAGCACCGACAATAACCTAGAGAACGGCACACAAAAAAGGAAAAAGAAAAGTAAAGGAGTAAATATCTCTCGCGATCAGATCACTTCGACAACATAGAGAGACGTGCGAGCGACGGCATCCTGATTTCGGCAGGTGTCAGTTTGGCTGAGAAGTTGGCGGTCAGTCGCTGGTCGGTTTGGCGATGAGGAACACACGAGTTTGGAGAGCCTATAAAAGCCCTATCTCCCGCAGAGCACCTTCGACAGCTTCATCCTTCCACAAAGAAACAAACACTAACTAGTCTTCCGTGCGTGTCCGCTGCCATTCCTAACCCTTTGCTGGTTATAAGGCCTTCCCTGTCAAATCTTTGATTCGGACGAAGCCGAGGTGGACCGGGGAGCGGGAGAGGACCAGATGAGAATGGACAGTACCCGGAAGGGCTCGAGCCTGGGACATCTTCGTCTGACAGGATTCGGATGCTGGTTCGTGTAACAGGATTTGGAGCCGGTGGCTGTGCCGAAGCGTGACGCGTCCTTGGAATTGAATGTCAACAGTGATCGTGTTGACTGAGGGACGCGCACCGTGCCTACCGAGAGCTTACGTATGCCTGCCGTAAAGCGGGCCCGCTTGGCAACCCCATTCTACTTGCCTAGATACGCACCTGGAGCCTTATGACCAGCATAGGGTTAACTTGGGAGATACGATTGAGCAATATAAATGTTTAATAAAAATGAGCAGTGTACAGTTATGGATTATTCTTAGGAGAGAAACAAAGAAAAAAAGCCTTCACACTGGACAGATGAAAATTCGAAAAGCTTTCACAATTACATTTTCATATTTCCCGCCTCGCGCTTACCTATACCCGAACTCATTGTAGGGGCGCCTCGTGCAATTGGACGCGAACCGGGATCCGTGGCTCGAATTTGAATTTTCGCGGCAGTCGCGTACGAAAGAAAAGTATTAACGGACAGAAAGTACGGTCGATCCTACAACAGTTCGGCGAATAAGGAAGCGTTTCCATGGGCACCTTTATGCTCGGGTAACCTCAATGCGTAAACAAGCTTGTATAAGACCGTACAGCGGTAAGGAATGCATTTGGCAGGTACGTGAATACTGATCGTAGCACACTGGTTATGTTTTCTTTTGTTATACTGCAAATGGACAATGGTACGCATACCGTGCTGTTAGATCTTTTGTTTTACTTTACTTTCTCTAACATTAATCAAAGGAGTTGACACACAGGGACTATAGCCGTACATTCACATCGCATCACGTTCGATGGGAGCACAGAGAAGATTCTGTAGGATCTACCTTACCAGGCATTCTGGACAATAATACAAACAGCAAACAAGCCGACGTACGAGGAGACACTTTTCTTAACGATTAATCCGACGGACAAATGTGCGGGGAAGTTTTCCTGGAAATGAAGGATCTGACGTGTCGATTGTCTGCGTCGCGCGGGTCAACGGAATTTGGCGTTACGAGCGAACGAGAGATAGAGAGAGAGGCACGGAATTCATGAAAAAATATTTTTTTAAAATAATAGACAGACAGAAAGTAATATTGTGCGCGCTGCTTATCAATAGAGAATAACATTACACACGAACATCAAAGCAAGAAGGTGCGATTTGGTAATTATCCATTTATTAGAACTTGAAAACATACATGTACATAATCAACACCCTATTCTTATAAACAGCAGCATTTCCATAGTGACGTAATGCAATACCAGTCCGAGTGGCGAATAAGTCGCGTCCCTCTTTAGTATATATATGTATATATATATTTGTTTTCTTTCAACAAGAGTAATACAATAATTTATCGTTGCTATCGTGAGACAATACTTTCTCATTCTCAACAGACACCTAGAACAGTAACTAAGGCTAAGTTTAGATAGATATTATGCTTAATGCACTGTAGGAAAATCTCTAGGTATTGGGGACGAGAAGATGGCGTCCATGCAGTATTACTTATATGCGTTAAGGAACATAAAAGAGAGAGAGAGAGAGAAAGATGATTGAAAATGATAAATATTATATTATTTGTACTGGGACGTAGGAATTATGCGCGTTCCTAAATGTATCTTTTTGAAACATTTCAATGATACCTCGATGGCTGACAATAGGACGTTGTTAGTTTTATGTTTATTACCCCAATAGGAATGTACAACCGGATAAATTTTTCTTTCTCGTTCGAATTGTTTAAACGATATTGTTACCTGGTTACTCGGGTTAAGTTAAAATTCTACGTTCACGGGGGTCCAATGACTCGCAAATCCTCGGTCTTACGGTCAACGTCAAAATTCGAGATAACATGGATCCGCAAATGCTTCTCGGTGAAAAGGCGCGTCCGCATGGACATCGCTTGGATCTGCGACACGTGTCTTTTCAAATGGGAAATACAAGGCAGCGAATTGAGAAGTCTTGAGGTAGATAGTTTTCAATCGCACGCGTTAGTCGTGTGGTGCAACTAGAAAGAAGTTAAATCAAAAATGGCTGTCGTCCATTGTAAATGTGAGATTGCACGTGGTTCGGATGAAAATTTGAAAAATCATGTCTTACATTTTTGTAAGGATTATTTTTTTGGTTTCTA